CAATCATTTAAATAATATTAATCTATTTTTAAAAAATAAAAAAAATAATCATGTTCTAAAAATTATTCCAAAATTCAAAAATTAATAATCCAAATGCAACATTTGCAAAATATTGCATATAAAGAGTTTTTTTTTTTTTTTTTTGGGTAATGAATAGTGCAATTTATAGCAGTGAACAATATTTTGTAAGACAAAATATAAAATACCCACAAAACTACTGAAATTAGCGAAAATGCCATGGTGAGGCAGCATATAAAATGCCTAAAAAATACTAAAATTTACAAAAATACCACTGCTAAATCTGCGGTAAATGAATAATGCTTTATAGGATAGTGAATGTATTTTGTATAGTATTTCTTGACTTTGTTTTAGTTATTTTTGGTTTTTTGGACCTTATGTCCCTCTTCTTCCAGGAAACGAAAAACATGTGCCATTAGGGTGCCACTCATTAAAAAAAAAAAACTAAACCAAAATATTAATTTACTATTCATTAGTATTGTTTTAAAAACTATTCATTCAAACTCATATATTATTAATACAAACTTATATGCATTATTTTTTTCACCATACAATGGGATTTTTTTATATAGTTTTCAAACTTTTTAAAGACATTTATTATAAAATTTTTCGTAATATTACATTTTGGTTTCTCTTTTTTTAAATATTGTTTTTTGATCTACAAAAATTTTTATTTTATTTTGATCCTTCATTTTTGTTTCATTTTGATCACTTTGATCCTTTTTTTCCTTTGATTTTTTAACTAAAAATTTTAAGGCAAAAAGATGTTTAGAAAAATCAATTTACAAAATAAGTTTTTAACTAAAAATATAGATAGAGATAAATAAATAATATTTTTTAATAAAAAATGATTAGTCAAATACAAAATTTTGATTAAAAATTATAAAATGGAATGATTTTTATTCGATTTTGATTTGATATATTTTAGTAAACATATAATATAACACGAGATATTAAACTGAAATAATTGTTTAAAAATAATTTTATGACTTCCATCCGACCCATAGCGTAACACGAAGTTAAAAAACTAGTCGACTTCTAAAACAATTAGTATATTTATTTATGTCTATTTTTTTTTTCATCTAGTAGTATCATGCCGATTCTATTGTCATCCTATCACAATCATCTAAAAAATTTCAATAGGTGTATGAAACAATAAATGTGTAAGACTTGAGTCAAATTCTATTCTTACATCGTAATACATAGGAATAAAGACAGCTTTCATCGTTTTTTTAATAAATTATTTGTTTATTTAGAAAACAAGAAAAGAAATTTTTTCTATTAAGCCTTTAACGGTTTTTTTTTTCACTCAAACTTTATTTTTATTTTAGTTTTTCGATATATATTATGCATAATTATTAATAGTCTATCTTTTGAATTTGGTTATTGAAATTCTTTTAGGTTTTTAAGTGTATTTGTAAGGTATTATAAATTTGAGATGAAAAATTGAAAATCCCGATGACTAACCGAGAGCGAGCAAATCTTGTATTTTATGATCAAGCACTCTCTCTCCTTTCCTTTTTTAGCTCGTTTGCTTCTTTTAAGTCCGTCTTTTAGTAGTTATTAGTAGTAATTGTAACTTCTTGAAAACTACAAGGTTAACATTGATAGATTTTAAAGAAACAGGATAAAAGTGTAACATTGATGAATCTATAATGGCAAAGTTGAATTTTACCCGTACAAGTAGTGTATATATATATATTTTTTTGGTAAGTAAAAACACTCAATAATAAACTTTTCTAATTTCTAGAAAAAAAAATCGGATGGGCATAAGTATTTGAGGCTAGATATGGTAACGATTCCTAAACCGCCGGTTAAGGTTCCACCAAAAGGTGGAACCCGAACCAAACATTCTATGGATGTTTACGGTTCCGGTTTGAAATCGTAAAACCGACGATTCCAAATCGTTTGAAACCGACGGTTCAACGGTTTTTTTATTAAATGAAAAAAAAATCAAATATTTTTTGTCAAGTATAAATCAAACATTAACATTGAAACGAAAAAACTTTTTTTTTGCATAATGTATAAATATTATAATATTTTTTACATTGTAATGTATTTCGCACAATAAATCAAAGAGAAAAAAGAAATAAATAAAGAAGAGCTTGAACTTAATTTTTGTAAACACTACAAAAATTAAGCTTCCTATGTATCCTCTTAGGGTTTAGAGGAATCAAAGCTTACGTAGTTCTCTTTTACATTTCAAATTACCCCTTTACAAATTACACTTATGTTCTATATAGCTGCGCCTAGTTACTTTCTTGACCGGAAGTTCCGGCTTCGAAGTTTTTGTTGTTGTGCCGTCGGTGTCGGATCCACACTTTCTTCATTGAAATCATATTGTTTTTGTTCTTGTGTTCTCTTATCGGCTCTTATCCAATCATCCACGCATACATGGGCTTCAAGTGACTTGGGAGTCAATTGCGATCGCCTATCATCTAAAATATTACCTCCGGAGCTAAATGCTCTTTCAACGGTTGTTGTTGAAGCCGGCACAACAAGTATTTGTCTAGCTATTGTGGACATGACTGGAAATGTGCCCGCATGTCTTTTCCACCAATCAATTACTTCAAAATCTACACTCGCATTGCTATCACCAAACTCAAACACAGTTGTTAGATAAATATCAAGCTCGGAAGTGAAGCCCGATGATCCTCTTGGCCTTTTTGTCCTTTCCATAGCCATAAGATAACCGACTCTAATACGTTGGCTACTTGATGATGATTGTGGCATAAGTGGTGAAGAGGAACTAGCATGTTGATCACCCATAGTTAAAGACATTTCAATATATAAATTTCTAACTCGATTTATAATAGAAGCGTTTCTAATTCTATATTTCTATCAAATAATTACAAATACTCATAGTAAGTATTCTAAACAAGCAGAAAGACCTTTCATTCTAAATCTAGGATAAAAAACTAAAGCAATAAGATAAATAGGTGGAATTATTTCATAATAACTTAATCATTTTTGTTTCATCATTTGAATAGCATCATGTAAAGTTGGCATACCTTGTTCTATATGATTAAAAGCTTCAACAATATTAATTGCTTCAATCATAAATAAATGTGAAGTTGGTTGATAAACGGCACTAAAAGTGTATGTTGCATTGTTAAAAACACTTAAAAGTTTCAAAAGTGGTTCGCAAATATCAAAATCATTTTAACAAATAAAAACAGAATCAATATTTTCTAATAAAAATGAGCATAATAAATCTCGATATTCAAATGACCGCCTAAGTAAGTCATAAGTTGAATTCCAACGAGTTGGAACTTCTTTTGAAAATCGTCTTGGTTTTTTGTTTCTTTCTTTGTAAAACTTTCCCCATGATTTCATCTTTTGGGATGCGCCCATAAATATTTAACAAGAGCTTTAATTGGCCTAGCAATATCTTTAAGATATTCCAAACTAGATTGCACACATAAATTTAAAATATGACATATGCATCTAATATGAAAAAATTTACCTCCAAGATGGGGTTGACAAAGTTCTTTTAAAGAGTCTATTGAAGCATCATTAAAATTAGCATTATCAAAAGAAATTGAAAATATTTTTAAAGGTAAAATATATTCATCTAAAATCCTTTTTAGTATTTTATATATATTTTGAGCGGTATGTTTATCATCAAAAACTCTATATGCAAGAAGACGTTTTTGCATGTGCCATTCATTATCGATCCAATAACAAGTTACACCCATAAAAGAGTGAGTTTGTCATTGATCAAACCATATATCGGACATATAGAAACACGACCATTCAAATTTACAAACAATATAGTTAATTCTCTCTTTTTTTTTTATCTCTATACAATTTTATAACTCGTTTTTTTTTTTTTTTAAGAATGTCTTTCAACTTGTTTGAAAGCGAGGATTCAAAACATTAGAACAATAATCACTAAAACCCATTTCTTGATCAAAACTAAAAGAAAAATGATCAATACATATCATTTTAGCCGTTTCTTCTTTATTTTATTTTATCCGTATACTCGAAATAAAGAGGAAGATTGAGAAGCAAACTCGGATATCCGTGTCCGATGTTTATCATTACTAAGTACGGATATATGATTTTCCTCCGAGTGGGTTTTGAATATTCCATAACCACCTCTTTGTTTGAATGTGTATTGCTTGTTGCAGTAGTTACAAATCACGAGTAAAAACACCTTTTTCTAAAGGAACTTTTGAGAAATGAATTTTGAATATGTCGGATGATCAAGATGTAAAATTTGAATGTTGTTGTTGCTCCCATGTCCGATTTTGATTGGCGGTATTACTTTGTTGTGATGGCATATGTGAACTTGAACTTGCCATTTTTTGTAATATAAAACAATAGAAATGTAAAAAATTTAAAAAGTATTTGGAGTATAAAAAATATTGTAGGACAAGTATTGAGAATTCTAGACTTAAGAGTTTAAGAGATTGAGAGAGAATGAGAGATTGAGTTGTGAGGAGAATGAAAAAATTGAGAGTGTATTTATAGGAAAGAAAAAAAAAAGGTCACAAATGTGATCGTTTTGACAAACGGTCACACACACACACACACACACACACATATATATTAAGCCCAAAAATTAAAAATTATTAGGCTTAATTTTTTTTTTTCATTTTTCAGTCCAATAGCTACTATCCAGATCTCATATAAAATTGGTTTTTTTATTTAAATTTTTTCATTTTTTTCGACCCAACCCAAATTTATTAGGAAAGATGTGGAACCACCGGTTCTACGATTAATCGTTGGTTTAGAACCGTCTGTTTCGGTTCCATGTTACCTTAAACCATAACCAACCCGTAGGTAGCCGATTACGATCCGGTTTGATCAAGATTACGGTTTTAACGGTTCCGATTCGGTTTTTTAACGGTTCGATTTCGGTTCGGTTTACGGTTCGAACCGTTACCATGAGGCAAGACAAAGAAGTCTGTAATTCCCATAAAAAGAGAAAAAGAAAAAAACAGGTCTGTAGCTCCAAAAACTGTTTGGCTATGGCAATGGCAGCCTCCTCTTCTGCCGCCGACCCAAAGCTCGATCTCATAAAAAAGGTGCCTCTTGTTGTTTCTCTCTCTCACCTATCTGTTATATGACTATTTATTTATGGGTTTAATTTATCAGGTTAGAAGTCATGAAGTAGCAATAGCAGAGCTCAGTAATCTTTCATCGTCTCGTGTAAGCTTCCTTCAAAAGCATCTCCTTTTTTTATTTTTGGGTCTTTATTCTCCTTTGCCTTGATTATTTGATTACTTGTGTTTCAAAAGAATCAAAATCAGTATATTATGTGTTTGATTATTATTCATGTTCTGTATAAGTAGAAGATGATAATTTCTTGACTATTTGAATACAACATGGCATACGAGAACTGGGTTTTAAGTAGGCCAGGAAGTCATTTCATTGATAAGAAACCTTTTTTATGGTTTTGTTTGCTTGTTCAAAAAGTTTTATCTGAGGCTGGTGCTTTTTGTCAGGAATGCTGTTGTCATTGACATTTAACATTGGTGCTATCGAGCATGATGATTTTTTTTTTTGTTGGATTCAGTAATGCTGTTCTTTTTTTTTTTTTCTTTTCTTTCTGATTGTTATATCTTCACACAAGTGTGTTAATATGATACGGACTATATAGAGAAGAATAGGGGTAGCAATTAGCATGATGGAGAGAACACTAGCAAATATTTCAAGTCCATGTAAAAAGTTGTAATCTTTGCCTTTTTGGTAGATTAGATGTGAAAATTAGCAGCTTATGGTCTTTGTTTGAAGGTTTGTTTTCTCATATGTTTTTTTTTATCTTTTCCATTAGCATTTTCTTACAGCACACATCTTTTATTAACTGCAATATTTGCTTTTAGTCACTTATTTGTTTCAAACCTGTTGTTGGGAAGAATTCCTTGCACCACGGCAGTAGAAGAAATCTAATAAAAGGAACTGCCATGCACAACTATTGAGACTGCTCCACTAATTTACCAATCCCAAATTGTTTCAAAGCCCTTGTCAGGCAGGCTACAAAATTTTGATATTTGACATATCATGCGTATCATTTATTGATATTGGCATGGTGTTAGTGTAAGTTATTGCCTTTTTAACTGCTGTTGCCTATTGTTCTTTAATTGGGTTCTGTTTAGTTTGATATGCCAGAGTGTGGTTCATTGGAGGTGTAGAAACGTGAGAATTCAAATGCGTGTGTGGTTCATTGGAGGTGTAGAAATGTGAGAATTCAAATGCGTTCCAACGGGGGTTTTGAGTGCATTGATTGGTTTCTAAGTTGTTTGATTTCAAAATTGAATCCAAATATGGTTGAATGGTTCTGACTCTAATTCCCAGCTACATTTAATATAATAATCAAGTGAAGAGTGCAGTGCTTGCATATCAGACGAAAGGTACTGCCAAAGCAGTGTAAACAAATACCTTATCTACCTGGTGCTTTAATCAGTTGCAACCATGCAACCGATTTATATTCGTGGTTATATTTAAAAAAGGGTCATGAGCATGGCATGGAAATTTACATTTGTCTTTAGTTTTCCAAAATATAGAGGCTACATAACCTTTTCTGCTTAAATGCTGTTAGTAATATGTCTTTTATTGTAATGTATATCTTTTACTGAATTAAATTGTATATTTTGGTTTCTCTGTATGGTGTTAATAAGTGTATTATTGAGAGGACATAACATGCTTTCTCTTTTACTGCAGGCTGTCTATCAAAAAAATGGGAATCTTTTTTTCCGTACAACTTCCCAGAAAGCAACAGCTTCTGAACAGAGTAAGATATCTTTTCTCATCCATTCGACGTTTATCTTCAGTGTGCTCCATGCAACTATAACAACATTGCATTCTTATCTTGAATTCGTGACTATTGTACAGAGCAACTTGACTCGGCCAAAGCTAAGCTAGAAAAGGTGAGTTCTACTTGATTACATCTAGTGCTTTGAAACCGGTCCTTTACCTTGCTGGTGAAAAAGCATTCCAGTAGTGCCGACATTTGTGGTTACGGCTTCCTAGGTATTCAAAATTTAAAGTTCCATTCAAGAGCTGCAAAATGTCTTTAAACTCTAGGAATTTGCAGAAGGGAACTGTTACTGGTATTTGTTAGCTAAATTGTTAAGTAACAGAATGAGGCCTGACCATGTATTTTGACCTTGAAAGATGATTGAATGAAACAGGGTCTGTTTCTTCCTATGTTTGTCATTGGCTTCTCCATTTCTGGATATGCTTTTGGTATTAACTGATCGTTTGATGGCTCAATTTGATTGCCATGCCAATTCGCAAAAGTACCTGTATATCAAAATATCAAACTCCTGATTATGATCCTTGTAAAATGTTGCTGTACCACATAACGCATTCATATTCATTGGAAACACACTTGTAAAATTTTTCACCGTTGGTGTAGATACCAAAGAATCTTACAGAAAGGATCCAATTTTACTAATGTGAATTCCTGAGAACATCATGTGATCTCAAGTTATTATCCCCAAATTTGATTGGGGCTTGACAGTCCAATAAATTAAAGGAATCTCCATGGAGCTTTGGTCATAAAGCCCACGCTATTAAAAGCCACTAGCACGCCTTATATTGTTAAAGTTCACAAAATAAGTCTTTTAGCCTATCCACAAGCCCAAAAGGGTGTCTTACTTGAGAGACATTAAGTGTAATACAATCGAAGACCGTGCTTGTGCTTGTTTGGAGGAAAATAAATTTTTTTCTTATTTTTTAGTGTTTGTTTCGTATTTAATAAAAAATTTAATAGGAAATAATTTTTAGTTAATGAAAAATAATAGTGTTTTTGAGAAAATGTTTTCCAAATTAAAAAAGAAGAAAACATTTTTCTTCTCACGAGCTATCTCGCTCTCATGTTACTTATCTTTCTTTCGATATATTTTGAAATTTTTTTTTTATCTTCTTTTTATTTAAAATATATCAAATTAATTTTTAATTATTCCTTATCAATTATTATTAATTATTTAATTATTTTTTCTCTATTTCTACTAATATTTAATTTTTTTTATTTATAGATACATTAAATATTCTTAAAAACTATTTTTACACCTTAAAATTATTTTTAAAATAAATATTTTAATAATTTATCTATATTTTTTTACTATCATCTCAAACACTACCTAAACTATACTTAAATGATTGAAAATAATTATTACAAGAATGTAATTTTTTGTAAAAATTTTGAAATTAATTAATTAATATATTATTTTTTCAACACTATTCATTTGCAACTAAATTAATAATTTATAATTTTAATCAGTTGTAAAAATATATTTGTAATTGTAGTCGGTAATTAGTTACAAATTATTCCAATATTAATCTTTTAAAACCAAATGAATAATTATCTATAAATGATAACTAATAATTTATAAAACTATTTTTTAGACTAAATTATTAGTTCAATTTTCAAAAAAAAAAAAATTCTTAATTGAGTTACCAAAATAATAATGCTAGGATTACTTAGAATTTTTTTTTCTTATTAAATGTGAATATTGACTTGATTTTGTCTCAAGTAATTTTGATAAATTGGTTTGATTGTTAAAAAAGTATATTTTATTTTTTAAATTAAATTTTTAGAGTCAGTATTTATAAAATTTTATTAATTTTTTTCTAAATATATCTTATATTGTGAAATTATGAATATGTCTTTTTAAAGTTTTATCAAAATTTATTGATATAACAATCACATACTTGTTTTTATATTTTAATTTTCCGTATCAAACAAACGTTAAAATATATTTTCCAATAGCTTTTTCATACAATTACTAAACGGTAGAAAATATTTTTTTCGAAAATAATTTTCTAAAAAATAGCTTTTTCAAAAATTGATTTTCCTATAAAAAATTTTTTTTGCCAAACAAACAGAGCCTAAATAGAATTGCATCTTGAGCAAAAAAATGTGAAAAATCAAGTTGGCTTGATAATTTTAACCGTCTAATTCAAATTTGAAAGATAAACTGCCTTACAGACTACTTCCAATCATCTTATAACCCTTTTGTTATAAAGTCTTTTTAATCAAAGCTGACACAAAAGAATCCACAACACAAGATGGCCATTTTCCTTTTTCTATAAAGATGGAAAATTCAATCGTCGTGGGTTCCTTCAAAAAATTTTCCCTCAGTACCATCCTGTAAGTGAAGTTGCAATCCCATCCTTTGAGTTGCAAATACAAGATCTCTGTTCAAAACAGTAACTAAAGAAATCTTGATGCATTCTTTGCAATCCTGATTCTTTTTATCACCAATTGAGGAGGCGAATCCAGTACTGGTAGCCAGAGTTAAGTAGGGGCCAAAAGAAATAAGCTTGGCAGAGAAGCGAGATGGCTAATATCCAAAACCTCTTTGCAGTTAAAAAAAAAAAAAAAAAAAAGAAGAAGAAGAAAGAAGCAGATATTAAAATCAGGCTAACTTTACAAGTAACATGAAAGATAAAGCAAATTAAACCAACTAATTACAGCTCACAAGTTGTGGCAATGTTATCACCCTGATTATTAAGAACTAATTACTAGCAGCATATTCCACAAATAAGAAGTAAACTAGCAGTCAACATGTGCATATACTGTACTATTATAATGGTTTATTTTTACCGAACATGAATGAAGCGTCTAGTCAACATCCTGACGTGCAGTTTGGAACCACACAATTGCAAGAGTAACGAGGGATGCATAGACTGAGCTGGGTAACTTTTGCACCACCTTCCCAACACCAGGGACACCCTCAGTGGCCTTCTTTGTTGCCATGGCAACTGTTGGGGCCACAACCAAAGTGATAATCAATCCTTGACTAACCACAATGAACGTGTCTGTTGTTAACTGCTGCATAAACTTCACAAATTCTTCATGGTTAAGCTCCCCGTCAAGGTTGATGTCGCATGCCTGCATATAGAACAATCAATGGATTTACCTTCGCTTATAAGATCATAAATATTTGGACACAGAAAATAGAGAGAGCCTCCTAAACTCAAGGCGTTGAGGTTTTCCTTGCTGTGTTGAATAGATACCCCTCACAATATCGGAAAGGGAAATTAGGCGGAAAGGAGGATATCTTCCTATTCTTTATGAAAAACTAAGAACACAACGGTAACAAGACATGATATTTCGTTACAAAAGCTCAATTCAGAATTATCAACTTAATTAATATAGTTTGACTCACATGAGATGCAAGTATGACATCATATGCTTTATGAACTATATATCTAAATTCTGCAGCACTTGTTTAAACTAGTGAAGCATACAAGAAGATGCCATGGCGACCAGTACAATATTCACCTTTTCTTATGGACGGTATTGTTACAGGGAGCACAGAAGTATTACTGCTAGTTAGAATATTTCTATACTCAGTTACTCCAATTAGCCGTAAAGTCTCATAACAGAAACATTAATCATTATCACTACAACGTTTTTCACTACAAGCACACTCCAGGATGGTCTGAGATTCATGTTTGTATAAAATGAAATACAATACCTGCATCAAGCCTCTGACTTGCTCTTTCGAAGGTGGATCAAAATGGGGACCAGGCAAGCGCTTGTTAATATCACTGCATCATGGAGTGCACTTCATCATTAGTAAGACTAGCACTGCTTATAATTTTGATCAATGAATTGATTTCAAAGGCAAGAAAAGAAAAGATAGAAACACTAAAAGTTTCATACTTGTACACAAGTAGAACAGCAATATATAGGTCTTCAAAAGAGAGATTTGCACTTCCTGATTGATCTTTAATGCGATCATACACCTTGTCTGTAATCAACCTTATTTGTTTCTGCCTCCACTGCTTACCTGCGCAAATTAATAAACTACTCAACCACATGCATCATGCTTAACAGATAAACCATGTCCTACATTTAGCATCACAAAATTAAAACAGAACATATATGTGTTGCCAAATCATGCATGTCAGCATTATTATAAAGCATACTATTACCACTAGATTTCTTGAACAACTGGAAAAACATGGCATTAGTGCATTGCATTATATATTAATAAAAGAAAGAAGATCGATGAAAATGAATGTTCTGATTTATCATGTAAATTCTTCTTTTGTTTTTCTTTTAACACCAATCAAATTATATATATATATATATATATAAAATGAATTATCTAAGAAAGCAGGAAACTAAATATACCAATCCACATGAAAGAAATAAACCAATCCCCAGCAAATATCGTGACCCATTAAAGAAAATGTTCACGTAATAGATCACCCACCAATTATAAAGTTATTTTCTACCACATGTAAAAGTAACCAAAAAGTAAAAAGAAACCGGGAAAAAAAAAGAGTAGAAAAATATAAGATCAACTGCAAGAAAAATACTATTTCCATTCCACCTAGGATTAATGAAGCTTCAGAAAACAGAAAAACTGAAACAAAAAATAAAAACATAAACTATTTGGTTAACAATAAATAATAATACGAAGAGGAAGAAGATGGTACCATGAAATTTCTCTAGGACCTGTCCCATTGATGACCCTTCAAAGGACTGGCTAGTTTAGAAAAACAAATTAAGGAATTTCTTTTTCGTTTTGGGTTTAGAGAGATAGAGAGAGTTCGTTGATTAGATTAGATGAGATAGAAATGAATGAGAGTTTGAAACAGTCTTCATATAAACAGATAGATAGAAACACCTGTGACAATGAGTGTGTGTCAGAGAGAGAGAGGGAGGGAGGTGGGTTCTTCTGCCCTGCTTCCTATGGAAATCAAATGCTGCGAGCAATCTACTTGTCCATGATGATTTCTTTCCATGATGTTGGGTCCACTTGATATCTCGCATTCATTTTTCCATTTTAAACATTGCCCACTTTAAATACTATATTGGTTTGCAAGATTTAACTTAGAAAACATCAACAATTTCTTCCTAGAGTTTTGTGTCGCTCCTTTAATACAATTTTGGAACAGGAATCTTTCCACCCCTCCACACATTGGTTAGAGATCCAAGTCTGCATATTTGGAATTTAAAGTTAGATTATTGTATGATTGAAATTAATTAAATATAATATTTCATTTTTTTAATTGGTCCCATGGTGAAGGAAATTTACTCATTTTCTTAGCTTTTAAGTTTGAGCTCTAAAACTAATATTTAAAAAAAAAATAATAATTCTCGTGAATGCATGAAGTTGATATGAAGATGCGTTTTTTAAATCATTTAATAAACAAGAATACTATTGATTGATATACAAACTAATTTAATAATATTTCTTAATATCAAATTGGAGAATAAAAAATAAAAAATAAAAAACTTTTCTATAGATTTTTTACATGTTGATGAATTAAAGTTTTCATATACCATACATGCATGTTACGATTTTATAGTTCTATATTCTATTCCAACTCAAATATCTTACTACAATTATTTTTTAATATCAATAAATATTTACTGCGTTTTAAAGAAATTAGGTTATTATGTAAGTAGCATATTTTCGCTTTAATTTGACATTAAAAAGAAATTCATTTAAAATTTTCTTCATTAACAATGTTTTTTGCAAATCTTATTGTTAAATAATTTTTTCTTAAATCTGATGGATGTAATCTTTAGGGTTATATCTATAAAAAGACAACATCCATCTAGTGATCAAATATGATATGAATTCTAGAATAACTAGGACAGAAGAGAGGGTTCAAACAATAAAACTCTTCCAAATCATTGAGGTTTGAATGGTTTAATGACACTAAAAGTTCATATGGTATCGATTTTTGATAAAAAAAAAACACTCTTGTGGTTCTAATTTGGACAATCATATATCCATTAAAAGTTTCTTTTTATCAAAGATGTTTTTAAACGTAACTAAGGAGCACTCTCTAATTTATGGCCGCAGGTATTTGAAAAAAAAATTCTCAGGAGTGCTAACCACAAAGATTGAACCTTAGATCTGACCTATAAGTCAACACTTATTTACCAGCAAGCTACCACCTTCTATTTTACAAAGGTCCCCCTTTATCTATAAACAAACTAAATTTCTATTAATTTTGAAACCTTTAAAGAATAGTGGGGATTCTATTGCTTTCAAATTCATTAAAAAAAAAAGTTAAGTAATTTGACCAACATTTTATTTATTTATAACTAGAAATTGTTTTTTATTTTTTATTTACGTTGGGATGTTTTTACTTTATTTTAGAAAGATAAAAAATTAATTAGAAATGTTTTGTTAATTTTTTTATTAGTTTACGTTGGATTCATTTTATTTTTCTAGTGGATTTTTTTGTTTATTTTCAAAAGACAAAGAAATAAATTTAGAAAGAAATAAATTTTATGTAAAAATTATAAAATTTCAAGCACATAAAATAAAAATTTTTGTAAAAAAAGTTAAATTAGAAAATGATAATTATGAAAAAAAAACACAAATTGAATCAAACATGTTTCATCCATGAATCCATAATTTTATATTTAATTAATGAAGTAAAAAATAAAGTAACATTGAAAAAAATAAAGTAAAGAAAATTAAAAATAAAAGAAAAACACTTTTTCTATGGTAAATAAATAAATTGTTAGCTTAAAAAACTAAAAATTGTAAAAATTTCCCAATGTAAATGAAAATATTTACCAATAAATAAATAAAATTAAAACTTGGCAACTTTTTTTAACAATTTTTAAAAATTTTTAATCAAAAAATTTTTTTTTCTGAATTGGAACCAATAGAAATCTGATATGTCCTCCCTCCCGTTTAAAAGTTAAAATTAGCAGAAAATTAAATTAATTATAAAGGAATGGACGTCTGTTGTTGACAGAACATTTCATAAGAATCCAACTGTCCAAATTGAAACCATAAAGCTGAACTATACCAAGAAAAACAATAAAATAAAACAATAAAGAAAGAAAGCTTGTAATTAAGACAATAAACTTATAAAAATTAATGTTGAAAAAATGAAAACATAAAGGTGTAAATCTTAAGTTGGAAAATCAAAATTATTTAGGTGCGGTGGTGTCTTTGGTGTTTGTGGATAGTTATATTGTTTGGTGGTGATCGATATGTTGATCCTTTGTCTAGTACTTACTGGTTTATGTTTGTTCAGCGGTCTATTCGTTTCACCTCTTTGGTTGCATATACTTTTTCAGTTTTTTCCTTTCTTTATTTTCATCTTCAAGCCTCTATTTTGACAAGTGTTGTTGTCGTCTCTCGCCAAATGGCTTTGCCATTCTAGTGTTTGTTATCTTTTATATGGCTTATAGAAATAAATAACTAGTTTGAAAGAAAATTGTATTAAAATTCTGAATAGAGAGACACAAGTTCCTTCCATAGTATTCCCACAAATTCTTTGCATTGTATTCCCACAAATTCCTAGCGTAGAAGCACACAAGTTCATTTTGGTACTTAAATCTTACAATTATGCAAACAAGTCCCTAAATGGATAGGAAAATTTTACCACTTTTTATTAAGTTTTTGCCAGTACAGCCTTTCGAAGAATTAAATAAACTAGAAGAATATTTGGGTCCTTTAATTTAAAAAAATGTAAAATCGCATCCTTATTTTTACTTTACTCAAATTTGAAAATAAGTAGAGATCCCTAAATACCGAGTTATATCTTGTTAGGATTTAAGTATATAACATTCTAGTTGGAAATTGGTTAACTCACAACTGCTGCACATCAAATTATAATAGTAATTTATTAGTTGAGTATTAAATACAATTGATAATTTAAAATTTTCAATTGAAGGACAAGATAATATATAAGAATTAAAAAAAAAATTGGTTAAAACCGAACTACCGAATTTTAATTCGGTTTGATTTTGACTTTTATTTTTCATAACTTGATTAATCAAAAACCGAATCAAAATTGTCTAAAATTGAACCGAACAACCGTTTGCTCACTTCTAGCACGATGTTTTTTTTCGGGGCTAAATATTGTTCTGTGATATTCAAACCCCTTGCTTTGTGTTTTTATTTATTTTTATGACAAAATTGAAACTTCCAAGATATATAGGTTAAAACATCTAATATAGCAATATAGTTTAAGGGGAAAAAAAACAGTAATTGCAATCCAATTTTCTTTGTATACAATATTTGGCCATTTTGATGGATTTTGAAATTTAAATAGGTCTTATATATTGGGGTTTTTAAGATGGATTTTGATTATTATTTGTTTTTCCTTTTAATTACATACCAAATGCAAGCAGAGCACTTCTAAGCCATGAATTTTGGGTTTCGATTACAACTTTTGCTATGCTCTTCTATATGGTCGTGTGGCATTCCTACAATTTTTAAAAACCTACTTCTCTTCTTATGTTAACTACTCGCATCACAGAAACTTAATAAGCCAATTTATGGTCATGCCTAGTTAAATGAACCGATTAGGGGGAAAAAAAGGAGAGATAGAAAAAGAGAAAAGAGCATAAAATTACAAACAAGAGATTTTATTGTACATAGCTTTAGCAAGATCAAGGAGAAAATCACCAGAATTCATGGAGAAAGAAAGTGAATATCCAATCGATTTGGAAATAAACCAATTTATGAATATCAAAAACTCTTTAAATTATAAATTAGATTTTCTAGCAAATGTTATAATTTAGCATTAGAAACTTCCTTCAATCATAGAATTTTTTAGCAGATAGTTGTAATGAAAAAGGAAACGAGAAGGAGAGAAGAAGAAGAAGAAGAAGAAGAGAAACCCTAAAAGACAGGATAATAAAGCATCTTTTCCCTTTTCTGACTCAAAATAGGGGGGAAAAAATTAAAAAAAAAAGAAAAAAGAAAAGAAACATGGGCGCGCAATAGTATTAAATAAGACTTTTGAGAGATATTAAAGCAACTTATTGGCTAAACTCTTCAACAAAAAAAGATTTTCTAACTTTTCTTATATTCCAAGCATCAAATCTTCATCTATAATATTATTGATAATGTTATCACCAATATAGCTAGAGTCAAAGTGTACTCTTAAATTTTGATTCCAACTCCTCTAGCTCTTGCTACTCCATTTCCTCTAGCTTCTCATCTTTTTTCTTTAACAGCTTAGCCAAGTCTTATTGAACAAGGATGTCTTTAATCCTTCATTATCAAAGAGCAAAACTTACATTCTCATTAAATTGCTTCAACGTAAATTAAAGCTTGCTGTGTGTAAATATTGTTCATGATCAAAAGTTGAATCTCTCAAAATCCAATACTAGTTTGTTGGAAAATTAAGGATTAGAGATTCAAACACACCACTATCACGAGCAATCCAATTCAATTGAAAGAAAAATAACAAGATGAATAAAAATGAATAAAAGTGGATACACAAGATATAATATGATTCGATAAAATCTTGCTCTCTCTACAAACTCGAGAGTAATAATTTATTATGAGAGAAAATTAGTACAAGAGTATGATTATGAATTTTATATTCAAAACTCAATCTCAAATCTCATTGTACATTCACTCTCACACTCAAAAAAAATTTCTTAACCTTTTTTGCACACTAAAACTATATATTTTCTCCACATAACTATATATTTTCTCCACATATTTATAATGATCAAAATTCTTAATGGACAAAAAATCCTTTATAAATAAATTTTTTTTAATGAATAAGAATTCTTTAGTCTTTACTCTATCCTATTTATTTATTCATTACTCCAAAAAAATATTAGCTATAACCCCAACAATTCGTTACATTTGTATGACTTTTGCATCATTACATTTATATGACTTGAGGAAGAAATGTGACAAACTTTCTTGGAGTTTCCAACAAGGTAGCCTGATAATGCACTTCGAGACGTACAATTATTTAGTCGTTAGTCCAAAAAATATCAGCTATAACCCCCCAATCCGTTACATTTATATGACTTTTTCTTTACTTTTATATGACCTGACGAAGAAATATGACGAACTTTCTTAGAGTTTCCAACAAGGTAGCCTGATAATGCACTTCGAGACGTACAATTATTTAGTCATTACTCCAAAAAAACATTTGCTGTAACCCCACAATTCGTTACATTTATATGACTTTTTCGTTACATTTATATGACTTGACGAATAAATATGACAAAATTTCTTGGAGTTTCCAACAGGGTACCCTGATAATGCACTTCGAGAAGTGGAAGCCGGCCATATTAAGCCTCTGCTTTTGTACATGTGCAATAAATGAATGAATGGGTCTGTATAAATGTTCAGCTATCCAGATGTTTGAATAGCAAGAAACTATGGCAGATGAAGTGAAGCTTTTAAAGACATGGTCGAGTCTATTTGGTCTCCGGGTTGTTTGGGCACTAAAGATCAAGGGCGTCCAATATGAATCAATAGATGAAGATCTCACCAACAAGAGCCCTTCACTTCTCCTATACAATCCTGTTCACAAAAAGATTCCAGTCCTCGTACACGACAGCAAACCTGTTGTTGAATCACTTATAATCCTTGAATACATTGAAGAGACATGGAAGCAAAATCCCTTGTTGCCTGAACATCCAAAGGAGAGAGCTGCAGCTCGCTTCTGGGCAAAATTTGGTGATGACAGGGTATGGAAATCACTGTACCTTGCTGGTAAATTTAGAGTGAGCATCTTAAGACCACGTTAATTACAGAAAATATTTTCTTTGCAATTCAGGTTATGCCATCAATATGGGAAGCATTTATCAAGGGCAGAGAAGAGGAAGAGCACTGTGCTTTTGCACCAGCTATTGAGAACCTGAAATTCTTGGAGGAACAACTCAAGGGAAAACAATTCTTTGGTGGAGAGAGGATCGGACTCGTAGATATTGCGTTGGGTTGGCTAGCTAACCTAATCCCTGTATTAGAAGAGATACATGCAATAAAACTGATGGACAGGGAAAGATTTCCATTATTATTTGCGTGGATTCAGGAGTTTTCAAAGACTCCAGTCATTGCAGATTGCTGGCCGCCACATGAAAAACTAGTCTCCAAGTACCGTGCCATTCGTGAGTCCCTCCTTGCAGCAGCGCCACCTCATCATGCCTGAGCAATCAAACTTGTAGCGTGTTAATAAATCAACACACTCATATTGTTCGAACTAGATATATATAGCGCTAAGAAGTCACCCCACTGGTTTAAATTGTGCATTTCCTTGGCCCTTAATATTAAGGTTCCACTGTCTTTTTCTTCAGCAAAGGCTATATTGCATGTTTTAATCATCATTAATATACATTGCCACCATTTTCAGTTAACAATATGGACTGGCCTCATTTTTCATCTTTTGCATAGTTACCTATGGATGAATCATCGTCTGACTCGATTAATAAATTTAGAATATGTGTTCCATGGTGGAATGGCAATTAGCTAGCGTTTGTAGAGCATAGATGAAAGTTCTTTTGTGTTGCATTGATGTATGAATTTATTTCGTACTTTATTGGTCATAAATTATCTTAGTTTAGAATGTTTTCTATATTTTTAGTTAAATTATTTAAGTATTATATATATATATATATTACTTTTATTCAATATTTAGGATTTCTTACTATTTTGTAGGCTTTTAGCTGAGTAATTTGGGCTAATTTAAGGATATTATCAATGGAGCAAAGTTAGTTCTTAATCGGGCTCGGATTTTTTATTCGTCAAGATTGAGCACTACTTGGGTTTTGGGCCATAACTGGAGCTACATACCTCAGAATGGTGCATTTTTTTATTATGTGGAAAGCTAGGACAAAGGTCTACAATTATTATGAAGGAAGACCAGCCCCGTTCAGATGTTTGGTAATTCAAAAATAACTGAAAAACTCGAAACAGAGTCAGTGCAGGTTGGGCTGGTCTGACTGGGTTGGTCTCTGTTTTTAGCCCATAAATTAAGTGTCTGGTGTCCAAATCAAGTGACTTAAAAGCTTAAATTCATCTACTCATCTAGGATTACAAATTTAATGAAGGGAAAAAAGTATAATTAGGCGGTTTTGATAATCTAAAGTGACGTTTGATAACCTATTTAAGTGGTTTAAAAAAATTAAATTATAATACTTAATATACAAAAGTTTGATTGATAACCTAAATAATCTCATATTAAAAATTTAAGTTCAATCAAAATCTACTTAATCGGATAAGTTAAAAAATTTTAACTTATTACTTTTTTATCAACACACTCAGTTGATAGATTTTTAAAACTTTTTAAATATGCATATATCGTTCTTATGTATTTTTATAACTTTAGCTATATAAACCAAGTGAAAAACAATTTCTATCATTTTCATTGTTAAATAAAAAAAAAAAACCTTCTTTATTATCGGTGCTTCCATCTCAAAACCTGAAGACATCACTTCCTTTTGTTGTACAAAAAGAAAAAGATAAAAAGATTTAGATATACATGGATATAAATTGCCTATTTTAAATCGATCGCAGGAAGGATTTGGTTGCTTTATTCATACCATGATTGGCCGTATAGGATCTTTGATGCATGTAATTCTGTGCCTCAAAAAGTTTGGGTGGGTGGATGGAAGAGAGCCCAACCTCGGTAGATTCTCTTCTTTCATACGATGAAACTGAAACTTGTCTTTCTTAATGCAATTTCCCGATTACTTGAAGGGCAAAAATAAATAAATAAATAAATACCAGTTAGAATCCCTTGATTCTCTTTCCATTCCTGCTCCTATAAACTAAACAGACAAACTTGCCCTAAAGCCTAGGGGTAATGGGCTTATGGCAACTCCCGTTCAAATCTGTTAAACTATTATACAAGTGAGATGGAGTAGCAACAATGCCCATAACCATTTTTTAAACTTTTTTTCTCCATGGACATCCAATTTGACTTGAGAGAAGATAGGTTTTCCGGCACAGCTACACAACCAGCTTTCCTATGATAATAGAATTACTTGCCACGATTACAATGTCCACGATCCAAGAGTCCATTACTGACCAATCGAAAACGAACAACATCATACTAAAGTATACCTACGAGGCTATGACAATGCAATAGAATTACATATTTACACTGGCTCATTCTTCTCAAAAATTGATCGTTGAGTGTTCAATCTTTCAATTTTGTTTTTGTTTAATATTAACTTTTTATTCTATTTACTTAGTTGTTTAATTTTTTATTTTTTTATTTGAATTCTCTCAATCATATAAAATTAAAAATTATTAACAAGATCATATGATCTATTGACATGAGATAGTTTTATAAAAAATAGATTCTACTTAAAATCACATCATCCAACCTGATGTTATTTTACAACAAAAGGAAGTGATATTTTATTTTTTGAGGTTTTGTTATGCATCATTATGTTAGAAAACCTATGTTCCAGCCAAAAGCACTAGAAATTACCTGAAAAATAATATCTACCATTATGTTTTATTTTGTGCATGATAGGATAATTAATGTTATCTTAGAACACATTTAATTTTTTTATTAATAATTATTTTTATTGAATTTTTATTTATTTATTTATTTATTTGTACACAAAAATACACCTAGGTATATATTTTTATTTATGTTAAAAAATATCATGTTATAATTACAAGATTAAAATTATCATATATATAGCCTTATTATTTTCAGCAATAATATTTATCAAACAAACTTATTATATTCAATACTTAATTTTCGGTAAATACCAAACGACTTGTCATGAACATATTCGAGTACTTAACACATTCAAGTACTTAATTTTTAATTTTATCAAACACCCCATAAATGTGTCTAGAAGTTGGCGTAGGAATCTAGAAAACCGGAAGAGAAGACAAAAGAAAAACATGGAAGACTTGAAGATTTCACCTTCTACAAGTTCTTTTTCCTCTTCCTTTTTGTTTATCTATCTACTTTAGTTTTTTGGACATAATGTGTTATTGTTTTTAAATGAATCTTTTGTTTATTTTGTTCCCTGTGAGTTGCTAATATTATTCTAGGACAAGTATATAGTGACTAAATTTTCTATAATGAATTGAGATTGTGATTGTTTGAATGAATTTTTTTTTAATGCAATTTGATGTTTTGATATTTTATTCTTGTAAGTAATTGGTCATTATTTACATGTTTAAGGTATTGAATGATGAAGCGAAAATGGAAGTTTAATATTAGTTCGTGAAAATATCAAACCAGCTTGGTAGTGTGGTTTAGAAATAAGAATACATCACTATGATCTAATTGATAATTTTATTGAGTATAATGAACTTGTATTAAAATCTATAGTTACAAAAGTAGATATAGGATTAATATGAGTATGGTTGTTGATTTTTGAAAAAGATCATCACGTATCTTTGGAAAATTGGTCATTGCAATTAACAAGATTAATCATTCAATTCGATTTTAAACTCATTGTAGGAATTTAGTTTATAAAATCCGAGTCCTAGAGATTTTTTCAATAGTTGTCAATCTAATCTAAGATGTTGTGACTTTCTTTTTACAATCCTTCATGCAGTGACTTCCTCTTCACAATCCCTCATGCTGCCACTCAATGCTTGATTATAGTATCTTGATTTCTTCTTATTTCATGGCTTCTTGCTTTTTATTTCACAGCCAACAACCCTTAAAAATAGTAGCTAATGTGTAGAAAAAGATGAAAGTGAGGGGACAGAAGTTCTATTTCTTGAAACTTTTTTTAGAGAACAGTTTTTGCTAAGAAAATGCGTGACCTGCATATAGAATTGAAGTCATATCTCTAGAAATTTCTCTTCAGCCTTCTAGTGTTAGGATAGCTACAAAATTCCCAAAGAGTCATGAACTAATCTTTATTCTAAAGAGACTAAGAAGTCTTTTTCAATTAACTACTTTTTACTAAACTCATGACTTTTAACTATATTTCTAACTCGAAAATGACTGAATCGAGCAATGTATTCAATGTATAAATTATAACTCTAGATAGTTTTAAAATATCCAAAATATCTCCTATGCGAGACTAACACATGCTACCAAGAAAATTACAACAATACCACTACTATCACCCAATGCTAAAAAAAAAAAAACAAAGAAATAGTTTTATGCTTTAGGCATTCACTTTGTGGCTACTTTTTCTCTACTTTTTAATTCTAATTAACATCCAAACTAGTCTATGGTCTAGTATTGATGTTCTTCTACATCTCTAAATAAAATTTATATAGTTAACAAGTTAGAATAGCAAAAAAATAAATATAAAAAACTCAATTCGCTCAAGATCTCCGAAAAGGGTCATTTTAGGTTATTGTTATCTTTCAAATTGGCATAATCAACTCTTTATCCAATATCTTTGAATTTAGTGTCTTTTTAAGTTTTTCGATCTCTTTAATGCTAAGTTGTGACTCCAAACTCTTAATTTGTTTTCCTTAGTCGATTTGAAAGTCTAATATGTCGGGTAACAACAACATGACGGCTCCATTGGAGATTTAGAGTTAGGTCATAGGGTTTAAATTTTTTCTTAAGTTTATCTCCTCCAATTATTTTTGCCATTTTATTTTTAAGTTATTTATGTTTCGAGCATTTATTTTATTGTTAAGCCATTTATTTTATGCAATTCATGTATCTTTTTTGTATTTAAATTTAAGTATTTATTTATCATAGTTACATACATCACGAGAAAAAGCCAACAAAAGCTCTGGATTCGAGTTCAACCTACCAAGATTTAGATAAGGGAGACTGAATGACAAATGTGACAAAAGTGCACTAATACTCATATGGACTCTGCTTCAATTAAAACTCACCATATACATGTGAAATTGTAGAATACTCTTTTCGTACCTTCTGTTGCATAAGATCAAAGGCTAAATTACCTCACTCGGTAATTTAGACAATTTGATAAGTTGAAAAGCTTTAAAATATTAACATATAAAGCATATTGATAAAAATATAAAAACTCAAACCATAAATCTTGTATATTTTAATGAAATTATAATGATCTACTACCAAAATTAGCATAACTTCTTGATAAAAGGAAAAAAGTTAACATAACTTGGTATAATCTTTTTATTTCTCATTTCTAAAAAAAGAAAAAATATATTAATTGTGTAAAACGTAAATTTTAATATAATAAAATTAATAATACTAAAAAAATATGTATATAATTTTGTGCAAATCATTATTGAAATTTTTATATTAATTCTTCAAATATATAAAATTCATAAACTCAAACTAATAACTAATGATATGGCATTTTTGAAGTAATAATAATTCCTGCATTTTGTTTTTTAATTTTCATTTGACAAATTTTATAAATTTTAATGCAATGGAATGATAAACATTTGATTGAGACTTTTTTAATAATTTAAAAAATCAATTGAAACATAAAAAATATTATACCATTAGTTATATTAATTTAAAAATTGAAATTTTAATGAAAGTTTGAATGAATAATTGATACAAATGAAAGTTTAAAAGAAGAAAAAAAATTGCAAAACATCTCAAATCTCAAGAGAGAGAAAATTAAAATTTACCCACAATTTTTTAATAGTGTGAAAATTCGACTGAGATAATTTTTTATTTTTTATTTTTTGAGTACTTGATATCAAATCCTGTTATAATTAAGGAGCTAATTTATAACTACTACTACTACTATTTTTTCTTTTCTTGAAAAGTAAAAAGAGTGGGAAAATAATTTGCTGCCGCAGTGCCGGGTCCCCCGTAGCAGCAGATATCTGGACTGGGAGAAGATGCTCTTAAGCTGACGTGGCCTCAACAATTAAAAGAAGAAGAAAGATGAGTTTCGTGATACATACTGCGCAGCCCGGCGTAATCTAGAGACCCCCCGGTCCAATAGCGCGCAGCGGGAAGCGGTCAGCTCACGCAAACAAACCAAAAACTTTTTATTTTTATTTTTTAACAAGCAAATAACTTGAAAAACCGACATGCTCTCTCGAGTCTGGAGAACAGGGTCACACCATCTTTTCCCCTAGATCAAAACTTTATCGATATTAGAAGTGATTATTGCCCACTCCCTCACCGAATCAAAGTCATGTGGATTTGGTACCATTGTCGAAATTCTAGGGTTTTTTCTGCTATTTTTCTCCTTTCTTTGATTTTCTTCATCTACTATCCAGGTAAAAAGAAAATGTTATCTTCTCAATTTAGAAGCGAGGATTGTGTGTTTAATTTTTGGTTGATTGGTGTGTGTTTGGTGACAGGAATTGTATTATCCGCTGTTGTAACATTGGATTCGATGAAAATATACAGAACCCACGAGTGGTTAATTGCTAAACCAACAATATATTTCAGCTGTAAGGGAGAAAACAAAACTGTATTGCCTGATGTCAAAACAGTTAATGTCTCTTATACTTTCAAAGGTGAAGAATCCTGGCAGGTAAGGTTTACATATCTTATATTTATTTTAGGTTAATCAAATTACTTAGAAATTAATGTGATTTTTTATTTCTTAAATTTGTGTGTGCTTTTTTAGCCTTTGACAGAATTTATGAGTGCGAAATGCAAGAGATGTGGATTCTATGAGGAAGATAAGATTAAGTCTGATGATGTGTTTGATGAGTGGGAGTTTTGTCCGTCTGATTTTGCGGATTCTGATGGGAAATATAAGCGAATTAATCCGAAGGAATTTGATGCTACGTTTTTGTGTCCACAATGTGTGCCAATATCAGCTGGTGAGTGTTTGTTGGTATATCATAGTTCGAGATTTATAACTGTATTTTGTGCATTTTATATCTGATGTTTCAAGATGTTCTCAGCTTCTAGCCTATGATGGATAGCTGGTTTGTTTAGCGGAATGTGGTTTGAATGTCATAGTTAGAATGATTGTTTGCTATGGAGTTTTAAGTATAGAGGTAAAGTATGCCATTCTGCATCAAAGGTTAAAAGCTATGTGGGATGACTCTATTTTTGTAGGTCATTGAACTGAATTCGTATTTGTATCCTTCAGAAAGAAGGAATGCCCGTATTTGGAGATATGTCGCATCAGTGGATGATCAGGAACTGTTGCTTTAGAAAACTAACTAACTTAGGTGGTGGTGGGGAAGGCATAACTCTGGGTTTGCTGCACCACCTTGGTTGATGACCAACTTGTCATTGTTTCAGATGTTTAGATGCTTCTATACATTTATGATACTTTTAGCAATTGTGTGTATGAATTATGCCATCAATGAACTTTTAGGCTATTCACAGAAAGGAAGGGACTTTGACAGTGGTAGAGAAGGCAGAATTCCTGTTTTGCTAAAAGACAAGTCATGGGCTGGGATTTTTGCTGTCATAAGAGTGATTGTGTGCTAGTTTCAGCTTGCATGTTGCTGCCACACTAATACTGCTTTTGTGATCATCTCGGAATTTAGATGCTGTTACTACTTCAATTATACTATTTAGCTAGCTGGTATTTGAATTGTCCAACTAATTGCCAAGGTAACCAACCTTCGAGGCTATTGTAAAAACAAGGGACCTGCCTTGTTCTTGTTATTCATCTGTGTGATGTGATCATGTATTTTATGCATATCTGTGTTTCAAGTGTTTTTTAATGGCTTCTAGCCTATGATAGTTTAGTGGAATGTGGTTTGAATGATTGCTTTTTATAGCAATGTAATTATTGAGGTAAAGATGCTGTTATGTATCAAAGAATGCCGCTTTAATGAATGGCTAGTAAGTAGGAACTTAAGCAGTGGTAGGGAAGGCGTAACTCTGGTCTGGCTGGATTGCTTCAATTGACAACTTGAAATATGTGTGGAACTTTGATCGTTGCTGCTATGCTAACTCATGATTGTTTCGGATGTTTAGATGCTGCTGGTAACAATTTTTAGCAAGTTGGTTTGTGAATTCTTCTACTGATTGAAATAGGTAAATGAACTAGTGAAAACAGGAAGGAATGTAGAGGGTGTGTCAGGGACTTTGCTTTAGAAAATCAAGGAGCTTTGTCTGTGATCATGTAAAAGTTTCACCTTTATATTTTGCTGCAACAATAACACTGCATTCACCTACATTTCAGATCTCTAGTTGGTACTGGTACTTCAATAATACATTTTAGCTAGTTGGTGTGTGACTTCGAGTTGTTAAGGTAAACCAACCTTCCAGAGTATTCTTTTGGTAACGTAAACAAGGGACTTGCCGCTTGGATGTTTTACTAGTCCATCTGTGTTGTGATCATGCATGTGCCTCTCCTTGTTTGTGTTCTAGTGGAAACAGCTCTTTGTTCAAGAGTACACTCACGATTCTGTTCTCCATGTGCGTGAAGATTCCAACTCTGCCTCGAAGCCCCACAAAGAAGGGAATGGAATGCATCTTGCTGTGATCATATTGATCAGTGCTCTGGTTTCAACTGTGTTTGTTCTTGGGGTAGTAGCAGCATACAAGTACTGGCAAAGGAAGAAGAGGGAGCAAGATCAAGCTCGGTTTCTAAAGCTGTTTGAAGATGGGGATGATATAGAGGATGAACTGGGTCTTGGCTCTGTAATATGATAAATTTTATTAGCTTGGCCATCATCTGTATAGCACACTGATTATACATAACTTTTACCCGCGTTAAAAGAAAAAATTTCACTCTTTAACAGTGATTATTGACGTGCTAGAATGAACATTTGCTATGCCTATGAAATTCAGGTCTTAGTGATGCTTAAGATGTTGAGATCAATGGACCTAAATTCCTAAATGAGAAGAAACTAGCCTTTTTGGTTCCCTTAATTGAGATTCTTTTGGACTAGTAAGATTTTGGACAATGATAATTGTAGCGATCACATCCACAGCTGTCAGACATGGTACCCATGAGGCAGATCAACCGAAGGGTGCCAGCTTGTGAATTTTTATTAGGCCGTACTGGTGGTTTAAGATATACAGACGAAAACATTTACGTGGCATGTCAGACGGAAGTTCAATTCAATTTCAGATTCTTACTCTTACAGAAGATGGATTTAACTGGGTTTGCTCCAATTTTTCGGTCAGTAGTCGGTACGAGGTTCTGCTGAACCCTGTCTCTCTAACAACACAAGTAGAAACCTTCGCTTTTATTAAATATAAGTCATCGCTTTAATACATAAGAAACTCCAAACCTGATGATAGTGGCAGAAGCTGCTGAACCTGTTTCTAAATGTCTCACATTTTATCTGTATTCATCATAAGCCGTTAAATGTTTCTGAGTCAAGCAAGGCCAGTAACCGAAAAGACCTTCACAGATGCCCATCTCATCCAGGCTGTAGCTGTGTGCATATCTGGGCTCATGCCCACCATAGTAGTTGCTATCTTCCTCTCATCAAACCAGGACTCGTAGCCAGACCAAAGACTATTATCATAATAAGAAAACTGGGTTTCTTCATTCTCATAATGCCCAGAATAAATGCCTCTCTGTTCTTCACCTTGGAAACATTCTTCTCTGCCCTGCAATCCACTGTTGCCATAGGAGGAGAAGTCATCATCCCAACAATCACCAAAGGTGAAGCAAGACTCGTATTCGCTCCCCCAGTTCCTCCAATTGCTGTATGGCAGCTGCTCTTCTTCATGAGGGTTCTTTGCATAATAGGCCTCTTCTTCACTATATGGTGAAGAAATGAACTCTTGAAAGGAATCATCCTGGCATAGAGAATCTGAGACTAATGGTGGACAAGGATAGCATATGGCTTCTAAAAATGGAGGACAATCTTCATACACTCCAGGAATATCATAACTGTCAGGAAACAAAGTCGGACAATCTTCTGCGACGACTGTTTGTGATTCTTGCATATGATAATTATTAGAGCAGGTCATGGCAGATAGAATTCAACCAGCAACACTTTCTTCCGAGTCAGTCTTACTGAATCACTTGCACTTAGTACTCCCAATAAATGGTTTCCTTCTCCTGTTAATTCCAGTATCCTAGAGGTGGGGTTTGAGGGAAAGAAAGCCGGTTGTTTAGGCACCAGCCTTTTTGGGTTGCCCCGTCTAGCACCGCCCTTATATCAATCAGATTCTATCCCAATCTCTGAATTCCTGTTGGAACCGAATCTATACCAGGAAATGAAAAAAGCAACATAAAGATTGGCATCTTTAAATTAGTGTCGTCAGCCAGAGCATCTTACGCAATTTTTTTGCCACTAAGAACAAAGTAACAAATTCCACTTTGCTAGGAAACTCTCCTTCTTCTTCTTCTTTTTTTTCCTTCTCTTTTTCTCTCTTTTTTGTCAACCTCATTTATGTTATAACCATTACATTCCATTGAAATTCACCACAGTTCTAGAGGAGTTCTATTATGGGCCTGATTTTTTTAATAGAAAATCTGGTTTTCTAATTTCTAAAATCACATATCTTTAGATACGCCAAAGTTTCCATAATCTGGAACGTTAAGTAACCCTAGCATCACCCTTTGACATATGTTTGACAAGAAAAAGAATCTTCATCAAATAGCATCACCCAGTTGGAGAATTTTAGTTCTATTAATCACAAAAATTGAAAAGAATTACATTTATAGATTAACATAGAGTATTTTGACAAGAAGATCAAACCAATCTAAAATCACAATCATCAAATAGCAAAGGAAAGGAAAAAAATCATTTACCATAAGTGAAATTCTAATCAACCACCCTACAAACAAACAGCGAAATGAAAGCTAACAGCTACCCACCAAGAAACCTCACCAATCTTAAGGATGAATATTGGTGTCACTCCCCTCATCACTAAGATTTGGACGATTTGCCCGGCGAATGAACCTGATATAATTCGACATCTTTCGTGCTCGATGCTTCTTTGGAGCCACTTGAGATGGCAAAGCCTCGGTTCTTGGATTCACAGAATCATCTAACAGTGAAGGAATTGGTACCAAAGGTCCATCAACACCATGGACAGCACAAGAACCATCAACGTAAAGATTAGGGACAGTAACAAGAACGTCATTTAAAGAAACTCTATGGCCATCGGTGTCAACAACAAGGGTGGTGTTTTGATGGAGAGTGGGGAGGGTGGTGTTGGACGGGAAGGTGAGAAGGGTGTGGAAATGGAGGACTCCTGCAGTTGTAATGTGGCCATGAAGGCTTTCATTGTGGAGGAATCCGTTAATAAGGGCAGAATCAGGTGGTGCAAGAAAGGTGATGCCGGTGGCATTGGAGGCAGTGATGATGGCGGTGAGGTTATGGACATGGAGGGCATGAGCGAAGACTGCAAAGCCGCTAGATGACAGAGAAGTGGCCATAGTGTCGGAGCAGAGGCACTCCATGGTGGGGGTGATTGAAAGCAGCAGGGCTGCAAGAAGTAGCATAATGGTTGACATATGAGAGATCGGGTTTGCCATTTGAGAGAGAGAGAGATGATAGAAAGCAATCAAGATCCAAGAACGAAGAGAGAGAAATTAAAGAAAGAAACCAAGATCCAAGAATGAAGGGATAGAGATTAGAGAAAGCAATCAAAATGCAAGAACAAAGAGAGTCCTGTATATTGTTGCAAGTGGTGAGTGTTGGCTATATTTCCCTCCTTTTTCGTCTGAGTAACGGTTTAAAAGTGTTTTAACTTCAATAATAGTTCCGCACGCTTCTCCTATCTGTGGATCATCATTCCTCAAAGTTAATTATCTCAATTCTTATGTTTCAAAAAAAACAAAAAGTTAGCAGTTTTATCAAATTCAGATGCTGGTTAGATCCACAAGGCTCAATGCTGCAAATACCACACGATAGGATTGTAATTTTTACTAGAAGGCTTTAGAATCTCAAAATATGCATGACATACAACGCAAAAAATAAACAAAACAAGCTAATTTATAGGCAATATGTTTGCAGAAGGAATAAAGCTAAACTCATTTTCAGTACAACTGAAAGCATGGATAATCAGGTTGAATGTCTGACCATTTCATGATGATTAACATTCAAGCCCAACTAGTCGATCTATGATTATTGGGGAGTAACCAGACTCATAGACACAAGGAAAGTCATCTTCCAAACACTGCTGATTTCAGTTGAATTAAGGGACCTCCAGCAACTTCAAATTTGATGAAGCCAAGTCAGCAGGCTATCTGAATTCTGATCTCATGACCAATCTATTAGAATTAATTCTGGTCCTTGAGGTCATTTATTCATCCACACAACGGCAAATTTTGCCAAAAACGGGCTCTATAGAAGACTAGTGGAATCATATTGCTCCATAGTTGAATGCACATGCATTGAACTCCCGCTTTCATCTTTCTTTAAACCCTTTTCCTTATGGCATAGGATAATATCCCAAATTCTGGTCAAAAGTTCATATTTGATCAGATTATATTTGACTCAACTTTCTGACCAGCTCAATGAACAAAAAAACAAGAACGGAAAAGGATCGAGGTTTAAATGACCTTGATCGAGCAGTATAAGCACGACAAGTTGGATCGATTAAACTAATCAGAACTCCTCAACGAGCGATTGAAGTTATCCAATTCCTTTGAATGTGAACCATAGATTGCCTTAATGGTGTCTCTACAGCAACTGCAAGCAACATAAGAGAACAAGCATGAGAAAAGGGTGGAGCACGATCAGATGACTAAGGTCACATACAGCTTGAGCGTTGCGTGAATGTAAGTAGATGGACTTACCCGCATGCCTCCTTGTTGAATTTCTTCTTTGTAATGCCATACAGTGACTCGAATATATCAGGCTCCACACGACAAAAATAGGGACGATCTGAAAGACGAAGAAATCCCATAAAAAGCTAAACGTTTACAAAATTAAAGAAGCAAGCTAGAAGCTGATCAAGAAATGGAGCTAGTGATAATCACCAGGATAAATTGAACACTTGCGTGTGCTTTTCTCATAATGAATACACCATCCATCCGGGCCAATCAAGCTTTTATAATGCTGAAAATTCATAATGCAGCAAAAGAGAAAGAATTAACAAAAGATAGTAAGAGCTTCGCTAATGTTTTGCCTTTTTTTTGCCCACATTTCGTCAAACAAATTATGTGCATGGTAAAAATTACGAAAGCAAACCTCAACATCAGAACGGTTTGTGAAGATTTCTTCAGGAGTGGCAAAAGCAGGACCCTTGGCCAGCTTGCAGCAAGCACCACAATCCTCCACGCACCGCCATAGTGGCTCTTTCTTGCTGGCACCGAAGCCTGTAGTGTTGCCAAGTGTTGGCGTGGCCTCGGCCACTTTTGCATTCTTCAACTTTCCTTTCTGGGGTTGCCGGCGCGCTGCAAAGATCACGGAGCTGAAGCAGGGCAGAGTAATGGTGGGTGACATTTTCAGTTGAGAATCAGATGGATTCTCGGGAGCAAGAAATAGCTCTTGGTCTGTGGCAGTAAGTGAATTCCAAAACGAAACATGCAGTTGATACAAAATAGCATTGGATTATCCTCCATCGTCCACATAATTATTCAATAAAATCGATTTCAAATTTCAGATTAATTTAGGCAAAACCCTAAAAAAAAAAAGGGTTAATGGTTTCCGATCTTTCTACAATTTTTTCTCCTTATCTTGTCTTCATATGTTTTTTTTTTCATCTTAAGTTCATCTTTTAAAGTTTGGTAAAAACATTTTAGATTAATGATGATAAATTACATAGTTAGCGCCACATAATTGCTATTTTTTTATTTCAATCTCGTCTCTCTAATTTATTTTGTTTATAAAATTTTGTTTCAAAATTTCTATTTCTATTTTTGAATTAAACTAAAAAAATTTATAAAATAAAAATAAGTATAATAGAGAAGAATTTTATACCCATAAAAAAATAAAAACTCATTTCTATCTTCACCTTTATTTTCCATTTTTTTTTTCAAAATTTATTAATTATATTCGGTAAAAAAAATAGGACGGAATTAACTCAAGGGAAAAAAAAAAAAAAAAAAAAAGGGGGTCCAGATACACGATTAAGGCAAAAACTAAACCTAAAAAAAATAGCTTATATATATAATTAAAAAACAAAACAAAACAAAGAAATCAAAAAAAAAAAAAAAATCCTGCAACCATTAAACTTTCATAAAATATGACTCGATACTTTCATCAGAAAATACGTTAAGTTCAAGTTATTTTACGTTTTATGCGATCACGAGGTGAAGAATTGAAGTGGCGAACCTAACAAAAGGCCACGCTATCACAACTTGGTTTATGACACAACCAAGCCACGTTACCGTGAAATCCAAGTTCTTCCATTGGACCTTGTTATCAGGCAGATGCACGCGTTATCATATCATCACGAGATTTTGACAGAACAAAGAACATTCAGCTCCATCGACGCTGAAGTAAAGCTCATAATTGCCATTTGCCTAGATAAGCAGTTCATAATTGTCACTTTCCTAGATGTACAGGGACACCCGACAGTCGGTCATCCAGTTGTAGTTTCTAAATCCTGAAGCGAAAATGGAGAAGAAAACGAATCGAAAGCATAGCTCTCCATCATACCAAAGGATTCAAAATAGGCTCCCTAAATCCAAATCAAAGGTTTCAAATTACATCTCTCTCTGCTAGGCATATAAAATGTTTATGACCATCTAAATAGAACAAACTTACTTAAGGTCTTGGTAATTATAGGAAAGTAAGTGCAAACAGGCACCCCAATTCCATAGGGATGCATTTCAACGTGACACATCACTATCTCTTGGTGAGCGGTTGTTGTCCTCGTAATCATCATCAACAGGACTTCTATCATCTCTGGGACTAGGGCTGCGGCTTCGGCTTCGGCTTCGGCTTCGGCCATTAGCGGAAGGACTTCTATACCTCTCATCTCGAGGGCTTCTGCTTCTTCCCCTGGGGCTGGCACTGTACTCTCTATCTTGTTCATCGTCCAGTTTCCGAGACTTGGGAGAAGGACGTGGGCTGCCTTCGTCAGGTGTTGGGCTGCGCTTCCTTGCCTTGGTAAACTTCGGCTCAGGGCTCAATGACCTGTCCTCATTCTCAATACTTCGCTCCCTCTTTGGTGGTGGAGATCTTGATCGGCTGAAAAAACAGAAGATCAAGTTAACAGAACATACAATATATGAACAAACCCAAAATCCATGAAGAACACCTTACTATATTATATTAGAAAATTGCAAATCATATACTTCCAAAGAACAATCACAAACCTGTAGCTCCGACCTCGGCTGTAACTTGGGCTGCGGCTTCTTCCACGGTGAGGAGAGCGTGATCTACCTGGTGATCGAGAGTAACTCCTCCCGCGCCTACTGTATAGAACACACAATAAAAAAAAGCAGTAACATTGAACATCAGCAAGAAATTATCACCAAAGCAAACGAATGCACAAGCAGCAGCAGGATCGTGAAGGAAATGACAAAAGATATGATGATTACGTGAGTTTCTTGGGACTGTTCTTGCAGTTTCTCTCTATATGACCTCTTTCCCCACAACGATAACACTTATTCTTCCAGTCTCCAGCTTTGCAATCTCGAGCCCAGTGGCCATCAATGCCACAATTAAAGCAGCGTCCAGACCCTGGAGGAGGACCTCTTCCCAAATATTCTCGAGAACCACGAGGTACCTAGAAAAATTCCCAACAAGAAACATTCAATTTAGTAAATGAGTATTAATAGCCTTTGGGATTAAGAAGATGAAGAAATTATCATGCTTTTAACAGAAGAGTCATATGGTAAATGACTAATTAAGTCACCAGTGGTAACTTACTCAACCTTCTTAAAGAGACCAAATCAAGTTCAATGCACAAGGATTAAGAATCACCGTGAACGAAAAAAAAAATGAAATAAATCATATTATCTGGGGGAAAGACTTTGGACAAACACAACTTTACATTAGCTTCAATTAGGATTAGGATTTGGACTTCGGTTCCATTTTCATACAACCAATTTGCTTCCAGTTAATCCCATAAAACCAAAACCAATACAGACCTAGTCTACCAAATTACAATAGCATGTTTTGACGTTTGTGATTATACTAAATGAAAACATTAACCAGACAGAACTTACCCCCTTGGCAAATTCCACGATGATTCGACTTCCATCAAACTCCTTGCCATCTAAGTAATGCCTTGCATCATCAGCATCTCTGGGATCACTAAATTCCTGTTCAAAAACAGTGAGAACAAACAAGCAAAACACACCACATGTGTATCACAGAACATAAAAACCAGTTCTCGCCAAGAAAGAAGTACGAGGATGTGTGCTCAACCAAAGCTCTAAAAAATTCCATTTTGTGAATATCATGAGAAGAAAGGGAAAAGACTTACAACAAACGCATAGTCACGCTTCATATCCACATCTCGTACTCTGCGAAATGGTTGCCACAAACAGTAAGGCCATCATTACTTAAGTACTGCAAGTGTATGATACTTCACCCCTCACAGACGAACTAAACACCAGTTTGAGATTGTTGCCAATTCCATAAAAACACGCAATAACATAATAGAAAGAATCGCCAAAGTCTCCTATAACTCGGCAAGAATTTCCACCAATTCCATCATGGCAACCCTCTCACCATAGACCTCCAGGTTAGGCAATAGGCCAGAAACCTTCAACAAGATCATTCAAGTTAAAAAAATGACACCTAGGGCCACCTACACAGATAACGTGAATAACACAAATCCACGAGCAAAACAAGCTGTTGAAGTCCTAAGTGTTTCCTAAGTATTTGCAGGGGCAAAAAAATTCCCTCTTACCAATCAAAGGCAGTTAAACAAAGGAAACGAACAGATATACTATTACTGTACTGCAGGGAATAGATCCATAGTGTTAAATTCAAGTTAGAGCATCTTTCAATAGAACCTTGAAAGCCCAGAAATAAATTGCACAAAATATATTTGGATGAGTTCATAAATAGCTAAAAAAATATAAAAACCCACGATTCCCGTTAAACGTGCGTGTGTTTGTGAGAAAGAGAGAACCCTATTACAGCTTAGGACCAAGATGTCAAGCACTTTAGACTTGAAAATAGAGAAATTACCGCCCATATTTGCTGAAAAGATGTTCCAGATCCCGTGATCGCGTCCTAGCTGCCAGGTGCCCAACATAGAGACGCGTACTGGCATATCGATCATCATAACGCGGCATTTCAAACTGCAACAACCAAAACTTTCCTTAATACTTGAAAAAAAAACACAAAAAAACGAAACAATTCATTTTCTTCAAATCCACAGAACAACAAACTAACTAATTCACCAGCAACTTCTAATCTTTCAATTACAATTGACTATATAGCAGCACCTACGTGAATTTATAAAAGAGCATCAAGGCAAGAAGAAATCAGATCTATCAAAACACAGAAATTAAAAGGCCAGTATTTTTAACACAACAAAATCTGAATTCAAAAACCCACAAAATATTGCAACTTTTTCACATGAATTCATCAGAAAACACCAATAATTAATCCGTTATTGACTGAAAGAAACTCTTGGATTTGAAACTGCAATAAAAAGAACTAAATACACCCTAATTTCTCAAAAAAAAAACTAAATTAAGGAGTTCGTACCTTGAATTTGAAAACCCTAACTTTTTCGAATGTTGATTAGGTCAAAGAAAGAGAGAGAAAGAAAGGGATCTGTGGCTGTTTTCTATATTATTGAAAGTTAACCAAACCGACGGGGCTTCCTTGGTTCTTATCTCTTTGATGATGATTAAAAAGGTAAGACGACTTGATTTGGACGGACAAGATGCATTGGTGTTAATCCAAGGGTTAGGAATTGAAGAACAAACCTGTTTCACCTAACCCCCACCGAATTGATTGAATTTGTGGGCCGAGATTCTACAGGCTTTGGGCCAGTGAGGCAAACATTTGTGGAAACGAGTTAATTATATCTTAATCCCTGTCCTTTATCGAAACTAATTTTTTAGTCCCTATACCATTAATAATAATTATATAATCCCTTGCTTAGTGATGGTCATCTTCAATTTCGTAATTTTTGTGCAATAAATTCCTTCTTTCCTAATCAAGTTTTTCAATCTTACCAACATCTCTTTATGTTTCTCTTTTTTTCCCAAAAACGAAGAGAAAACAAAATAAATTACAAGAAAACATGAAATTGATGAAAGAATTTATAGGTGGACTGAAAAAAATAGTGTAAATATATATAGTTTTTAAAACTATATTACATTGGATAAGGTGTAAAATATAATTGGAGTTAACTTTTTTTATGTGAAAATATAAATGGAATTAAAATTTTATTTTTTGTATTCAATAAAAAGAAATATCATGGGATGAACTTGTACTAAGTTTATTTTATTAATTGCCAAAATCAAACCCCAACCAGAGAATCGTTTTGATGGACATGTATATACTTTTACTGATTAGTGATAAAATTGCATGTCACATTATTATTATTATTATCATCTCTTGATTGCATTAGTAGGATGTATAATTCTCTACTCAATCACTTGCCATATTATGCAGAATTCTATATTTCTAAGGCAATACACACGCTGCGATAAAATTCAGCATAAGTAAAATCGTAAAAGAATGGTTCATGTGACTTAATTGAATTGACATGTAGTTACCCTTAGAATGTGCTAATTGTTTTTCCTCGGTGCTTTGTCCCTCCTTCAATTCCCAACAAAATAATGATAACAATAATAACATTACTCTAGCAAGCACCCATTACTTGCTATTGATTAGAAAGATGATTCACAGAAGGCAAAACAAAAAAAAAAAAAAAAAAAAAGGCACAAAAAGTCATTACAAAGAGAGAATAAGATTAAGCCAAGAAACAGGGCCAAATGCTAAGCAAGAAAAGAAATTGTAAACTACTAATAATTTGAATCTTAAGCTTGGACCATAAAAGGCTTGAGATCTTGGACTTATCAAATTATGTTAGACCAACGATTTCTTCGAGCGTTTCAAATTACATCCTTCAATAGGCTCAATATGAACTACTCTCTCCATATGGCATGATTTAGCATCCAAATATTCAAGTGTCCACATGCAAGAAAATCGCATGAATAGGCTCCCCAAATTCATATCATGCATTAAGAGGAAAATTGGAACTAATTAAAACGACAATTATCAAATCCTAAGTACAATTTCAATCCAATATCAGTTATTGAATATACTATTGCATGGTCACTGTAGAACATTATTGTCTTTGATGATAGTTTCAATGGGTCGCTTTATGAAAAAAATTCCTTATTAGCTACCTGGAGTGCTCTGCTTGTAACAGCAACTGACCTCTTCCAAGGTTTTTGGATAGCATCTATGAAGGATAGAAAAGGAAAAGGCCAATAAGTTAAGTGATATAAAATGTTGAGTCGATGTTTTAAGTTCTCTCAAAACTGTGTATTTACCAAACCCTTAAGTAGTTCCAAGAATGCTAACGTCACATATTATTTCCCTTCATGGCTAATATCCACACAAAGCAAGCATGCTAACGATCCAACTCACTGCATATAACTCACATCTTTATGCAGTATATCCAGCTCAGTCCACCTAGTTTTGTAAGTCGAAGCATTTCGTTTATAAGAAGAAACAAGCCCCAGGTCAGTCAGATTAGTGTATATATATATATATATATATATATATATAGAAGATATTAAGTATCAAATAAGTACGTTGAGTCAACCAGCAGATTGGTTATGTACATATCACGACGTCTATGATCTGTTTATTGTGGCCGGTTCTACATATGTATGTTCACATGTATTTTTCTTAATTTCATACCCAATTTAGATTCAGCAAAAGTTTATAGACGGAAGAAATTAGCAACGATAGGTCACATGAATTATGAAATGCAAAAATTGATCATATGGGCTTTGCATGAAACCGTTTTTCCAAACCTAATCTTAATCCGGCGACTCCATCAAGATTGACTCAGCTGGAGTTTCCCTTGCTAAAATTGTACGATTTGCAACAACTTTATGAAACTAAAGGTACAGTTACACTATAAGTATACCAACTTTTAACATTTTCTCAATCAAATGTATAAATTTTAATTTTTTTATTTAAGTATATTAATTTTTTTAAAACTTCAATCAAGTACTTCGTCAATTTCTCCATTAATTGATAATGTGTCTTAATACCAAATTATTTTTTTCCTTTTTTGTTGTTAAGAATTTTCTACTTAAATTATTCTATAATTTCAAATTTTGACAAAGAATAAAAAAAAATTTAGTTATAAAATCTCGAATTAAACTTAGTCGGACTTGCTATTAAAAAAAATCAATCAAGTTTTGGACATGAAAGTTGAAGAAAACCGAAACATGAGATTTTTCATTGAGAATATTTATTTGTGTTTTTCTTCAATTTTCACTCTTAAACCTAAGTGAGTTTTTTTTTTTTCCTAACAACAATGTAAGCTGAGTTTAGTTTAGAATTTTATAAATAAAATTAATATTTTTTTAATTATTTGTCAAATTTTTAAATGATAAAATAATTTGAGGAAAAAGTTTTCTTCAACAAAAAAGAGGATACAATTATAATTCCGGATTCAAATACATCATCAATTAACGAAAAAAATTGATGAAAGTACTCGATTGACAATTTTGAAAAGGTTGATGAACTCGGACGAAAAAAATTAAAATTCATATACCAAATTGAGAAAATGAGTAAAATTATAATTTGATATTTTGATGGTACTAGACATGTCATCGGTTAATAAAAAAATTAACAAAAGTAATTGATTGATAGTTTTTAAAAAATTAATGTATTCAAACAAAAAAATTAAAATTTATATACTCGATTGAGAAAAAATTAATATACTCATAGAATGATTATCTCTCAAACTAACCATGAAAGTTGTCACAATGTTTTGTTGGCAACCAGTGTTTTTTTTATTGTGCAAACAAATAATCACGTTTATCTTGCAATTATCTTTGCTCAGAGGCCGAGTAGTGTTTTAATTGATTTGTAGATGATTTCAAGATATCTTCCACATTCTTCTTTTTCTTTTTCTTTTTTTTCATGGGAGACTATTCTAGTCTCAGATGGGGAGAAAATTATAAATTTATTTAGCTAATTTTGATAAATGAATTAAGTAGTTCTTATTATTTCAAAAAATTAATTATTTAGTCCCTATATTTTTTAAAATTTCTTATAACTGCATTCTTTTCTCTCTTTTATAATTTATTTTGGTTTTTTATTTAAAGAAATATAAAAATAAAAAAGATCAATACAAAGTATAAAAGAATTGATGAAAAAATATGAAATTTTATGAAATATAATAATATTAAATTAAACAAAGTCAACACCGTTGAAAAGACTAAATAATAATTATTTTTTTGTAAAGAGAATTAATTAATTTGTTTTTATAAAATAAAGGGACTGATTTATAATTTTCTCCTTGATTTGTTGTAATTCACCATTTCTTAGGTTGTGGCAAATTAAGCAAGTCAACAGAAAAATTGAGGAGCCTCAAAAACTTTAGCAATAGCCTCCTGTATTTTCGTATTGTCTCCATATATTTTCCACATAATCAACGTCCGATTGCAGTTAATCCTGCTCAAACCACAAGTGACATATCCAATTTCATAAAGAATTTTCGAACCAAATTTTCTTTAAAGAGTGTTCATTATAAATATAAATCTACCATTAAAAAAAATGCACCCAAAAACACAGAATAATAAATCAAATTCAACTAATCCCCCCCTCCCCCCAAAAAAAAAAAAACATATTAATTGTAAAAAAAATTGCAAGCACAACAAAATTTAAAGGAATCAAAATATATAGTAAAAATACAAAACTATCACAAAGGAAACGTAAAAAAAAACATAAAACATTAAATTTCAGTTCAACGAACCTCAAAAACTAATTTAGCATATTTATTAAAGAAAATTTACAGGCAGATCAAAAATAATAATAATTACAAACAATAAAATAGAGATATCATAAACAAGATTTAAGCAACCCAACAAAGAACTTAATCCAAAAAAGTACATGAAAAAATGGATACAAAATCAATGCTAAAAATTATTGAAAAGAAAAACACTATAAAAATACACAATCAGCAAATCATCAATATAAAATATTAACCTCTACATACTCTAAACATTTATACATAAAATCACACACACAAAAACCTCAAGACCAATTTTAAAAACTATGAGATAATTTTGTTGCATAAATAGTCAAGCGATCATTGGAAAAAAAAAAGCCAAAAGATTGTAAAAACCTTCACACACAAAAATTAACTTAAATCCAAATAACATAATAAAACACAATATTATACATGCATTATCACTTTTTTTAAAATTAAAAAAAAAAAAAAATCCTCTGCAGCTACAAGCACTTTATAGATAATTGGTTATTACTTTTCATCATTAAATTTGTTATTATAATTATTACTTTGAATGAACAAGACAAAAAAAAAACACCTAAACTATGTTTTAAAAATTCCTTCACTAATAACAAAACCACGTGTGCAAATATTTGTGCCCTCCTCACATCCGTGGGCCACTGGATGCGTTCTATGTCGTATCACCTAAAGCATGCCTAAAATAAAGCAACACCATTAGCAGTGCTCAAAGCATGGAAGATAGTATCAGTCGTTAAACTACCAAATTAATATGATGATTCCTAACGCGCCATATATATATATATACACACACTGGGTATTAGCTACTAATTTTTCATGTTTCACCTTGAAATGGCTACAGAATGTAAACGATGTATCATTGCCCTTACAAAATGTCACCTATTTTGGATGGTATAGAAGTCTATTGTTAGAAAAGAAAACAAAAATAAATGATATACTACAATTACGATGGTGAATTTGCAGGTCACGAACCTAAAATTTGGATGAAATTCAGGATTAGACTCTAACACAGGCTTGGCCTTGAGACAGTCACTTGGTTCATGCAGGTCCCTTAATGTTAGGATGATGATTTTATGGCTTATTCCAAAGAGGGGGATAGTGGGCACAATTTCACAACTACTGTGGCCCAATGTTCATTCAGGTTTAGCAGCCCATTCTTGAAATTTGCTATCCAGATAAGTCCATCGTCCTGAAACGAAAAATAAAGTTTATTATGTGTACTAGTAATAGAGTAAAAATAATATTATTATTTGGAGTTGGATTATTCTAAATATTTTCAATTTTTTTACTATATACGATTTAAAAATGGGTTCTTCATCATAGTTAGGTTAGTTAATGTTTTTTTAAAAATGATACAGCCTATCATTATACAACGATATGCTTTTTCAATATATTTTTATTTTTTAAAATGAACCAATTTTATTATTGAATTTATGTAAAAAAAAAAAATTAATCTATCATTTAAAAGAAAATTTCAAACCAACCCACTGAAATGAATCATGTGAGTTATACATGTTAATTTTTGCTTTCAAAATACTCTTCCATTTTCTGTAAATATTTAGAGATTCCTTAAAAACACATTCTTTAATAGACTCATCTCTCCAGCATCTATAGCACTAAGAACAAGCCCAGCTAGCCTCTTTCAGATCACTTGAACTTGTTCCTAGCATGAGACCTAAATTGAAAATCAGGGCCAAAAGAAAAGGATTGAATTAATACATCCCACCTTTAGCACTATAATTAATTGTTAGTCCGATCTAATTTTTTAAGAAAGACATGTTTGCAAGGGTTTTTAGTATCAAATCTCCATCAAGAAGTGGATCGCAGAGATTAAACATGAGAAGAGTTTCACAGAGAACAGAATCTACAGAACTAATTTCTCGAATTGCTTGAAGTCACAGAATTTCAACTGCAGTTTTTGAAAGTGTTTCATCCCGTTCAAGTCCATGGATTTTGCAACTTTTTTTTATAAATCTGTGAACGTATGAAACTTCTCAAACTTGTTTTGATTTGGTTCTTGAAGTATAAAGATTGAATTCTTTTGTTTTCTCTTCTAATTATCACTTAAAATCTGTCAAATTTTGGTTGATTAACTTCATGTTCTTGCTTGCAAGTTAAGAAGAGAGTTAATTATAGCAATAAAAATCAAGTCAATAAAAGATTCTCTGATGTGGGCGTTTTTTTTTTTTTTTTTTTTTGAAATAAAAGGAGAAAAAGAAAAGATGAAAGATGGACTAGATACAGTTATTATCTTATAATTTTAAAATAAATAAAATTCTTGAAGTTACAAATTCTACAATTTACATGTCTTTTCGCCAAAAAAAAGGAAAAAAGAATTAGAGAAACAATGTTATGCGACCTAAAGATGCTGCCTAATTACTTTTTTGTTTTGAGTAATGCTAACATGCAGAATGGTCTCACATAATTTACATGTCTTTCCATTCTGAACGTAACACTTCAGAAACCCAGATCAAATTCAACAATTGACGTGGAAGACAAAGTGGTGGCAAGAGATTTTTTTTTTTTTTTAAAGGACAAAACAGCCATCACAAAAATTAACATCTAGCCGCTCATTCTGTCTAATGTTAGTAGCCCTCTGTGTCTCCATCTGTTGTTTATCTGGTGCAAATCTTTGATCAACCCGCACCAATAAAAGAAAGAAGCAGGGCAGTTCTCTCATTGTACGTCGTCTTGAGGGGAACAACACTACAAATTTTGAACCATGAATTTCAGTTTGAAAAATCTTCCCAATACTCGAATTATTAGTGTGTGGGTTTGATTTATTTTTTTTTTCAAATCTTTTATATGCATTTTATGGTTCTTTTCATTTTTTTATATATTTTTAAATTTATTTTTATGTTTTTTTTTCAAATCACGTATTTTTTTCAACACTACCGCATGTAGTCAAAATTAAAAAAAAAGTTTATATTTTATTAAATAGTTTATGATAGTAAAATTATATTGTTTTAATCAGTCCTCTTCCATGAAGATCAATTTATACATTAAAGAAGTTGAGGATATAGAAAGTTGGTTACCTTTTTGTTCAGCCCGATAAAAAGCGAAGGTTGGTTTGGGAAAGAAAATCCATTAAAAAGAAGCCATTAATTTTCTCATCTTGAACACTAAATAATACCCATTAATTGTTCTTTGCTTTGTCTGAGACAACGACAAATGGCCATGCGTTAAAAAGAAGCCACCTAACCATAAAATTAGGTTTATTTCCGCTTCCAAATCCGCACCCAATACGTGGGTACGTACATGTCAAAAAAAGTCAATTAGATAAAGACTTCAGCAAATAATCAAAAGCTTATATTACTAATTTAGTTTGCCTAAATGCTTTCTACAGACCCTACATGTGATACTCATTGCCTATAAACTTAGGCAGCCACAGTTGAGTTACATAATTACCCTATTCAACTCTTCTAATTTCGCCACATAAATCTGTTTCTGCAGGGATTTTACTGTCATTGAAATTAATTAACCTTTCTCTACCATATAGGCTTTCCCGTCACTCGCAAATTAGACAATCCCCATAAAACATATTCATTACCAATTATGTTAAATCATAACTTGATAAAATCTCCACTTTCCCACTGTAACCAATCCCATTAGCAGCTCACCATCTCTCTCTCTCTCTCTCTCTTTTCTTGCAATCTAAGCCTTGTACGCTATAACAATATATAGTCCAAAATCCAGTACAAAACTAGCTATAAGCACTGATATCGCAACATCAGACCCAAATGAGCTCAGTTTGCATATCAAACTGTGTCGATGATACACGAGACCCACGGGTGCCCGTCCGAGCCAATTATGTGAACCTCTACAAGTGGCCAGAATCTGATGCCGAGTTCATAAAATCTGTCCGCCGGGTAGCTGGTCATGGCTTGCATGGCCACCCAAGAGTGGTGGACAGTATCTCCTGCAGGCAGTTGTATCTGAGGAGCTACACGTTTTCAAGAAAAGAGAGTATGCCAGAGAAGACCAAGAAGTGCTTTGGTAGAGTGAAGGAAAAGGTGGCCAATCATGGAAAGAAGAGAAAGGATCATCAAAGTAAGGGTGGTCGTAAAAGGAAGTGTTTGGTGTTTAGGAAAGTGAAGGAAATATCTTGCAGCGCCTTGTTTAGGATCTTTCACAAGTTGCTGTCTTGTACTGCTACTGTAGATGTTGTGGATCAGAAAGATTAATTAAGGTCCATGGCCAATAATTTATTTGATGGAAGTATTCACTTTCGACGGCTGTTTTCCTTTTTTTTTTTTTTTTTTTAATGTTTTAAGGTATGAAGTATGTTAATTAGTATGTTTTGTTTTATTGTTATGAATTTGCTGAAGGAATGAGTGGGAAAATGTGGCAGAAATCATGGTTTGTATATTTGCATATTTTGGTTAGAAACAACATTTGTCTAATTTTGCACCTTTTTTTATTATTAATCGTAATGAGGAAATGATAATGTTATTTTGCATATCTTCCTTTTCATTTATATGTTTTCTTTCATTTTTTTATTTTTTTATTTTATCAGTTTTTTGCCGGTTGTAGGCCTTTCTAGTAGTAGTAGTAGGAGGAGCAGCGACTGATCTAGAAAAAGGGCAAACCTTTAAAGAAGCTAACCGGTAGTTCATCTAATTGTTGCTGCTCTTAAACTTGTTTGACTAGAGAATAATTATTTATTTATTTTGAATAAGCTAGCATGGTCGGAAAAGATACGGTATTACCAACAGCTGTAACCCTCTGATATATGCGATCATAGGACCATGGCATGCTTCATACCTCAGAATCTGAACTGTAGGATTTGCTGATTTTGACATATCGGAATTTCATGTTCTTTTGGACAGTCAGGCAATCTAAATTAATATTCAAATTTAGTACTACCACTAATTCGAAATAAAAGGAACAGTAAAAAAAACAACCTATTATATAATTAAACTTGATTTTCAAAAATTAATATATTATGATATTTTAATCCTGACATCTATTAGTAAATAGTAGTATATGTTAATTAGCCTCGGATGCCCTTTCTACTTTCTAACTAGTTAACTATGAGCAACAGTGAAAGTGACTGCAAGGGTCCGTTTGGGTCAAAAAAATGCCAATCTGCTAACCGGAAAAAGCCTAATGTTGCGCCAAAAAAACTTTCTATCAAACGGTCTTGATTCTGTTTTTCATTTTCTTGAATGAGTCTTGATTCTAACACAAGCTACGGTATATGATATCTATCTAGGGATGTTAATTTGTCCCGTTTTAATGTAGCCTTGCCCCATCCCGCTTCGATCAACGTGAGGTATTTATTTCGAACGGAGATGGGATGGTATTTACCCATCTGTTTCATTTGTCTCGTTTGTTCTGTTTATCTTGTTTCATATTCAAAATTATAATTATATTATATATAAAATTTATGATTATTGATTCTTAAAGTTAATTTTTTATATGAATTATTATTTTTTTTGTTATAATTTAAAATTTAATAATATAATAGAATAAGATGAGAAGATAAAAAAAATTAAACAGACATCAATTTCAAATGCTTAACTAATATGGTCATCCCTGCACCATTGCCGTTCCTATATCTACGACTATTCTCCATGAAGTTCCAATTGCACCAGACCTGCCTAGAAAGCGTGTTAGATAATAATGGGGTCATCCCATTAATTATGAAAGCTATATATCTCTCTTGGGAAAGTAAAAAAGGAAAAAAAGAACATTTGATCTGTCACCGTTTTAACAAAGAATGTTAAATGGCGCAATGCTTTCATTATGTTGTGAATCTGAGTGTGCAATTATATTTATAAAAGACAAGAAGAAGACTGGGACACAAGTCCTGGGTAGGAAAAAGTTGGGATAAGAAATAATGATAACATCCACCAAACACAGCATTGTCATTGCTGAAACTTGGGTTCTACGGGGCTCATCAATGTGCTTCCCAAAACAAGCATGCTTTCTATGGGCCTCATCATCATCATCATGAGTTTAGAACTTAGAATTATCAGAAAAATGTCACTGTACTAATCACCAATTTCAGATACCTCCATGAACTCTGAGTGAACATTAATTTTCAATACCAGCTGGGAGCTTAAGTACACAGTACCCTCATCATCATTTTTAGAAGCCAATTCATACTTGATTAATTGAATAATGTTGTTGATAGAGCTCTATACTAGTTTTTTTTTATCCATATTATGCTATGAGTTAAACAAAACATATAAAATTATTTTTCTTTGATATTCTGTGTTATATTATGCTTCTATCAAAATATATAAAATCAAAATAGAATAAAAATTTATTTAATTTTTTAATCAAAATTTTGTATTTAATTGATTATTCTTTACATTTTCATAATTTTTTTATTAAAAATATTTTTTATTTATCTTTATACTAGTTTTTTAATCTATGTTATGTCATGGATCGAACAAAACATATAAAATTATTTTACTTTGATTCTCTATGTTATATTATGCTTCCATCAAAAATATCAAATTAAAACTAAGTAAAAATTTATTTAATTTTTCGAATCAAAATTTTGTGTTTGATCTATTATTCTTTACATTTTTCATAAATTTTTGATTAAAAATATTATTTATTTATCTCTATCCACGATTTTTAACTAAAAAATTTTATAATAATTTAAGAAAAAATGTCAAAATCAATGGATTTTTAGCTAAAATTTTTTTTGTAATTTTTTTTTCTAAACATCTTTTGCCCCTAAAAATTTTTATTTAAAAAAAATCAGAGAAAAAAACAAGGACCAAAGTGCACTAAAATGGAACAAAAAAGTTTGGAAACCGAAAAATAATGTTTAAAAAAGAAAAACAAAAATGTAATGTCAAGAAAACTTTCATAATAAATGCTTTTACAAAGTTTGAAAACTATTAAAATACCGTTGTATAGTAAAAAGAACGAGTATATATGAATATATATAAATTGTAAAAATAGTTTTGGTAAATAGTATTTGGAACGTGCTACTAAATTATAAATGAACATTTTGCTTTATTTATTTAATTTTTGTAATTATAAATAAAACTAAAGTAAAACCATGGTTTTCTATTTATTCAATATTTAAAATACTATTCACCCATACTCATTTCACTATTCACGCAGACTCATTTCATTATTTCTTTCATTATACGAGTGTCATTTTTATAGTTTTTAAATATTTTTAATACATTTATTATGAAATTTTTTATAACAGTGCACTTTGGTCCCTCTTTTTTAAGTATAGTTTTTTTCAATCCGTAAATATTTTTTATTTTGTTTCGGTCCCTCTTTTTAGTTTCATTTTGGTCCTTTTTTTCTCTAATTTTTTTTAATCAAAAGTTTTAGGAAAAAAAAATGTTTAAAAAAATTACAAAAAAATTTTTAGCTAAAAATCTATTGGTTTTGACATTCTTTATACTATTAAATAATTTTTTTGACAAAAAAATTTATGAAAAATATAAAAAATAATCAATCAAATATAAAATTTGATGTATTTTGATGAACATATAATATAACATGAGACATCAAAATAAAATAATTTTATATATTTTATTTGATTCTTAGCGTGATAAAATTAATTTCTTTTCAACCTATTGTTGAAGTTGATATTCTGGCTGTCAACATGCATTAATTGGAACATTAAATAAGAGTTGGATTGACGTGAAATAATGTCACTGTAATAGTCCCTCTGTTTCGTGGTGTCATACCTTAATCGGTCATGAAGCATGTCCAAAGTAAAGGAAATAATGTCATACCACTTGATGCCCCAAAAATTAGGAGAGGAAGAAAAGAAAAAAAAAACAGATAGCTTTCTTATCAGCTGTCATTACCACTTTCGCCCATTTTATAAATCATGCTTCATAATTAATTCGGTGCATTTAGTCATAACGCTTCACGATGCCAATTAAGTTCAGTCTTGCTCTTGTGTAACTTAATAATAAAAGGAAAACAAGTATGCATCTCACATCTGGCAGAGCCATGGTCATGATGTGGATCACCACCAGGAGCACTTTCAGCAATCAGCACAACTCAACTTCATTATCAAAATGGTTTACAAGTGTCTAGAATTAGTTAGGATTTATTTATTTTATTTTTTTGAATAGATAGGAATTCGATTGTTGTCTGAATTTCAACATATTAGTTAAGCATTTGACATTGAAGTCCCAACCTAGAATCCAACCACCAGAGTCGGGAACATCTCTTGTTCGTGACAAATTATTTATTATTGATCACGAGTAATCCCAGTCAAAGCCCAGATTGGAAGGATGAAGTCATGCCCTGCAAGAAATTTCTTTTTCTTTTTGTTTTTTTAATCGATATGTTACCCTCTTGACCATGGCCATGATCAACTTCTTTCTTGAAAAAAAAATAATAATAATGATGATATTAATTTGACGAAGAAAAATTTGAAATATGGTCACACCACTCACTCATATGTCAGACGCTTCCATTCTAGCTTTTCGCACAAGGAAACTCGTTGGCTTCTTGATTTCGAATCGATTGTTTGCTTGGAAGTGGCTGTTGGTGTCACCAACAGGGCAATTATGCTATTCCTGTCAACCAAATGTCAATTGGGTCGGGCTCTGCTTGACCAAGGCCTGTTTGGTGTCAGTCCATTTGAAAGAACGACCAGTACAAACATGAAGGAACGTGTCGGAACTAAGGAATTACTCTCTGTGACGAGGCTCAGCCCAAGATAAGGTGAGAAGGTAAATGGGCCAGGCAGAAAGCTAGACGAGGGCTAAACTGTACACTAGGATTCCATTCCACAGATTAAATTATAAGGAAAATTTCGACTGGAAATATAAATACGTAAGTTGATGACAATTTCTAACCCTACACTTCCATCATGCATTTATCAACCAGGTTTAACTTGGAGCAACAGCAGCAGAAAATAGCATTCTAATGCTTCTCTCTACATTTCAATTGTTAACCGGAACAAGATTACACCATTTCAATTGGAGCATAGATTCTTCAATAGTGGAGACAAAAAACAATCAAACATAAGCAATTCTGTGTGGAACCGAGATCCCTGTACAATTAATGAACACTAAGTTAAAATACAGTTTAGGCCAACCAGTCCAAATTCCTCCCTTAATTTAAATCATTTGAAAATAGCCTTTCAATTTCAACTTCTAATTTTGGGCTAGATCTTTCTCCATCTATTTTTCCTTTGAAATTGAATCCTTTTATCGGATGTTTACTGTTTTTAATTCTTAATGTGTAAGTGCAATTTTGAATAGTTAAAAACATGCTAAAACTTTTAAATGCTTGGATTTTTCTTTCAAAACTTTTTTTCCTTCTAAATACTAAAAAGTAAGCAATTTAAAAATATTTTAGAAAGAAACAAACAAATTTTTGCATATATTTAATTATTGAAAAGGTTAAAAGACCAACTACGTGTAAATCACATGTACTTCTACCATTATAAGTGATAAAAATCTAATAATTAAAAAAAAAATCCAAAATTAAATAGTAAAAAACTAATTTTTAAATCAGTTGAAGAAAAATTTCGACCATTTAGCCTACAATTTATTGAGCAAATGCTATCAAACCATTCTTACATTGCATCCGGGAACAAGCAAACATGATAGATTCTTAGTTCCAATCACCTTGAATCAGTCGCTCTCAGAGATACAAAGTACCGTAAACTACAATGACATCGTATTTGACGACCTTGGTGACTTCAAATCTTACGTCTACAAGGATGGACAGATAGCCATAGTATAATCCAGAAAGATCTCAACTGATCCCTTGGAAAGTTAGGAGCACAGAGATCTCATCAGACAGGATCTCGACATGGACAACTTGTATCCAAATTTATTTTGGAAACAGTGTCATAATAGAAAAAAGAGGTTGATGAATATCAAGGCAAGAAAAAGAGGACAGATGGCTTGAGTTCAAGAAGAAATGCAGAGGAGGAAATCCTCTTTGGAAAAAGAGGGGGGGGGGGGGGGAAGGTGAAAGCATGACTATATTTTACTTAAAAAAAAAAAAAAACAAAACAAAAAACAAAAAACTAATGCGCCAGGCACCCTCTCATTCATATTCAATAAGACCGCTGCGTATCAAATTAGACACGAGACAATCCAAGCCATCCCTGGTGAATTTCACGATCTACCTCTACATGGCAATTATTTTCAGATGCACAGCTTACAGACAACATTGCTCCACTAGATATTTCTTGGTGCAGCAAATCATCAATACAATAACCAACTGTGTGTTACAGCCCATTAGACAACAATACATCCCATAATAACAAGTAAACAGTTAACGAACAAGTGCCAACTGCCATGAACCTTAACGACTGATTTCAAAACATCACACCAGGATTCAAGACCATGAGTAGTGCAGGCCAAAATGCCTTGAGGTTTGGCATGCAGGAAACCTTGGAACTAAAGATGAGAAAGCTTGGAAATCAAGGCATCCTAAACGTTAACTAAGCAAGACGCAAGTTCAGAATGGTTAAACATTAAGCCTAACAGCCCTATCCACAGCTAATAACAGCTGGAAATGCAAATCCGTTGCATAAAAATGCTTTTGAAGTATAAAAAACAAAACCAGAAGAGGTGCAATGAAGCATTCTTAATTTTTTTTCCACCACCACATGCAAGCACAGAGGTAGGAATAGGACTTCTCCAAGAGGAAAAACTACTAATAAGGTAAGAGACTGGCTTGGCTCCATAACAATAGACATCAAAAAACGACTCTTCAAAAAACCAGATAAATAACTCCTAGGAACCCATTAATGATATTTGCTACCAAACCAAACAGCTAGCTAGCATTTTTAACTTTTAAACAGACGTTACTATAATTTACTTCTTACTTCTTTCAGATAGACAGGTAATAGATTACCAGACGCAACCCTTAAAGCTTCTGGCTCCTAGAAAACATACATTCGCACACAAATACATATTACACACATTTCTTTTATGAGCAGGAAAACCCGGACTTGATCAAGCCTAAGTACTTGTTGTGTGTTGGGGGGGTGGGGGTGGTTGTTTAGAGAACATTCATGATATTTTCTTGTTTGGATACATGACAACTGTTTTTTTCAGTTTTCGTAGGATAATTTCATATGAACCTGATTCATCTATCGGTAAATTTTCATTAAGAACTAATAGCAAAATGCACAATGCTAATAATATCCATTCTATATCGAAATTAAGGGGGGAAGAGAGGTGCCTATTTGGATACAAAGGGGCAAATCTGCAAGAAGAGAATGATCCATTACCTTCATGCTAAGATCCATTTTATTGGAAAAGCTATGACACGAATGTGCAACTACTAAATATGGAAAAACAAGAAAAGAAATCCAACATGTGACTTTCAGTGCAATCATCCTAATGTTTTGAAAAGCAAACAAAATCAAAATGTACATTTTTGGGGCCACAAAGAATTCAATAACATGAAATACTAAACAGGAACCGAATCAACTAAAAGATTATATAGATTATAGAATGAGCCATTGGCTAGTTCCATAATAACAGAATGCATGACATTTCGTTTTAACACATCATATAAAGCGCACAAGTAATTATCAGCTTAGAAAATTGAAAATTCATTAACAAAAATTATAGCCACTACTCAGTAAAATATCAAGGTCCCTATATAGCATGAAAATGAAATTGCGAACACCTAAAAGTAAAATAAGAGTAGCAGCTGCAGTGTCAGACCTGTCCCAGCAATTTTATCAGCAAAGCATTGCATTTGCAGCAGAAAAATCGAGCTCCCCTTCTTCCCATTTCAAAGCTCGAATTCTTCATCCCTCAAAGCCATCTCTGCAGCTTCCTCTTCTTCCTCGTCAAGAACAAAGTACTCATTCTTCTCCACAGGCCTAAACATATAGAACATCACCACATAAAACACCAAACTAGCAGTCTCCTCGGCGGCATTACTCACCCACTGATACTTGTAAGCTGCAATCGTCTTCAATGCAAACACCACAATCCTCGTGAAATACAAATACCCAATAACCACAATATAAAACTGCCTAAACAACTGCAATTTCGCCAAATTCCTGGCAGCCTTCCCATCCGTCTTCGAAGTCTCTCTCAACGACCTCATCGACCACACAATCGGGAAAATAATCGCACAACAGCAAATAATATCAACCAATAAAAACACCTGATTCCAAGTCACCCAATCCTTAATAAACGGCCCAGTTTCACCAATCACAACCGAAGCTATATTAGCCAAAACCTGGAGTGGAATCACAACCATCAGCACCTTCTTCTCCCTCTCTTGCAAAAACGGCTTCAAAAACGACCAGCCAGTCCCAATCAAAATAATAACAGTAAACAACAAAACCACACGAATAAACTGGAAAATATAAAACAACACATCCCAACCGTGTGGAGTCCCTGTAACCTTCACATAATGCTTATCCTCGGCGGCACAAATCAAATTAAGAGCCTTCATAAGTAACAACCCACCCATTAACATATGGATCCGGTGCACAGATCTTTTATTACTATAAAGAACATAAATCCATAACCCTAAAAATCCAGCATAAGCGAGGAAATAAAGAAAATATAACGAAGGCAATTGCGTTAACCCAGCAGAAAGATAATCTTTAGACCCGTCGCGATCTAAATTATAAATCTCAGTCTTGACAGACATGGAAACGCGCGTTTCCGGGGCGCAATTGGCGAAGAAGAGCGAGTACTCATTCGGAGCAGTGACTGGATAAGATTGCTGGAAAGACGAAAGAGGAGGCGGTGAGAGATCGCGGAAAGTGAAGAGAGGGAGAATGAAGTGAGAATCGAGAACGCAGAAGTTAGGGTTTTGCTGGATCTCGAGGAGGACTTGAAGGAGAGATTCTTCGGAGAGAAGGAAAAAGCCGAGGCGTGAAGAAACAGGATTTGGAGCGTTGAGGGAAGAGGCAACGGAGACGGACTGGACGGAGATTGTGACGTGTCCAGTTGGTGTGAAGCCGAATTTTTCGAAGAGGATCATGGCGCGTGCGTCGTTGGTGATTGTTAGAGTTTTGATCTCGGCGGTGGAGAGGGAGAGGAAGGAGAGGAAGAGGAGGAAGAGAGGAAGGAGCAGGTGCGGTGGTTTAGTCATTTTGAGGTGGCTGTTGTCGTTGTGGTGGTGGTTGATCTGTGGAGGGTGGAGTGGGATGAAAGACTTGAGAGTTTATTTAATAACGCGGATTCAATCTTAAATGCTGGTGGCCGATGAAGACAGATCTCGCTTGCCGGTTAAGGGGGTGCAATTACGCGACGTCGTTTTATGGAGTGTTGAATGTTGACCTGGCTGACGACGAAGGCCCGAAAGTCATTTTGTGAATGGATCTACACGGAAGCCTAAATTTTCAGTCAAGCCCATTTTCAACAGTTCTTCCATTTTCTATTCCTGAAAAGGCCCATTCTAAAATAGTAGCGTTTGAAGTAATTGAATAATATCGTGAGTTCATTGATATCTATAAATATTTCACAAAACTATACAAGTATAAAATATTTTCAACGAATAAAATAAATTTATAAACTGACCATAAAAATATATTACATTAACTAAATTTTTTAATAAAATATTATTTGCATATTTCTTGAAAAATATTTAAGCAAAACAAATGCAATTTCGGATTAAATTTTGGTTTTTTATTGGTTCAACACACACATATATTCTTCATGGCTGTTTTACTTGCCTTTTCAGTTTATGCCGTGAAGTCCAACGTAAAAGGATTGTGCCCTTTTAAATGTTAGATATGGTGGCAAAAAAGGGATCTAAAGGTGACGAAGTGTTCTTTGATAGGATGAGAGGTATTAAAGTATAGAATTGTTGTTAGATTTTATGGTGGCCTCTGACTTGCTTTTGCTGTGTGGACTCCAGATATATAGATTGAATGAAGAAAAACCCTACAGTCATTGCTATTAGAAGGATGTAAATATAATTTTCATTGTCTCTTTCGTGGATTTTGACGTCGTGTTCGTAGATTTATAATTTTATAGTGTCACCCGTTGCATAAACGTGATAAGCATGTCGACACTCGAGCGAGAAGCCAATCTCCTATTTCCCTTATAGTTTTGAGAAATTATTATAGTGGTCGGGCTTTTAACTTATATTTTGCATCTATATTTGTCTCAGTTGTTTTAAATCACTCCTATGCTGATAATTATTTAAAACAAATATTTTACAAACCGTGTTAAATAATTTCAATGGATTTTCTAAAGGTTGAATCATTGAAAAGGTCTTTCTGCTTTTTTTTTTTTTTTATTGTATTCCTCTATCTTCTTTTTCATCTTAAATTCTTCCATCTACTTTTGAGCTATATCTTAATCTCGTCATTTTGTTAATTTTTGAACTAATAATATTAACTTCTTTTTTTTTTTGTCTTAATCACATTTCTCTAAATTTTTTTTTTGGTCTTAATCTTTTTTTCAATTGAATTTAAATAATAAATTATGAGGGAAAAAAGGTGAAAATATATCCTATTATTTTCTATGATTTTTTTTTTAAAAAAAAACCTATAAAAAGAGACGAATCTAAAAATATTTTTCTATCTAAAATATCTTTTACACGTTTCAATAATCCTTATGATACTAAGTAAATTTTAAGTATATAATGAAATATTTATATTATTTTTTAAAATGTGAAGAAAGTTTTGGTTAAATCTTTAAATGGTATTTATAATTTTATAACATCTCAAAAGAGTCTACTATAATTTACTTATTTTGATTTTACAATTTTCTTAATTTGACTCGAAGTAAGAATATAAATTTTATCGTAAATTTTAATCAAATTAAGAAATTTGTAAAATTAATCAAATTAAGAAATTTGTAAAATTAAAGTAAGTAAATTATACTAGACTCATTTGAGATATTAAGAAATTATAAATATCATTCAAAAGTTTAAAAATTCAACTAAAATGCTCCTTGTTTTTTACCAAAAAACCATTGCAAAAATTAAATTTAGCGACCGTCACTAAACTCGTTGCTAAAATTGTAATTGAAAAAAAAATTTAAAATCTAATTTTGTGACGGTCTAGAAATGAGTCCGTTAGTGGGAAACAACTAATTTTCAAAATTTAAGAAAGCAACCAACAATTGGTGACGGTTTTGGGTCCGTCGCTAAACCTTTACCTTTATCAACCCATCCTCTCGAAAATTGTTAGAAAAAAATTTCTCTCTCGAGCTCTTTTCTTCTCCTTTGGCAGCAACGTCGATTTGCCCAAAATTGCCATCAAATCTCCCCCTCTCCCTTATTTTCCTTCCAATCTTCTTCTCTCTCTCCTCCTTCCCTTTCTCCTCTCCATCTCTCCCCCTTTCTTCCCTCTTTTCCTCTTTCTTTCTTCCTTTCTCTTCTCTTCCTCCATCGTTTGTTTTCCGACCGGACAAGTTCAACGAAGTCCTTCCACCGAGTGTAGCCCCTCTCTCCTCCTTGTGTTGGTGAAAGTTCCTCCCCTATCTAACCCCTTATTTTATTTTTTAATTTTTTCAATTATTTAGTTAATATAATTTAAATATTTTTTGTTAATTTAATTAATTGTTATTGTTAATGGCATGTGTTATTGTTATTGTTAATTAGTGATTTAATTAATATCATTGCAATTTGTTAATTTAGTTAATTTATTTGTTAAGAAAATTTAATTGGTATTAATTTTTGTTAATTGTGATAGTTTAAATGTTTAATTGTTAATTTTATTGTAATTGTTAATTGTGTTGTTAATGTTATTGTTAATTGTTGATTTAATTAATATTATTTTAATTGTTAATTTAGTTAGTTTAATTATTAAAGAAATTTAATTGTTATTACTTTTTGTTAATTGTGAGTTTATATGTTAATTTTATTGCTATTGTTATTTTTATTAGTAATTGATGATTTAATTGATTTATTATTAATTGTTTATTTAGTTAGTTTAATTGTTAAGAAAATATAATTGTTATTGATTGTTGTTAATTGTGAGAGTTTACATTGTTAATTTTATTATTAAGAAAATAAAATTGTTATTATTTTTTGTTGTTAATTTAATTGTTATTGTTATTAGTGTAATGGGTAATTGGTAATTTAGTTAGTTTATTGTTAAATGTTATTTATTAATTTAGTTAGTTTAATTGTTGGTATTTTTGAAAGTTAATTATTTTAAAAAACTGTTAATATGTTATTATAAATATTTTAAATTTTTAGTAAGTAAAAAAATAATTATTAATTAAAAAATTAATATTTGTTGAATTTAGATTTAGTAATTAACAAATTAATAAGTGATTAAGTTTATTTAGTTGTTCATTAAGTAAATTAATGTGTTAATTGGTAATTAAAAAATTAATTAATAATTTAAATATTAATTAAATTATAATATTTATTTATTAATTTGAAAATTTATTAGTAATTAAGCTTATTTAGTTGTTGATTAAGTTAAGTAGTTAGGTAATTAGAATATTAATCGAGAAGTAAAAAATTAAGTTTTTTAGAAATTATATTTAGTAGATAAAAAATTAAGTTATTAGAAATATTTAAAATTTTTAGTTATTACAATAATAATTAGTAATTAAAAAATTAATACTTGTTGAATTTAGATTTAGTAATTAAAAAATTAATAAGTGATTAAGTTTATTTAGTCGTTCATTAAGTAAAGGTTTAGGGTAATTACAAAATTAATTAATAATTTAAGTATTATCTAAATTGTAATATTTATTTAGTAATTTTAAAATTTATTAGTAATTAAGCTTATTTAGTTGTTCATTAAGTTAAGGAGTTAAGTAATTAGAAAATTAATTAAGAATTACAAAATTTCATTTTTTCGAAATTATATTTAGTAGATACAAAATTAAGTTATTAGAAATATTTTAAATGTTTTGTAATTAAAAAAATAATTAATATTTGAAAAATTAATACTTTTTGAATTTAGATTTAGTAATTAAAAAATTAATAAGTGATTAATTTTATTTGGTTGTTGATTAAGTAAAGGTGTCAAGTAAGTTCAAAATTAATTAATAATTTAAATATTATTTAGTAAAAAAAAATATTAATTTATTATAAATATTTTAAATTTTTAGTAATTACAAATTTAATTAGTAATTAAAAAAATTATTGAGTTTAAAATGAATTCGGATCGTTCTTGGATTAACTTTAGATTTATTGACGGACTATTAAATGAGCGTTTCATATAAGGGATTGACTTTAGATTAACGGATAGGCAACCTTGTCCTCTCGAGTTGTTGGGCTAAGCTGATTTTGTCCTCCCATGTAATTTTTCACGTTATTTCAATATATCTTGAGGGTACCATCCCTTTTCTCTAAAAAAAATTTACGTATATAATTTTGTTACCCTACATAGTTTACGTGTACCTTTTTAAGGTAACAATTAAATATATATTTGCGTGTTCATGTTGTTTGATACATGTTATTCGTTAAATAAATATATATATATAGATGAAATTATTCATATTAATATGAATGCTATATGTTAGTATTATATAATGAATATTTTATTTTAATACTAATGAATATAATAATGTGTAGATCATAGTGACTCGAGGTAGGGGACGTTCGGGATGCATTGGCCTATGTCATATGGTGAGGGTTGCGGTTCGATATCGATTCGGGTAATGATCGTGGATGTGGATGCCATTCTCATTCCTTTCCTGGTCGGATGGGCCCCCCATGGACATGCCTTCATACCACTCTTCCGGTGCTCCCCGACATACCTTTCGATGCTCGACATGTCTCGGCCTGAGCCGTATCCTTATCATGGAATTTCACGTCCCCCCTAATTGTTTCCTTCATCATCATCAATTCCCTCGTTATCACAACAAGACAACCATTCTATTCCCGAACACGTCCCGTCGTAAAACATCCCTCGTCCGTCGGCTTCGGAACCTATCGGATCGACGCTCGATCCGTGAGTTAGGGTCATTGTCGTTGGTCACAATAAGAACGTTTTATGCTTAATTTTATGAAATATTTTTTTTATTACCATAATTATGTATTCATATATTTCTAAATTAATATATATTTTTTTAGGTCATATCCCTTTGATGTTTGTGCTCGCACGATCTTTAAAACATTCCACAAGTATGTTTATATTTTCGGATGGACGTGGAAGAAAATGAGTCGGGAGACCAAAGACTTCTACTAGGAAGAGTTTAAGGTACTACTTTATTTAATTAATTTATTACATTACTTCATATTTAAATAACAAATAATAATATCCATATAAATTTACTAATAAATGTTATTATTTTTCTTGCAGAAATCATTTACGTGGGATGATGATATCAACGAGAGCATAGTTAAGAAAGCATGAGAAAGTCTCGCCACGGAAGCGGTATTCCGACTTGCTTAGTCGTCTCGAAGAAAACCGAAGTCAACATTTATCTCACAGGACATATGAGATGGATGGACTACGGAATGGGCAAAACCCGAGGCCATTGCCCGATCGGAGATGGCGATGCGAAACCGTAGAAGCGAGATTGGTGGCGTCGAGCTAGTCCTTCAAGACATACGAGTGGATCAATCGACCATAGAGTGCACACAATACACATGTATATATATATATATATATATATATATATATATATATATATATATATATATATATATATTATAATGATATCCAAAATAATTAATTAAATATTTGAGTATATTTAATACATTTACGTATATTGATTTCAACGTGAGGTGTTGGGTCGTGAATCTAATCCTCACGAGGTTTTCTTGAGGACTCATCGGAGAAAGGTTGATGATCGATATGTCTTTGTCGATCAACGGTCAAGACTTATCGGTGTAAGTTATTAAGTTATAACGTTATTTTATATATATTAATTTGTAACGTTATTTCACATAATTGTTTAATATTATATGTTTCACAATTATGCAGGAGACCATGGAAAGATTAATAAATGAGGAGTTTGCTAGCCGACGAGTCGAAGGGGACCGAATTGACCGATGTCAACATTAATGAAATTTTTAGGAAGGTCTGTTGGTGGAGGAGATAGTAAGAAGAAGAGAATGTACGAACTCAAGTCACACGTATCTCATTATTACTCTAATGTCGGTACAACCTCAAGCTCGACAACTTCACGATTCTATGCCGATGATGAGGCACAACGCAAGGAAGTCCATGATTAAACATCTATAAATACGACGGAGAAGCTACGAGGTACTCGTCATATCATCGTTGGATACAATAAATGAGTTGAAGGAGTATACTCGACAACAACATACGATGATGGCACGGATGCAACGGATGTTCGAGCAAGGTGGTAGTTCATCCGCCGTGCTTGAAACCGAAGACAACTCCACCCAACCTCCGAGTGACGATCCCGCCAATTTCTCTTAGTTATCATGTTTTCTTGTAATAACAACAAACTTGGTACTATTTTTAAGAATTTAATGATTGAATAATATTTATTACATTTTAATACATTTTACGAGTAATAATTATGAAAATTTAAAATATTATGTTTTGGATATTTATTATATTTTTTAAATAGCAATTGGTTAATTTTAGATATTTAAATTAGGGGTGAAAAAAAATTAAAAATCGGATGATTAGTGACGGTTTTGACCGTCGATGATCCGAAATAAATTACGACGGGAAAAAAACGGTCTCTAAATTGCGACGGACTTAGCGAAGGTTTTTTTGGACCGTCGTAAATATTTCCTTGGTTTACTATCATATTTAGCAATGATTTTTTTTTTGGCGACGGTTTAGTCCGTCGCAAAATTATCGACGATTCAAAAATCATCGCAAAAATTTAGTTACGGTCTATAGACCATCGCAAAACCATCGCTAAATTACATTAGCGATGGTTTTTTTCGAATTAGCGATGGTCTAGACCGTCGCTAATTGTATTTGTTTTTGTAGTGCAACTTAGCATCGAAACTATCAATAGTTAGGGAATAAATCATTCTATCCCTTTCATATGCAACTTGACAAAAGCCTCATCTATACAAGAACCATAACCACCAAGGATTCTACGTTCGTAATTTTGCTATCCATTATATAATATTGTTCATCATCTCACCCTCACAAAGTTATGTTGAAAACTTAGTCAAGCCACTTTTTCTCTCGATCATTGACTTTATCATCGGAGGTCTTTCAATCCAACAAAAAGACTTATTTTATAGGTAGCTTAAGAAAGAAAGCTCACCAAGAATGACTAACCTCTATCGTTAGTCTTCAACCATAAAAGCTATTTCACCCTTAATCACTATTTAAGTTTTTGTGACTCATAAGTGTAACGTCCTTTTCTATAGTATGGAGTATATATCGGGGCTCTATGTTATCGAAATGAATTATTTCCTAGAGAGAATAAGAAGATTGCTGAATTTATAGAGGCGTATTAGCTTGGATTGTTGGAGCACGGAGATGTTTGAGTTTACGTTAAACATACAAGTACTTGATAAAACATTACATGATTAACACTCATAATATCATCTTGATAGTGTAGATTTTCTCTATTTTTAGAGCATGTCTACTTGACTTATTTGTTTTGTCTCCTTGATGTATGGATTTATTTGAAAAAACAAAATTTGAAAATTAAATTTATTAATTGGAAAACTTAAAAAAAAAAAAACCTCAAGGAGAAACCTATCGAAATGGCGACATATACTACACCATTTATCAACCATATTTTTTAGGAAAAAAAATAAAATCAATCAGTTGTAATCTTTAGTTGTTTTTATTTTCTAATATCATGTATCAAATTAGTTTTAATAAAGTTGACAATCACGAGCACATCACATGAATAATTTTAAAATAAATTGATAAAAATACGCCTTTAAGTTGATAAGATACCAAAAAAGAAAAAGAAAAAGAAGAAGATTCAAATCTGAATAAACTCGATTACATGTGGAAATTATCACATGTAGCGCACTTGAACATTATTGTTATTGTTTTTTTTTTAAACTTAAAAGAGTATTTTTTATTGACTTCAAATGATATTTTCATAAATTCATATTGAAATAATCACGAATTGTGCGCTTAATTATTAATTGTTACAAAAACAGTCGACGAAGAAATATATTAGATAATAAAAAAAACTGAATATTACGATTGGTTGATGTTTTCTTTTTATACAAAGATATGATTGATAAATATTATAATATATAAAGATATATTGATATACTCTACATTTTAAAAAAGAACTCATATATATATATTTTTAAAAAACCTAATTCAAAATTTAAAATTTTTAAGAGACTATTAGACAGCGTTGACATGAGATACAATATGAAAATTAATCATCAACTTTACCTTTTCGTGAGACAGAGATTCAGCTACAAGGTCATTTAGTAATTTCCCGAATTCTTTATATGCGGTTATCTATTTTCTCTTTTTCTTGAAAAAAAAGAAAAGAATAACCGTCCATTGCATAATGTTTTGACTTCGAGATAGCGAGGCGGTGGTCCGGCAGCAGCCTCTTTCAAACCCGGAGACATCTATCCATCCAACATCCACCCACCATAACTCGAAAAACAAAGCTAAAAATTAAATCAAATTCCCAAAATAGCCCACTCCCTTTCCATTTTACTAATCTTCAGGAGGACCATCCTCGTAATTTGAACCAAGATACAGACCGATTACGCAATTTCAAGTCGGGATTACCTATTTATTGCCCGGGCATGTTGATTTTTCTGACCCTTTCCTGTTTTTCCAATTAACTATTCTTTTCTATCCTCATAAAAATATAAATCTTCCCAAGTCCAAACTTCGAAGCCTCCAAGAATCTTATTATTAAGTTCCGAGGATTTATAAAACAGCATTAAACACAACAGAAAATTAGAAAAAAGAAAAAATTCCACAAAAGATTAAAAAAATTAAATAAAAACTTCTCCGATAGAGCTAATAGTTTTTAACTACTTACCATCAAATTGGCTCCGTTTTTTCTCGAGCTGTGAGATTGATTCTAAGGAGACTCGGATTTTTCTGAATTTTGAATCTGTAAGTTTAATTCTAGAATTTTCTTTCTTTCTTTCTTTCTTTCCTTTTAATTTGATTTCCTACTGCAGTTCTAGTTCGTCTTATTTCTTTCTTTTTTGTTTTTTTCTAAATTTTATATTGATTTGTTTAATTGGACGGAGAATAAGCTTTCATGTTCCATTGGCTGCTGAGAAATCGATAGAATTGGGAATCTTTTTAGTTATTAAAGGTTCTCTCTTTGTGACATTTGTTGACCGAATGCCAGTTTCATCTCTCAATAGCCAAATGGAGAATTGGATTTTATGGATTTTTTTTTTTTGGTTAGTTGATGCTTTATTTACTTGGAATTTATAAATTGATGCAGATTCTGCATAATAAAAATATTTTATCATTCCGTGCCTCGGAGGGATTAACATATATTCCATTTTTATTGGAATCTTGAAGTGAAAAGAGAAGAAAGAAGAAAGAAGATTAGGGAGTGATTTTAAGGAGGATTTATTGAAATATTGTGATTCTTGACGTTATTAGTGGATTTGACCAGATGAATGTTGTTGGGAAAGTAGGTAGTTTAATTTCGCAAGGTGTGTACTCAGTTGCAACCCCTTTTCATCCTTTTGGAGGGGCTGTTGATGTGATTGTGGTTCAACAGCAAGATGGGACATTTCGAAGTACCCCATGGTATGTTCGATTTGGTAAATTTCAGGGCGTTCTTAAGGGAGCTGAGAAGATTGTCCGCATAAATGTCAATGGCGTTGAAGCAAATTTTCACATGTATCTTGATAATTCCGGTGAAGCTTATTTCATAAAAGAGGTTGAGCCTGGTAAAGGAAGTGAGGCAGATGGGGTGATACAGGATTCTGATAGCATGGCACTGTCAAATGAAGATGTGAGTGTTGGTTTTAGTGATGTTGTTGATAATAATGCTGTTGGAATTTCTAGGCTTGAGCATAGTGTTTCTGACTCTAGGGTGATTCAGTTGCAAGAGGAAGATGATTCGTCAAGTGCAGCCCGACTTCAAAGGGCGGAATCTGATGCTGACCGGAGGTATTATGATTTTCAAGACGAGCAACCCTCTTTGGATGATTCAGTCGAGTTATCAGAGTATGGTTCTAATAGATATGATGGTTTAGATGGCGAGCATCCTGCAGTTTCACAAGTTTCAGATTCAGAAGTGATCTTGGTGAGTGTGGATGGTCATGTTCTGACAGCCCCTGTATTGGAATCAGAACAGGATACTGAGAATGTGCAATTATGCACCCCTCAGTTCCATCTAGGCCCAGGCGATGACACTGAGGAGTTTAATTCAGGTGATGATGCATGGGCTGCTAATTACATTAGTAAGCTGAATGCATCTGCATCAAACGTTGCATCTGATAATGCTTACATTGTAAGTAATGATGATAATATTTGCCAACTGGAAGTTTGTGAAGGTCATGAGGAACATTTATGTCAAGATCAAGAAATTCAGGACATTTCTAGATCAGAAGGAGATCTTCGGGTGCAAAGTGATTCAGATACATCTGTTAGGATAAATAGGGAAGAAATTTTCAAAAGCTGCTTGGCGTTACCGGAATTGGCTGAACAGGTTGGAATTGCTGATGCCGAGGAAATGGATTCTTCACTTGAGATGCAAAAAGATTCACATGAGGAGTCTCATCATAGCCCTCCAGCAGCTGATCAAACCACCAATGGGGATCTTGTTGAATTCACAGATAATGGATGTAATTCTGTTTCTGGTGGACTTCATGAGTCAACTACTTTGCCGGTAGGATTTGATGCAACAGAGAAAAATCATTTGAAGACAGAGCATATAGGTGCTGACAGCACATGTGTTTCTGTTAGCAATGGTAACCTTTCAGGTGAGAAGGGTGAAGAGTCTCATCACATATCCACAGTGTGTGAAGGGTTGGATAGACCTGTTCCGGAAGATGAGTCCAGTAAAAGCAAGACTGTGGAACCGCAAAGAGCAGTCTCCATTGAAGAGATGCAGACTTGTTCAATCACTGGTAAAGAGTTATTTGTTGTATTCTGAATCTCAAAGTCTGTTACTGTTGTTGAGCTTGGTCTATGTAGAGTGCAAAGCTTTTGTTTTACCTTTTTCTTTCATCCTAATTTTTGTAGGGTTTGAGATCTCCCTCTGTGGGAAGGAACTCCATGCAGGTATGGGCTTGGATGCTGCTGCTGTAGTGTTTGTAGCACATCGAGTGTCTGCTGAGGAATTTAAAAATTCTGCAACATCAATTATCAAGAATGAAAACTTAATAGTCAGATATGGAGAGAAGTACTTCACGTGGGAAAAGGCTGCTCCTATTGTGCTTGGAATTGCTGCATTTGGTTTAGATTTACCTGCTGAGCCCAAAGATGCAATTCCTGTGGAACTGGATGATACAATTGAGCAAAGGGATGATAATGCTGGGGTTACCTCAGCATCATCTAGCCGCAGATGGAGGCTTTGGCCTATTCCATTTAGAAGGGTCAAGACAAGCAGTAATGCATCCAGTGAAGAATTATTTGTTGATTCTGAATCTGGAGTGCAAAACTCAAATGTTGAATCAACTTCAGCATCCCGTGGTGGTTCTGAGTCTCCTCACAAGCAGTTTGTAAGGACAAATGTTCCAACTAGTGAGCAGATAGCATCGTTGAATCTGAAAGATGGTCAAAATATGATAACATTCAGTTTCTCTACAAGGGTTCTGGGTACACAACAGGTTGGCCCATATGTAGCATTTGAATCTTTCAATATAAAAATGATAGCAATTAGCAATTCATGTTACCCATTGTTAGCTGCTATGTCACATTCAGTTTTAACAGGTCGATTGTCATATCTACTTGTGGAAGTGGAACACAAGAATTGTAATTTCAGATGTGGATGGAACAATTACCAAGTAAGGCTCCTGACATCCCAGCATGAATTGCATTGCTGAAATATTGGATGCTGCAACTTGCTTAAATTCAGTGAGGCTGTCGCAACTTTATGATATCTTGGCTTGCCTAATTTATCCTAATCTTAAGTCCATCAGTCATATGTCAACCTGTAACTATCAGCTGAGTCATTCTTGTGGACATCATGTTTGTGCACATATCATTAAAGTTTACTGAATGGTGGAAAATTGAATGAGTTTGGTCATGGTCTTTTAAATATTGAATGTGTTTCTGTCTGTGCTACATCTTAATGAAATTACATTACTAACCCTCCTAGCACTTTCTGAATGAAGTGCCATATGACATTTCTGAATGAAGTACTATTATAGCAATAATCAACATGCATCATGCTAACATATAGTCTATCAGCTAACAACCCTGATTTTCATAGTCTAGCCTTAGTGTCTCAATCTAAAGTGAGGTGGTTAGGGTAATAACTTACTGGGCAAAGAGACAAAAAGGAAGATTACATTTCTTATGGGAATAAAAAGCTCATCCTTCATGATTAATTTTGTGGTTTTACAGTACAAGCTTATCAACTGTAAATTTTTCCTTTATGTTTCTTTCAGTTAATCATATGTTGGATTGTGGGTATTAACTTGAGGATTCCTGCCAGGTCTGATGTTTTGGGTCAGTTCATGCCCTTGGTTGGAAAGGATTGGACACAATCTGGAGTAGCTAAACTTTTTTGTGCCATTAAGGTATTGTTTTCCTTTCGATTTTGCTAACCAGTGGTTGCTAACTTTATTTGCAAAATGATTCTTCAATGCTCTGCCAATGTGTAAAAATATTTGCTGTAAGCCTCTGAAAGTTAAGGAAGTTTTGGCTAAGGGCAGTATGTTGTGTATTTAGTATATCAACAGGTCTAATTTTGATACAAGAACCTTTGTGGTACGTGTCACATCTTATTTCAATAACAAAACCGAGCATCAATCTCAAACTACTAGGGGTCAGTTACATGGATTATTTATTTGGGCTTAGCTTTTTTACAAGAACAAAAAGGAGGCATAACATCTGCTTACCTTTTTATAACCCCATTCCTTTAGTTGATCCTCCTTATACTAGATTGAATTTCTTTGCTGTTTGTTTATTTTGCAATCAGACTTTCTAAATCTCAAATTGTAAAGGGGCATATTTCATGCATATTGATTGCTACTTCCATCAGTAATAGTAAAAAGTGAAATGTAATTCATGCAGACAGCACATACTACCTAATTAAGCTTTATTAATTTAATCTGTTGACTATTCTGTTTCCCTGCACCTTTTCTTTTAATGACAAATGTTATCACTAGGCATGTTGGTTGGGTTTGCTCTATGTTTTAGATCATCGATTTGCATTTAATGTTGATGAACAAATAGGGTTTTTCAGTAAATGGAATGGAATATTGAATTCTGCATTTATGCAGGAGAATGGATATCAGCTATTGTTTTTGAGTGCACGAGCAATTGTTCAGGCATATCTAACCAGAAGCTTTCTTTTCAACCTAAAGCAGGTATAATTATTGATTCCTTGTTTACTTATTTTAGCGTTGGGTGTGGGAGGTTCTTTGGCTTTTTGATGACAAAGCTACTAATTGTCAGAGCCAGAGGAATCAATGTGCTAGAATTTGTTGACTTTGAGATTGAGTTTCTAGCTTGGATAAGATTTCATGCAGTTTTTTAGTCCTGATGAAGGGCTTCATTCCTCATCTTCTTCTGAAACAAATGCTGTTTCATGGATCATATCATATCATTGGTTGTCCCAGTCTTTTCCTTGTTGTGCAGTCTGTCTCTTCTGTTGCCTTAGACTGGGTTTTACGCAGGTTCTAACTATGATGCTACTGGATTGCATTGAATTTTACTGATTATTGACTTTTTATTCTGCTTGCAGGATGGAAAAACGTTACCAAATGGACCTGTTGTTATTTCACCTGATGGATTGTTTCCCTCATTATACCGTGAAGGTAAGGTCTTTTTCAAAGATTATCAGTTCTATGGAATTGCTTTGTCTTGCAATAAATTTATGATATAGCTATTGATGATTCCAGCTTCATGAAGAGGAAATCATGGAATGTGCAGAAGCTAAATGTTGAAATATGTATATGTGTGTTTGGGTGTACATAGTGGGTGTTAAGATGCATGGATATTTGATTCTGCACTGCTATAATTGGACATCAAGGACAACATTTCATATCTCATTCTTCCAAAGTGAAATAGCAGAGCTACAATAAAAGAAAAGAAAAAAATAAAAACAAATTTTGCCATTTTTGCAACTAATAAAGTATTTCTGCACTTTCAGATGTGGCTATATTGTATTTTTTCAGTTGTTATGTTTCTTCACGAATATGTATTTTATGAACCTGGCCCTTTGGTGCCTCCACCATTTGTTGGTCCATTCACAATTGCATCATTGACCCTCTGGTGGAAAAATCTTTTTTTTTTTTTTTTGTGGTTTTTAATTTGTATGGTGCTGCCAGCTTAATTTACTTTACTCTGCATCTTCTATGTACTTAAATATTCCACATGTTTGTCCCTTTTAAATGATACTCTTGACTCATTTCTGATTTATGTTCTTGCTTTACATGGTTATCAGTCATAAGAAGAGCTCCTCACGAGTTCAAGATTGCATGCTTAGAGGTAATTCTAAAAGGATGAAACCACTATGGGCATAGAATCATTTTTAGCAAGCATTTGCATTTCATTCCAAACTTACTAGATGCCCTGAATTTCATGTTTTGTAGGATATTCAAAGACTATTTCCTTCTGATTACAATCCATTCTATGCGGGCTTTGGAAATAGAGATACCGATGAGCTTAGTTACAGGAAAATTGGAATCCCGAAGGGAAAAATATTTATTATAAACCCAAAGGTATGAATTTTCATTGCTAAAATTCCTTTTTGGTGGCCTTCCATCTGGGATTTACTTCTATTACTTCCTTTTTAAATGCTAATAAGTTCTCATAAACTGACAGGGTGAGGTGGCCATTAGTCATCGCATTGATGTGAAATCCTACACATCTTTGCACACGCTGGTCAATGATATGTTCCCTCCTACGTCGTTATCAGAGCAGGTAAGCATATTCGAGCGAACTCATGTTGTGCAGTTTGAAAAGGGTGAAAGAAGAGAAATAAGAAGGGTTAAGACATGATACTGGATGGATGTCTGTTCAAATGTCCACAATGCTGGTTTTACTCTACAAAATCTGGAATGACCTCGACTCTCTTATATGTGCAGGAAGATTACAACTCATGGAACTTTTGGAAGTTGCCATTGCCAGAGATCGAGTTTTAGTTTATGCCTTGAAGAGAAATGGTTCCCTTGTACCAACTAGATGATAAGTGGATTGAAGTCCTCAACAGTACACATACGATCAAGATTCTTCCATTTTTCCCAATTTCTTTGCCAGAGTGATGCTGTGTTAACCTATTGAATTTCGCAGCACTGGTGTACGATTTGTAAGCAATGCATCTTGTATTAGATAGAAGTTAGAGGCACTTGAAAACAGCCCTTGTTAATAAAAGCTACCGTAATTTTGATGATAGCGTTTCCAATGTTGGTTCTACTTGTAAAAGCTGTCGCCCCATTTTGTGGCTTTTGAGTTGCAGTCAGAAATGCTTATGGCTTCTGGCGTTACTTGTTCATTTTTGTGATCTGATGGAATGTAGATTGGAAAACGATCTTATATTCTAAAATATTGCAGATTATTACTAAAATATGAGGATAATCGAGCTCCTATGCAAGATATTTTCCTGGGAGAAAGTATTTTCAGATAAAGTCAATTATTTTATGCTATTTGTTGTGACATGGAAAATATCTCATATGTTTACAACATTGAAAAGTTGAAAACTTCCATTAGAAATCTAATTTTTAATAGGTAAAGTATAAAGGATGATGCTTTTTATTTGGGGAGTTGTAATAAACAGCTCTGCTAGGTAAACAAAAATTTGGAACCTCAAAAGTTACAAACTTATTTTCGACGGCACATTCTTGCATGTGCTTTACAGTAGATTCACATAAATGTATAGCTAGGTTTCACCACCATTACATGTCCATAAATAGAGATCTTCCTATACAAATAATAAGAGGACTGCATGGCCAGTGCATGCCCACAATATCTATCTTTGAATACAAGTTTACTATGATAAATATAAGTTCATAACCAGAATTTAGATCCTTTTATATTTTCCAAAATTAACATGGTTAATGAATCACGTTTGGAAAATTAATCATTTCATCCAAATTATTAATTATCTTCATACTCTTCATAATAATACATGATAAATTAAGATTTAATTTTGATTAATATGATTCAAAAGTAACTTTTATATTCGAATGTATATATATATTCTTCAGGAATACGAAAAATAATAAATAAATAAATTTCATACGCCAACGGAAAAATGAAAGTCAAAGACTGGCGTAATCAGTGCAGGAAAGTGGAAGGAAATTATGGTAAATTAAAATCAAACAAACCGAAACGAGAGGCAAAAGACTCGAACAAAAGACGCGCAAAAATTGACTCCTTCCCTTCCGTCCTTCTCCTTCTCCTTCTTCATTTTCCTTCCTGTTAATCCCTAACCAACAAATTACAAATCCGATAACACCACCATCAACAATCCAAACACAACAAAAATATCATAATTGACGCAGAGTAGTAAATCGTAATGTCGTGGATAAGAACCGCCGTTAACAGAGCGGTAGAAGTCGGTGGAAAAACTAACATAACACGCACCGTCCGCAGCTATGCAGACTCCGTCGTCCTTCACGCCGGAAATGCCGTTTCTGAAGGAGCCAAAATAATCCAAGACCGCATTGTAATCGTTAATAATTTTTTTTTAATTGGCTGTGTATTAATTAATTAATTAATTATATTTGATTTTGGATGGAAATTAATGGTGCAGGGGGGACAAGGAATTTGCAAAGTTTTAGACTAACTGTAAAAAGATTAGAGGAAGTATCTGTGTCATGTAGAGGTGAAGAGAGAGTACAGTTGTTGAGAAGGTGGCTTGTTGCTCTTAAAGAAACTGAGAGAGAAAGGTTGTTTTCTTCAGGGAATTTCAACAACAGCAAGTCTATTGAGTACGAAAATGCTGTCCTCTCTGATGATTCCTTCAAGGATTCTCCTAAAAAACCTACTGTTGTGAGCACCTACCTAAAACTTTCTGGATTTTTTTTTTGTTGATTCATATCTGACTTAAAATTTAAATGGTTATTTTGGAAAGTGGAGAAATACTGTATGTCCATGGACATGTTGTGACAGTCTAAAAGTTAATATGAACAAGAAAATGCATATTTTTTTCGGTGAGATAGAAGTTGGTTCAACGATGTTGGTCATTTTTTTTTGTTTACTCATTCTGATGATTGTTATACAACCTTGCACAGGTTTATTATGTGGACCCTGATCTCGGGACAATGAATTTTCGTCATGTTTTTCTTTATAGTCAAGCTCTTGAAGGGATTATATTGTCCATGGTAAGCATTCGGTTTGTTTGTGATCTTATTGCTGTCTTGGGCTGTATAAATATGACATGTAATCGTGGGCACAAAAGGTGATCAGGTACTTTGGTAACGGTGTTATTAATTTGCAACAGGAAGGAACAAATTCGAAGCTTTTACATGCTAGAAGCAGTAAATGAAATGTTTTTTCCATTTTTGTCCCCTGGTTGGAAATTGTCATCCTTTTCCTTTGAATTTCTGTCTCATTTTACTTGCATAAATTTAGCCAGGCTTTGTATTTGCTGATCCATTGAGTTTAACCGCAGGTTAACTCTTTTGTATGACTCAGATTCTTGAAGCACCAAATGAGGAAGAAGTTTCATTGCTTTTGGAGATATTCGGGTGATTCCTCCCACTTGTAATTTTTTGTTTGTTTTTTATGTCTTGGTTGAGTTTTTGGATCCTTAATTAGTTGCTTGAAATTTCATTTTTTGTTAACGTGGAGAAAATCTGAATGCAACTAGTTTAGGGCTAAGGCTTGTTCAGTTGAATCAAGTCACCATGCTGAAGATAAAATATGGTTTGAATGAGTTTTGTCTTTCAGTGTTATGCATAGAATTTCATGTAAACTTCCTTTTGGTTTGGTTTATATACAGGCTGTGTCTTGCAGGAGGGAGGGAGGTTCAAAAGGCAGTGATGAACAGCATACAGGATTTGGCAACAGCATTCTCCAGCTACGAGGATGAAGTTTTGGTAACGAGTTCATACTCAACACACAAGCCTTTATCTGCTGGATTAAATTGGATTCAGGAAGGACTTTTTTATCAAGTCCTGCGCTACAATTGTGAATATATGGAAGAATTGCTGATAAGAAATATATAGAGCACTTAAGTTATAAATCCCATTGCTTCCAGATTTGCAAGTGGCATCCATTGGTTCTATGAGTGTCCTTGCAAATATCTGCTTCTTTTATTTTAATGATGGGTTTAAAATGTTTTCATCTATACGAATTTCCTTTAGCCCAATTTTTTATCATCTAAAGTTGGCTTCATTCAATACTCCCTGCAAGGGAGATCAATGTTTTAGGCATTGCTGTTTGGTGAAGGATGATTTTGTAGTAGAGGAGGATGCTTAGTTTGAAGCTTAGTTCCTTTGTCTCTTCTGTGTTATTTTCATAGAGAGACAGAGTGACAGACAGCTAAACTTTCAAAGAAATTGAGCTTTCTTGCATAGACTGAAACTTGCTTATGATGTCTTTCAACTGCCGAGTGGTTTTATTGACAAGTTATTTTAAATTTATTCTCATTAATTTGAAACTCTTAAGAGATCTTTAACTACCTATCTTACTTTTTTTTGTCTCTGTATTCTTTACTACTTAATTATCCTTTTCTGTATCAAGGTTGTGCCTTTTACTTTAATACTCAGATTTTACTCATCAGGAAATAACAGCTTATCCTTGAATTTCTTTTCTGAAATGATTATGACAAGGTTTCAATTATGCAGACACCCTCATGGTTAATTACTTGTTAAGATAAGATGATCCAGCATAACCTTTGGCTTTCTATAATCTATGCTTGGATGAAGTTAGAGATACCTTTTGTTCTGTAAAGAAGTTCAATTAATAGGTTGCAGATTTCCAAGCGAAATTTTATGATTAACACAACCCCCTCCTCTCTCTCTCTAGGTAAAACGAGAGGAACTGCTCCAATATGCTCAAGGTGCAATTTCAGGGCTGAAAATAAATGCTGATATTACAAGGTAATTTAGGATGCTGTAGCTCAGAGCTGAATGTGAGCCTTCACAAATAAAAACTTCCTAGATTCATTCGTTTTCTATTGCTCTAGATGATGTTGTGAATTGGGTTGAGTGTCATACCCTTGGCTTCCTCTATACTGCATGTGCTCTTGCACACACATGCCTGTATTTATACGTTAGGCACAAAGTAATTATGGATAATGTCTCATCTTTCAGACAATTATGATCCAAAACTGCTATCTCAACTTTGGAAATGTCCCAACTCTCCTCTTCCCCACTCTTTTCACCCTTCAGATTTATGCATCCATCTGTATTTAAATTATTATATGTTTACTATCAAGCTAATAGATTTTTGGAGTTGGCAAAGTACAAAGAAAGATCCATGCTTTTCTTTTTTTCTTTTTGTTGGTATTTTTACACAGGAATAAGTTTCACTATGTTTTTTAAGTTTTATCTGTTGGTTGTTTTGTCCTTTCCAATTCTCTTGAATAGAGTTTTGAATGAGTCATTTTCTTTGTGGATTAAAGTTTCCTCTTTTTTTTTTTTTCTTTTTTCCTTTTTTTTTCCTCAAAGTGATAAACATTGGATTTGCTAGGTTATAAATGAAGAATTCTATTGGAGAATAATTGAAACACAGTATGAAAATAATGTCAAACATGACTAGTGTCTGGTTGATGAGGGATAGGAAGCAAATTAAAGCATGGCTTGATGGTAACAAACTAGGAGACAGACCATCAAAACACTCTCCAGTGACGTTTTGTAATATCACTTTTTCGCACCTTAGCTTTATCTTTGGAGCTTGAACTGTGTTCATCTGTCTTCACTTTTGAAATTTGAGGCTATAAATGGTTATTTACTTTGAATTCCCTCAGCTTCAACCTGTGAAAAGAAAATTTTGAAGTAACTTTTTTGACTTCATAACGTGTTGGCTAAATTTGAACTTCCTTCTCCTGTCTCCAGAAAAAAAAGTGGTATGTATTATGTGGACCGCTGGTCATTTATCCGCGTGTTTAGTCTATCATTTTCTGATCATTATTTATTGAATTATCTTCTATATACTACGACTATAAAAATATATGGGCATGTAGTATGCATCCCTGGTCATTTTTCTGCATGTTTAATCTGTTGGAAGTTAAGCTTCATTTAAAAATGATAATTGCATTGTTTTCATTCGGAAATGATATTTTTTTATTCATGTTTTATCTTCTGCTCTCTGCACTCAGAATAGATGATGAGGCCCACAGCCTAACGGAGAAACTTGAGAAATTGAGGGTTTTCAGTCAGCCTTCTGAGGAAGCTAGTGAAAAATCCTCTGAAGAAACAACTGTTTTCACAATGGAGGTACAATTTTCCATGTACACACAGATTCCTCATGTCATTTTTGCACGCATGATTTTTAGTCAGTGTATACAAGTAGTTGTGTGAAGAAAGCTTAAATTTTTGTAGTTTGAAGGTTTTTGGGTTGTCGTAAAAAAAGGTTTTGCAGTTCGTAACCAAAAAAATAACTGTAATTGATTTATTTCCCTCCTCCAAAATCTTTTCACGATTTCTTATCTCAAATTTAGATGTTCACAAACATTCAAGATTGTAAGATTGGTATCCCTGTTCCTGTGAAAATGTTTAACTTAGCATCCTTTTTTTTCCCCGACTTTAATCAATTTGGCTTATTCATCTAATTAAGCTACATTTCATAAGTGCCAATTGATGTTGGTAGGTTAGTTTCAAGATCAACTTATGAACTTTTTTTTTCACCTTGTTTGCACTATCTCTTTGTGATTGGTTTTGCATTTTACACGTTCACATCCCATACTCCACTCATTTCAGTATGTTATCTCAAGGAAATTATGGTTTATTTAGCCAAGCATTTGTATTGTCTTCTGAAGGCCTATGGCTTGTCCTGTATTGAAATCCATTGCAATGATCCCTAAAGATTCATCCATGAGGGAACGTAAATTCATAAAACTTAGGTAACTATATTAGCCACGCGTTCTTAAACTTTTTAATCAGTCATTGCATCAGTAGGTCTCATTGTTAATTTGCTAATTTAAATGCTTATTACAGCATCAGAATTCAGACAGTTGTTTAACTAGATTTTAGAATTGATGTCTTTGATCACAGAAACTCACGTTCAATTTTTGTTCAGGCTCTAGAAGAAATACTTGGACAAATTCAACTATGTTCCTCGTTGGAGGCACTATTACTAAAAAAGAAATCTTTGAGAAATGGGGATTCTTCAGAATTGCATGCTGAGAAGGTATGAATTCTTATTGATAGCAGTAACTTGATTGAACCTTTTATTTCGTTTCAGCAGCACATTAAGTTTCAGCAGCACAAGCAAGGTTTGAACTAACTGGTGGTCAGTTCTCAAATTAACATGCAGCAAAAGTCACAGAGAGGTATTTCTAGGAACAAACAGTCGAACATTGGCGTTACTTCAAATGGTTCCTGATATGCTCTGAAGACTGAACCGAGCTGCATCTTTAGTGCTTCTTTGGACGAATATTCAACTAACAAATCTTACAACTTATACTGCTTGCCAGCAATAATTTAATGTGCTTCTCTCTGTTACGATATAATGCATCAGGAGTTGAAAGTACACCAATTAGCGTCTAGTACAATTGGTAGGGAAACAAAGAGTTTGCAGGGGTGGTCAAGAGTTTGACCCCTCTCTGCCCCTTAGAATAAGGAAAGAGGAGTTGAAAGTATACACCCCTATGCCTCTTAAGGACACAAGACTTGCATTAGGACCCTACTTTTTTGTGTTAAATAATGTTCCTTGATAACCTCTGACTAGATAGTTCAGCGTGATTCATTCGTTTAAGTTGCTTGAATGGTTTTCTGTTCCTAAAAAGCTGCTGCAGTGTTATAGACTTGCCAGTGCCTTTCTGCTACCTGTTAAGTTTGAGGCTGAAAACCTAGCTTTACAAACCTGTTTGTCTAAATCCCTTGAGGCAACCCTATTATGCATCAAGCATGTTTGGCATAAAAGAGTAGGACTGTCATGCAAATTGCAACTGAGATTTTAGTTTCTTACCAAGTGTTAATATTTATTGTTCGTATTCAACCATTTAGAATCAATCTAAAGTCTAGCTGGCCTATTTATGCATATGATGAATACTTGTTATTGAAAAAATTCAATACAAACCGAGGACAGCCTATCAGAAATGTCACCTAATCTCTCTTGGCAATTTCTTAGTGGCTGGAACACATACCGGGTTTCATGTTGCTTCTTGAAGCATTTTTTTCAACATAAATCAACAAGGTGCAAAAATGCCACTCATGTTTTTTTTTTTTTTTTTTTTTTTTTACCTAACATTTAGTGCTATTGGTCATCAGAAAATTCTCTAGACCAAAGGCAATTTTATTTGTAATCTTAATGTTGAGGTTAAACATTTTTATTTCGAACTCCAAGCCTAGTGTAACTAAAGGAAATTGTAAAATGATCTGTTTTGAAAGCATTTTAAGTTGTATTAACTGTCTTCTATTTTTAGTTTATGAATTGAAGAGATATCTTCTGCAAGTTTGAACAGTTTAATTTTATTATTATTTTCTGGGTTTTGTTTCAGCTTATTTCAAGCCTGTCAACTGCTGCTACCGTATTCTTAATGATTCACTATACACTTATTTTGCAGGTTGATAAATTGAAAATTTTATCAGAATCTCTTCTTAACTCCACCTCAAAAGCTGAAAAACGCATTTTAGAACAAAGGTTCAATTAGCATCTCAGATTTTTTTTTAATGTGTGTGCATGCATTTACTTGTGTATATGCTGCCATGCTGGCAAATGGGATAAAATGTGTCTACATTTTGCATATTTGCATCTTGTTTTTCATTGGGGGGAGGCGGTGTGGAAGGAGGATTTCACTATCTTGTATGAACTAGGCCTTTTTTTGAGGGGAATGCACAACAGATGTCACTCTGCTGAGTTGGGTGTCTTGGGTCCCAAATTTATAGAAAGTGTTCCTCACAACAGTGATCACAAGAGGAAGTTTGCTTATTTCTGAAAAATAAGCTCTTCATGGACTTCAACATGCTGTTAAGTCAATTTCCAATGTATAATTAGAGGTCTGTGATGTTTTGGTTATTACAAGGGAATATTTGGAAGTATTTCTTCAGGAAAATTGAGCAGTTGCTGGTTAAGGTATTATATGTTCATCATGTTTATTGGCACATAGTTTTAGTTTTAATAAATAGTGATGGATCATTCTGGGATGATTTATTTTTCTGGGTATTGGGCAGTGCATAACTAATATGCTTATTTACAACTGAAAGGGACATGGATAATTTGAAAATATAGAATTTGGCTTTCCTCTGATGCTTTAGTTCTAGTCTTCACTGAATGTCCTATTGCTATCGTTTCTTTATTTTTATTAATGCCAGGCCTTTTTTTCTTCTCTTAATTTTCTTCTCTTAAGTTTTGCTTGATGTTTATGCAGATCTCAGAAAGAAGATGCGCTCAACTTTCGTGTGGCTAAAGGCGCTGAAATTGGTCAGCTTGAGAAGGTAGCCATTCTCCAAAGAATTAATGTTGCTTCTTTATTAGAATGCAGACGGTGGATTGAACTTTTTTGAAATTTTTATACTTAAATGCTGTCTTCCTGTAGGAAAAAAAAATTAGATTACCATTCATGCATTGTGACACTGGAAATTTGAAATATGAATCCTTATCACCATTCTGTTCAGGACCATATTATTTGCAGGCGTGATTCTAGATTTGTTCTTTTACTTCTTTAGCTCTCACCCTTTATGGTTTCTCTCTCCCCCCTCTTCATCTCGGATGTAACTTACCTCTATTTATCTCTATGGCTGTCTCCTCCAATTCCTCCACCTTTCTATGAAAAGGTTCATTTTTTTACTCTGATATAAGTCTTAATATTTTCACCAGAGCTACATTGATTTTGTGGGCATGTGCTTCTTCACTGTCCAAATCTTGCTACCATATGTATAAGCAGTCTAATTTCAATCTTTAAGAATTAAAAGTTCAATTTCAGGACTTCATGATTGCACAGTACTTGCAGTTGTGATCTCCATTTCAAAAATCCTGCTTTCACTTTTAGAAATACTATTCTCAGCAAGAAAATATAGTAAAACAAGATATCCAATTTTTCCATTTCTGAGAAAAGTTGGGATATACAATATTCTGATTTTTTTCATATTATTGAGGAACTTTACAATCTCTCATGAATTATTGCATGACCTGTGCTCTTGGGGACAAAGTTTGTCATTGTTTGATTCATTTTGTTGCCATGAATATTATTAAATATGTCTCATGCCATTTTCTAGGAATTGGCAGTGGAGATTAGAGAACTTGAAAAGAAAAAGGATGAACTTGAAGCTGAATTGAAAAAGGTAATTTTCACCTTAATCTTTTTGCTACTCTATTAATTGAAGGGTGATGCAGTTTTGAATGATATCATCATGCCTAGTATTGTTTAGTGGAGTCTCGGTTCTTCTTGCTGTTGCAGTTTACCAGTCGTATTCGTAATTAGCTCAGGTGTTGTCTTTAGCTTGGATGCATATAACTTATTCATGCTTGTTGTTTAAACTGCGAAGTTGAATTGGTAAATGTCAATCGAACAAGTCCTTCACTCTGTGACATCGACTTCATAGGATCACTTTGTGGGATTCTAATCATTTCTGGCATTTGGTGTAGGTCAATACCTCATTGAATTCGGCTCGGGCACGTATTCACAATGCCAGGGAAGAGCGAGAAAATTTTGATGAAGCCAGCAACCAGATTCTGATACACCTGAAAGCCAAGGTATTTCTGTTTTTCCCTTGTCACAAGAACCATTTTGTACATAATAGAATCTTTAAACTATATGAATTTCCCAAAAGAAAAGTACAGAGCACATTTGGAACCTTCTTATTACATCATGTTGAGCATGTTTTCTAATTATAGGAAGATGAGTTAGCAAAGTCGATTGCGTCATGTCGGGCAGAAGCAGATGTTGTTAATTCATGGATTAATTTTCTGGATGCTACATGGGTTCTTCAGACTACAGACATGGAGCAGAAGGAGAAGCAGGTCAAGTATGTCTAAATACTCTCTACGAATCTGCTAGAGATTTGATGCAAGTGTTTTTGTAGGATAGTTTTATTCCAAAACTAAAAAATCTGACTAGTTTTTTGCGAAGTTTTTTCCTATGTTTAATTTTTCCATACTGTTGTGTCAATTTTTTTGTCATTTCTTTCTTTCTTTTTGATTATTTTTCTGCACATGCATGTTCAAGTGGCGACTTGGAGAAATATGGTGATTATTTTGTGAATTTGAGTGTTCGTCTCCTCTCTGGTTACAAGGTATTGTTAACATATCCGGTTCTCATGTATGGCCTCTTCAACTATAGTCTTATAATCTCCACTTGCAATCTATTCTATCTGTGCAATTGATTTTCAACTTCGTTGTTGAAATGCAAATATTGGACCTCTATTCAGGAGCAGCTGGGGCCTTTGGTCATCCGTATGAAAGGGCTTGTGGAAGACTTGCATTCATGTCAAGGGTATTATGCTGTGTCTTTGGAAGTTTTGTTGCCTAGTTTAGAGAAGCCTCAAACTGTTATTCTACAACAGGTCAGAAGTAGCAGCTATCATAAAGGATGAAGGGTCAAAAGCAAAAACCAAAGAAAATATCTTGAAGAGGAATTTCTGAAGCTTGAAGCCAAGGTATGGATGTGTAATTGTGCTTGTTTTGATAATATTGAAGTTTCTTCTTATGTCTTAAGACCAAATGATCTGTTTTATTTTCCTATTTTCTAGTTCATATTAAGACTGTTTTTCCACATCTATTTGCCTCAAAAAACCCTTTCTCCACTCTAATACCTTCTTGTTAGATTGATAGGCTTTAAGTTTTTTCCTTCTCAATTTAAGACTATGGAACAGTATCAAATTTTTATCTAATTAAAGCTATGTCATTCTTTGTTCTGCAAGACTTTAATCAGCATAAGTGCCGTGGAGGCTATGAAAAAGCAGTCCAATACCAACTATGAAGGTGTTTACAGGTGTAGTATCTTTTCTTTCTTTACACATGCTCTATAATTAGATGCATTGATCAACCCCTTAAAATGAGATGTGGTACTTATACTTCAGGAAAAGCGATGAAAGGGTCAAAGAGCTATTTAATGCTATTGAAAAAATAAAAGAGGAATTTCAATCCATCCAGAGACCAGTTTTGGAAGTTGAGAATCCGACACAACAATCACACTCACATTCCAGTGATAGCCCCCGCGATGACCCATCCTCCTCTTCCAAACATACCTTTGAGACTCCAGAAAACAAAGAAGACAGCGAAAATGGATCACCCCCTATTAATAGAGGAAATGCACCAGTCACACAGGCAGACCCGGAAAAGCTACGGTCAGAACTTGGGAAGGATGAGGAAGGATGCACAACAGAGGACATTGGAGAGTGAGAGTTCGATGAACTTGAAAAGGAAGTAAAACCAAGCAGCTAACCAGCAAGAAAGAGACCGAGGTTACTGTTATATGAATCTCGTCAGTATTATGACAATGTGTTATTTAATATACTAAGATAAAGAAAACTTGTTTTTCCTTTATAGTAGGAAAGACATAAGAGTTATATGACTTCTGAATATCGAATGACACCCTCATCAGATTCAAGTTAATTGAGAGCAGGCACTGAAATATCACTCGTGAAGTATGTAAATTCTCTCCTTTTTGATGATGAAATGTAGATACCCCTAAACAAATGTAATCAAGACACTGAAATATCCATATGATTCTTTGTATTTTCCTTCTTATCATTTAGTGACTCTGTTAAACAAAAACTCGGAGGAGATTTTTTTATCGAAGAAAGATGTTCGAAACATTGGGTCCTTGTAAGTTGCAACTTCCTTTTGTTCTTTGTACGCGCGGGGGGGGGGGGGGGGGGGACGCTAGGGTCCTAAAAAAGAGGTGTCTGGCTAGCCATTGCAGCTCAGTCCTAATAAATGATTTTGATTCGTCATCCTCTCAAGTAATGGAGCTCTTGATATTTGCTTCAACGCAAAATGCATTTGGTGGAGGCGGACCGTGAAATTCATCGCACCATTTAACGGTACAATCATTGAAGAAAGTACTCCTTCATCCTGTTGGATTGAAACTTTGACCGTACAATTTGGATGGTCGGTTGCCCATAAGAAAAGAACTTACGGTACCTCAAAATTCACATGGAAAGGCAGTTTCCAAAAGTGACATGCCACTGGGCTTGCCTTTGCAGTGGCATAATTTGCACCTTCGCTCAGAGGTCAGTGCCCCAGTAACCAATCATGCATCTGCACGTAATGGATCCTATAGGAAAAAGTTATTTACACCTCACAGCCAAGTCTCGTTACTGTGAAAAGCCACGTTAAAGAAAAGGTAAACATGGGAGGAGGACATAAAAAAAAATGACTTTTGAGTGTGGTGGGCTGGTGGTCAGAGGAGCATCACGTGATCTTATATATTTGAATCTTTATGTGGTGGAGCAGTACAGTTCTATCTCATGCAGAGAATTATTGGCCTTCTATAAAATGGAGACTAAAGAGCATCAAGTCCCATCCACAACATATAAATTCATTAGCATTACCCTTGAAAACCTAGCTAGGTTGGTAAATTATAAATCAATCCTTCTATTTTTTAAAAACGAATCAATTAGTCTTTCTTGTTACAAAATCTAATTATTTAGTTTTTTTTTAACCAATGTTGACCATATTAAATTTTAATACTACTTTATTTTTAAAAATATCATATTTTTCTTATCAATCATTTCTTATTTTTTTATTAATTAAAATAAAAAATTAAAAAACAAAAAAGATTAAATTATTAAAAATATAAAGATTAAATAATTAATTTTTTAAACAACGGAAACTAATTAATTTGTTTATTGACACTAGAGAAATTAATTTATATTTTACTCACATAAAAAAAGATCGTAAGAAATCATCAATCAAAATGTGAATATTCTAGAAAAATAATTTAATTTTGATATACAAAAAATATCTACAAATACCTTTATTGTTAAAACTAAAAGAATAAACGATTCTTTCAACATTATCTTAATTAAACAAGTTAACATCAAAGTCTATTCGTATATCTAAAAGGAAAATGAATGTTTGGACCTTATGGCTGTTCTTGATGAAGTCAAATAGCCCTAGTGGCAATAAATTAAGCAAAGGCTGAAAAGAAGGAGAATGGTTGAAAAACCTCTTCTTAGTTTGACCCAGTCAAAGATGGCATAGCCATAGGTTATAGCCCATGACAGTTTTACCTTGGAAAATATAAAATACTACGTAGTACGCTCCTATGGTAGTATATATTTTAAAATGTTTGAATTCGTTGGACTAGAACACTGTGACTCTCTCTCTCTCTCTCTCTGTGCATTATTGAATTGTGAGTGCAAAAAACCAGGTTTTGAGATGTGGACTGGCTCTTTTTTTTTTTATAACAAATTTAAACTTTTATTGCAGAGAAGCTTGTGGATGTTGCAGACAATAACAGAACTGTTCCATATTGTACAAGTACATAGTTACATTAAACTAACAATTTCTTTTTTGGCATAGTGTGTATTATTTATTTATTTATTTCTATAGGAACATCTATGTCTCATGTTTTCTGATAAGAGATCTTAAATCTACATGCTGTGTGATGCAGATTGCAGACCATGAACATCACAAGTTCCACCACCTTATATCATAGGGTTGGTGTGAATGAAAGATACGTTCATAATCCATTGAGGACTCCCAAGAAGATACACGATCCAGATCAAATTGCATAGCATAATTTGAAAGTACTATAGATTCCATCTGGGTATTGACTCTTGATCTAGTTGCTTCTCCTAGCTAGCTAGTATATACGATACCATTTTCTTCTTAAACACTGTTGAATGTATACGTTGGGCTTGTCACTTCCATTGAAACTTTCAATAAAAACAAGACCACTGTCAACATCTTCCCTTGTAGTGGCAGATTCTCAACTTCTGTACCAAAAACCTGTTCCTCGTATAAATTCTAGGTATGATTATGGCAGTGGATGATTCATGCATTAATGACTAAAAAGAGCATATACGGGTTGCCCCAGCAAGGCCGTCCACTTAACTACAGTCCAAGCATTGTTGAAATTTGATAAGATGGTTCAAGCACTACATAAGCTCACTAAATGTCAAAAGCTGATCAGTTTCCAACAAAGAAAATGAATTCATGCTATTGTTCTGTTAGGCCGAGAAAATGGAAGAGGTGGCAAGCTAGCAAAGAAATTCAAAAAAAAAAAAAAAAAAAGAACAGAAACATTACCCTATTTTTTGTGCTTTATCAGCACCATAATATAAACATAACAAAAATGCAATTGTCATGCTATAGTATTGTGATTTTAATGCAGAATTGAAGTATAAAGGACCAGAAATGTGTAATTTAAAAGAGAACTCAAAAAGGAGCTGCAATCTTTCACCCCCCTTTTTCCCAAAATAAAAAGGTTACTGCTTACGATCCACAAAAATTTTGATGCCGAAGGATGAGCATCGATGTGCATGGGCCACTAGCTGACTGCTTACCAAAGGAAAAATCCATTATCTTTTCTGCATTTTATTATTTGGAACTATTCAAGATACTCGAAAAGAAAAAAGGAAAAACAAAAATCTGACAATTCCTTGCAATAAAATTTTATTTTCTAAATTGGCACCATCTTCACTTTAAAGGATGCTCTGCCCCCTTTCTTGCTCCATCAAGCTCACCTCCCCATAAGCGTCTTTCACTCAAAAACACAGACATAAGGGTTCCTAGACAGGATGCCACATGAAATGGCCAAAACCCAATCTTTGAGTATTCATGCAGATGGTGACTACATTGACATGGAGCTGAGCTCCTCTTCAAACTTCATTTGCTACTCCATTAGCTCTCCCCCACAAAGCAGAGAGTTTGAGTTCCAAATGTCTTCAGTTTGTCATGGCAGAGAAACCACAACATCCCCAGCTGATGAACTCTTCTACAAGGGAAAACTCCTCCCTCTCCACCTCCCTCCTCGCTTGCTAATGGTTCAAAAGCTCCTCCAAAACCCCAACACCACCACCTTAAGCAATAAATCAGAAGCAGCCTTTGCAGAAAACTATGACATTCCCTTCATTACTACCTCCACTACACCTTCCACTAACCCCAATTCACCATTGGAATCTTGCAACATCTCACCATCAGAATCTTGGAGGGCTAGTAGTGAACTGAACCCAGATGAATATTTCTTTGAATGGCCAACTGAAGCTAACAGTTTCCTTGGAGATCATCAAAAGAAGTCCTGGACTAAGAAGCTAAAGCAATCCTCACTTGGTCAAAAACTCAAGGCCTCAAGAGCATATCTAAAGTCTTTGTTTGATAAATCTGGTTGCACAGATGATTCCTGTGCTAAAGCAGCATGCAATGCAGAAGAAGAAACTGTTTGCAAAGGTCAGGACTGTATGATTAAGTACATGAAAGTACCAAAGAAGAATCCATTTGGCAGTATTGATAATGAAAGACACAAGATATCAAATACTCTCAAGAGAAGCATTGAGAAAGAGAAGGCTGAAGATGGTTTTCGTTGCCAAAGGAGGTCTTTCTCGGGGGCAATTCAATGGCATTCTACAACTAAGTCTTCATCATCCTCAACTATATCAACATCTTCTTCTGGTTCTTCTTCTTCATCTTCATCCTTTTCATTTAGTTCAAATGGGTTCTGTGACTTAGAGTTGCTCAAGAGAAGTAGCAGTTCAAATTCAGAGTTTGAGAGTTCAATTGAGGGAGCAATTGCTTATTGTAAAAAGTCACAGCAGCTGTTTGGTTCAAGAAAGAGTTCAAGGGAAGTTGAAGTCTGTTCATTGTCTGCTTCAGTGATTGCAGCTTGTGGGAATCAAGAGAGACCTAAACTATGCATCATATAAGTGTGGAAGTCATAGAAATTCACAATTAGAGGGGCCCAGAAAGATTCTATATCTCATTTCCTGTTGAACTTTTCAAAGTGGGTCTCAGTTATAGCAGTGTGATTTTCAGGTTTTTCAATGGTTTTTGGGTAGATCGTCCACTAGAATATAGTTCCTGTTGGAAAGAACAATAGTTACGGTCTTGCTTTCCCCCTCTTTTAAGAGGATTTACTTTTGAAATCAGTATTCTGGGCCTGCTCTCCAGTGTCGTTGTACTTGCATAAATTATGAAGTTATTCAGAGTGAGATGAATCCAAAATCCGTAATATAATTAGGCTTGAGGATTTTCTTTTTCTTCTTCACTTGTTTCCTTTTGAATGAGCTGGCCTTGCGTAGGCTTAAGCTAAAGTGAGATAATTCACTGAAGACATTCTTCCAAATAATGAATTGCTGTGGACTATTTGGGATTATCTACCAACGTTTGACAACGAGGCATACCACCTTGAATTCTACTCTAATGAAGCCAATTCAGATGTCATGTTCTCTTGGTCATATCACGCAAGCGGACTATGAAACACAATTATGAGTCCCACCAAAAGTGCTAGAAACCTTTTCCAACTGAGTCACTCGTAAAACTTTTTCCAGTTCCATGATATTGGTAAAATCTGAGACTTCTGTCAATAACCTGATATATGGTCCTCTCCCCTTGGAACTAGATCCTTATTGAATATCAATATTACTCAAGAGAGAACTGTGGAAGATATGAGATGCCTCTGCGTGGAAGTAAGGAGCATCATCTTTTTTATCTTTTCACTTTACAGAGGAAAAGTTGAAAGCCATTCAAATTTCAAAGGAACTTTTTACTGAATCAAACCAAATAAATTTTCTTGAGAAAACATTAAAAAAAAAAAACTAAGTTTGATAAAGGTGGTTACCTAATAGAGGGACAAAGGCAGGGAAAGAGGATTTTGAATCACACTTAAATGATAGAGTAATGCTCATTTTACCAGATTCTTTCAGGAAAATCTCATGCATTCAATGATTAGATCCTGTTGATGAAACTCGTAAATCCAAGGGTTAGGATTTTAAGCGAAGAATCTTTTGGTAACATTAGCATTACCGAACACCTGTCACTCGGATACCTTGATCCTAGGAGACAATAATAAATAATTCATTCATAGAAAGCATCACTGCATCGTAGTGTGATCTACTGCAACTTGATACTAAGTTTTAGAATAATGCTAATGAATGTCGACACAAGATGTTCGCTGTTTGCTACTGAGAACATCCGCATCCGTTGGTAACGTATCATACCCAAGTTGATAACAAATGGGCCATTCCAGAAGCAGAACGCTTTTCATGCATTTTTTTGATCTATCCTATGATTACGACTAAAGATGAATCCATATGAGAATGCCAGTTCGATTTTTGACTATACTGAAGGCAAAAATCATGGTCCTAAATCAACTAGCCGAATAATGTTCGGCATTGAGAATACAGACAAGCATATAACAAGAAAGGATGAACGAAAGATCTGGTTCCACACGTCGTTACTAAATCTCTTACATTTTACGGTACAAGCCAGCCAGAACACTGCTGCCTGACTGTGACAAAAAATACGAGTAATTCATTACGCGTTACAGTCTTTCCCAGGCATGATTTCTGTGGCTGTGTCCTCTTCAAAGATGAGATTTATGACATTTTTAGACACTGTTTTTGTTTCAAGTTTTCTTTGCAATCAAGCAGAGGCCGCAGTTCGATGAGATTTTACAGTCATGCGAGTGTAAAGCATTAATGCCCCAGTTTCAACATTGATCTCAACAAGTTTCACAACAATTAATTCAATAAAGAATCTTTCATGGTAGTTAGTCACTGATGAAGTGTTTCAGTAAGTAAGAAATGAATCACTTACACGGTGTTTCAGTAGCTAGTCACTGAGATTATTCGCTATTTGGGACCTACAGAGGTTATAATTGGACTTTTTTTGGATCTTAATGTACATCTTTCTACATGAATTGAAACAATCTTGTGAAGGTACTAAGTAGTGAAGCCAGTAGTAACCCAATCACCCATAACTTCACCAATTTAAAGCATTCAAAAAATACAAAATGTTGCATATCCTAATATATGGTGAAGGAATAGTTGTGGCATTGCTGGGACCAGTCAGCAAGTGGATCATGTGAATAATGTCAGGACTAAGCAGTTGATTCAAGGCATCAACAGGATTTTCTTGCAGATATTTTGGACTCAAAAGTTTTTGTTAAGTAACCTTGTCATCTTGTTGCATTTATTCTGATAAATATCTTCTGTAATGATCAGCAATAACTTGTTTGCTAGTAAGTATCTCTCTCTTCTGCATTTTTAACAAGTCAGACTTTAAGCTCTTTTTCTGTACCTTTTACCCTTTACTATTTGTTGTGATATGTTGAAAAACAATTTCATGCCTTCTAATCATGCCACCTGAATCTTTCAAGGTGTTACGTGTCTAATATATAGTTCACAAGTAGCTCAAGGATTTATGGTCAACATATTTAGATATAATTCAGAATCTAATTGTTCACACCTTAGAACACAAAATTGCATAAGAAACTTCCTCTGAGTGAACAACAATTACACATTAACCATCGGCATCCATTCATTCAATAAAGTGGTTCTATAAAACGATAGGTAAAAAGTAAAAGGTAAGAACAAGGCATCAAGATTACTCAGAAATGTAGTTGCATTTGCAGGCCCATGTGCTCACATGTTGTCTGATTCATGTAGATGCCTTCTACATTCTGCTGTTTCAGTTGGATCCCTTTTTGGCATCCTGTAGGCCACTGCATTCGGATCATTTAAGCAAAAGAAAGATTTTGGCAACTATTCGCTGCAAAAGATAGCATCGGTGGATAGAATAAGAATAGGAACATAGCCTGACCCTGACAGCCTTCAATTACTCTAGAAAATCAACAATCACTAGAAAGATTATATGGAACCTGTTCAGATGCTTAGATGCCTTGATCATCTACAGAAAGTTAGTTCTCACATATTACTTTCAAAATATACTGAAATTGGTAGGTATGTTCTGAGGACCTTGTGTTAAATAGATATATACATTAATTTCATCCAGTCTCTCCAACTTTGATTGGATTAGCAGACACATGAAAGATGTTCAAGAAAGAAAGTAATGAATACCCCAGCTGGCTTATCACTGACTCATTTAATTGTGCTCTAGCCTGCATGATGCCAGATTATGGGATCTCGAAATGTTGCAGGATGCCCTTTTGACAGATGAGGGAGGACGAGATGAAATTGTTTAGCAATCAACAGCAAAACGATGGCTCGCAGTCAGCAATTTTTGGCATTGACTAGACTCCCTTCCAATTCCGTTAAATACAAGAGAACAAAAATATTTTGACCAAAGAAACAAATTTACTTATCACATCTAGGCTTAAGATGGGAAAACTTAAGGCTTGTTTTCCTTATAGTTACCCAGGAGTGAAATGTTAAATGACAAACATCAATTATGAATGGCAAGGAGCCTCCTATAGTTTTCGAGTGGCATTGAGTTAGCTAATACAGCTTGAAGACAGAGCAACTGTATTAAAAAAAAAAAAAAAGAAAAAAAGAAAAAGAAAAACGAAATATAAGAAAAGGAACCAAGGGATGGTGCTGAAGCTAGTGTTGACATCCTGAATATATAAGATTCTGCAGAAAGTTTAGAGCCATAACAAGAGGTAGTTGTCACAAAGAACAAACCATCGTTGGCGATATCATATGAATAAATGTTACTTAATCCGTTGGTTGATATAACTTATTTGAGAGCATAAATTTAAATAAGTTCAGAGTGTGACAGGAAAAGAACACGTAGCATGTTTACCCAATTTTGTACCAGATAAGCTTCCATAGCAATTAGCAATCTCTGAGGCTCAATAAAGCATCAAAAGTTCATTTTTGAATAGGAGAAAGATAAAAATGTCACAGGGCAATGTACTTGTGGATAGATGCCATTTATAGAAACATTACCAAGTCACCAAGTAACTAATTTCTCATTATATAAACTTCAAAGTGAAAAAGTTACCACCCTCTTCATCTTTTAAAATCTTCAGAAGATCTATCAGCACCCTGCTTCAGTAGTGAGCGAAAAGGCTGAAATAAAGTTACACTGGAATATATACAAGGAGGAAAATATTTTATGCATATGTAAGACCTAAAATGATGGACAAAGTCTCAAATTGCATAGAGTTTCTTGTAGTCATTTTCCAAAATCTCTGATTCTTCCATGAGTGACATTGACTCTGATCTCGACCTACTTGTTGATGACCTCCGAATGCTCCGTGATTTGGAAGTCTCAATTCTCTGTACAATTACCCAATAACTCATCGTCCCAATTGTTGTTACCATGATTATTGTCCCTACGACTGTTACAAAAAGTGCCAACCACTTATGATCTCCCACAACAACATATGACAGTGCAAGGAATGCAACTGAAATCAGCACACAAGCCAGCCACATTAGCTTGTTGATCACGGACATTAGTTGTTTTTTAGCCTTTCTCTCTATAACTACAATAGAAGTTTGAACAACTACTACAGCCAATGATATAAAGAGAGCAATTGAGTCAAATACGATGAAAATTATGAACTCGGGTTTGGACGCAATATTTGCTTCTCCAGCAGACTGTCCAGGGGCGAGGTTGTTTGGGTCGTCAGCAAACTGGCCAGGCAGTTGGAAGATGGCAGCAAATGCAACAGTGGCAATAAGGACTGCCACAACTGTGGTTGAGGTAATTGCGTTGTTGAGACCTTCTGTGTGCATTTTGTTGAGCCTTTTGGCTATACCATGAACACGTTTTCGTGTTAGCCGTGTGGTCTCAAGCTGGTTGTGAACCTCATGCTTTATGTCACTTACTGTTTGCTTTAGTTCTCGGTTGGCTGTGTTAGTTGTAGGCTTCATGGATTTGGCCGACAAGACTCCATGCTCTTCTAAGATGGAGGCAATTCTTGAGTGGCCAGTTTTCTCAGCAGTATCAAAGGCAGATTCTCTGGATCTGTTAACAATTGTTTTGTCAATTCCCTTTTGGTCAAGTAACTTCCTAACAATCTGCAAATAGCACCAAACTAAAAGTCAGAAACTTCCACCAACTCTGTGAAAAGGAAAGGATTCTTTGGCAACATTGGTAGATGACAGAGTGACTTCTGCTCTAAATGTTGATTTAGCAACATCATAAAAGGGCTGATTTACTTGTATTGCAGAAGATACTGACCATTAAGGTAAGCGGATATAGTAGGTCTTGAACATCGACATGGGTACTAAATAAGCAAAACATTGGTCTAAAGTTGATCCATTGCTGAAATACATGGAAACTAAAGCAACTACACCCTCAGATAGATAAATAAGCCTTTAACTATGTTGCTTTCCAGTTTATAAGCCTCACCAGAAGCACATAAGAGATACAACATATAAAGGATTCTCAATTTCTCCTCGAACAGACACAAGCGAGAGTTCATTTTTGGTAACAAAAATAACAGGGAAAAGAAAAGCTTTATGCAATTGAAAGAAGAGGAAAGTAACTTAAAATACCTGATCTCTACCCTTACGGACTGCAATATGCAAAGCAGAGTTGCCTTGATTATCGATCATGTTCATCAAAGAAGGATCTGTCATGATTAGCTCCTCCACCAGCTCAACATTCTGTCCTTTAACTGCCATATGGAGAGCCGTCTGGCCTTTCTTATCAATCTTATTCGCCAGTCTAGGTTCTTTACTCAAAAGGGCTTTCAAAATCTGCAAATGTCCATTCCTTGCCACCGAATGCAAGGCAGTTTTACCATTACTTTTTGCTATCAAAGCTAGGCTACTATACTTCTCTAACAGGAAATTCACTACTTCAGCATGCCCTTGTGAGGCAGCAGAGTGCAAAGCTGTCGTATTTGACGAATCAAAGGTCAAATAAAGTTCAGGATTGACCTCCATGAGAACTATCACTATCTCTGCATTATAGTAACAGAACACACAATTAACCCAACATTAATACCAATCCAATTACAAATTCTGGCTAGTAATTTTCAGAATTGAAAACAGTACTAACCCAAATCGCCTTGCTTTGCAGCTATGTGAAAAGCATCATACCCATTTCTTGCTTTGAGACCAGCCAAACCAGTGTCATAGTACTTAATCAGCTCCTTCACTATATCAACATGACCGCACTCTGAAGCAACATACAAAGCAGTTTCTCCTGATTGGTTTTGTTTCGACAAAAACATAGTCAACTCCGCAGCTTCCCCAAGATTCTCAGCTATCATTTCCTTAACCAACTCCAAATTTGCAGCTCTCACCGCCGCATGAAACGGCGTGTCATCCCGTTTCCCTGTCAATTGTTTTGTCATCTTCTTCTGCCGGAAAATTTGCTGCCTCGCCGGAGGTTCCATTTGATAAAAATTTCTATCCACAAAAAAAAAAAGAAACCCCTTTGTTCCTTCCTCTAGCCTTTCAAGTTGTGGATCAAGATTTCGAGTTTTTTCAAGAAATAAGAAGATCAAGAATCATGGCGATCAATATGAATAAAGAATCATATCATGTCTGATCATAACAAGAATGATGATCAGACAAGGGGTTACACGTGGGGAGGCTTAGCTACAAGCCTGGTTCCTTGATATTATTCTTCATATCATATGCATCTCACGGTCTTGAAATATTCTGCACCAAATTTTAGCAGTATTAAATTAGAGTCCACTTGAAATAAATAATTTTTTTATATTCAAACTCTTATCTTCAATACTTATCATTATGAGCAATCATGAAAATTAAATATGAAATAAAGACAAGGACTGTGAATTTTGAAAACTTTTTGCCAGTTTCAAACTTGCTAAAAAGAAAGAAAAATTGGGCAAGTTAGTTCAACTCAGAAAGTCCAAAGATAACTTACCAGATAGATTTGAAAAACAAAGAGCTTCTCTGACTCTGACTCTTGTGTTCTACAACTGAAAAATCATCCACTTTAAAAACGGATCCAAACAAATCCTCGGCGATGATGATCAAAACAGTAAACGCAAAGTAATCTTCTTGGAGGCGATGAGGTTAAAGATTGAGAAACTTGGAGAACGAAATTTCTTAAATACAAAGAAAGACACAAAGGCTGATGGTTGCTGGTTGCCACTCGCTTACTGACTCTAGTTATTGCCAAAGTGGCCTATGCAACTGCAAAGCAACCATCTTTTTTTAAACACGTTTCCTCATATCTCCTCTGCTGTAAAATTTGTGTCTAGGGCCACACATCACACTCCCTTCGCTGCTTAGGTGGCTTTTGTTTTGTTTCAAATATTTATCCATTTATTTTATTCGGTGAGAAGTATTTTTAGCTCATAAAATTTCGTTAAATATTTTGTTTCAACCATTTATCGATCCATTTAGTTGTTTTAACAACCACCGTTATCATTGTCATATAAACATTATCATCATCTCACTATTACAATATTAAATTTTGCATTATTATTTATTAAATATTACATAATTTTTTACGTCTAAAACTTTTTTCTGTTCGTAAAATATATATTTTATGCAAAGTAAACGCTCTTTTAATTTAAAATTAATTTTCAAAATGCATTTAAGTTGAAAAAACATCAAATTATGTTAGCAAAAACACATGCACCAAATTATTTGGTATCCTCCTTCATTTCCGTCCGCTCAAGATTTCGGATTAAAGTCCACTGAGTTCTCATAAAAAAATGTCTACATGGTGAAATTGGATGGCTATTTTTATTATTATTTTATACGGGGGATTGACGAGAAGGAGGATAACGAAAAGGTGCAATTGAAAATAGTTTTCTTTCACCATTCAAAAACTCGGCATAGTAGTTATCCGAATGAAAAAAAAAACTCGGCAAAGCTTATAAATCCATCGAGAAGAGAGAGAGAGAGAGAGAGAGAGTCGCTGCGCTGTATTATTTCTAGTCGTGGCCATTAGAAGGAGAATAAAAGAGATTAGTCGTTGACCGAGCGATCCAAAAGTTGGGTCAATGGCTCAAGGCGGCCACACAATATAAACAGAGTGGGCCCACCCAAGGTGGGTTTTGAGCCTTTTTTTTATTGATAACGTTGTTGACAAAATGCTGTTCGTGTTAGGCCACTTTATATATATATAAATTTTAATAATATAATGCTCAAAATATTTTGTAACCAGTAAATTATAAATTATTTCTAATAGTTTCAACAAACGAATTAATAAAATAATTATTTAAATCTTTTAGCAAGTGTTGATAATATTTAATTTACTATTATTTTATTTTAAAAATATTTTTTCTCATAAATTTTTCATAATATTTATTATAAATAAACAAATAACTGAAAAATTAATTTGAAAATAAAAGGCATTAATTGATTTATTTATTAAAACTAAAAGAACTAATTTATAATTTATTCATTTTGTAAGCTAAGAGCCTAAGACGAGTAGGAGAGGGAAAAGGCCATGGTAGTAATATGAAGAGCGATGACAAAAAATCACAGCCTGATATTTAAAAGTTTATTTCACATTGCATTACATTATCGTGGGTGTTGATGATAAAGAAATAAACATTTTGAAGAAAAACCGCGTGGATGTCATTGTACATGCCATTTGGGCTCTGCTTTTTACTAAGAGTATTATGATAATAATAATAATTTGATTTGGCTTAGAACACCCTTTTTGTTTTCTCCATTGGACCTAGACGTGTTTGGATTGAAAAAGATTGGTGCACCGCGTGTACGTGCTTGCCTCCTTTCCTCTTGTCTTGTCTTTAAGCAATGATGAAATGGTGATTCACATGCTTTTGTTGCTTTGTTTGTCCTTCATCTTCTTGTTCATCAATCAATTGTTCTTCCCAAAAAGAAAAAGAAAATATGCTGGTCGTTCTCTTTCTTCTTGAGTACTGTTAGGGGTTTTCGCCATTCCCTTCGCGTTATCAATTTCGCCGTAAGTTAGCGACACGTGTCATCATTCTTTTAACGATTAAAACTTGCACTTGGTAATACAAGTCCAATGATCCATTTTGTAATATAGTTTAACATAAGAGGAGGCTTTAGTCCCCTCACAAATTAAGTATGCTTCCTCTTTTTCTTTTCGCAACCAATCCTCTCTTTTGTCGGCAAGCTTCATGGTGTGTCCACTGTGCAGCACCAAGATCTGCTTGCCCAATCTTAAATCAAACATTACCCGGATCTTTTTGCCCAATCTTCAAACTCCCAACTTTTTGCTTAGAAGGGACTCAGGAGAGGCGTGATGATTGATTAATAGACACTTGTGGTCGAGCAAAACATGTGAAATTATTTAAAAAAATTATTTTAATTTAATAGCATATAATCCAAGCTTGTTAAAATATATTAAATTAAAGATTAAAATATTATTTAATTTTATAATATATTTTTTTATGTTTTTTTTATAAATTTTATATTTATTATTTATTATTTATTGATTTTTAAATAAGAACTTGCAATAATATAAATAAAATACTTAATTCAAAATTTTAGAAAATATCTTATTTTCGCTCTTAATTAATTTTGATGAGAAGATTATTTTAAAATATATATATACATTTGATTTATATATATTTATTCATAAAATAATCAATGATATTAGTATAAAAAAAAACTGTATTTAAATCATTCGATGGTTCTCCTAAAACATTCAATTATTTTATTTCAAAGAAATTGATTTTAGAATATTCAAAAAATAAATAATAAATAGTTGATGTTATGTGTATAGATACACAATTAATTTATATTAAAATTAATAATTTTATTTTTTTATATAAATAAAAAATCCTTGGAACAAAATATTCAAAAATCCAATTATATGTGTACGGAATGTGTAGCATAAATATAAAATATTCAAAAAATAAATAAATTATATAAAAAAATATAAATTAATTTCAATTTCTATAAGAAATGATAAAAAAAAACAATTTTAGACAATAAGAATAATATAATCCAATATATATGTTAATTAAAAAATATTTTATTCAAAAATCCATACATAGAAATAAATCATATTTATTAACAAACAAAATCACACAACACACACACACACTGCGTGTGTGTGTGTGTGTGTGTTTGTGTGATTTTGTTTGTTAATAAATATGATTTATTTCTATGTATGGATTTTTGAATAAAATTTTAGAATATAATTAGTTTATCTTTTTTTAATATATATGATTTTATGAGAATTTTCATAAGAAATGAAGAAAAATCAATTTTAAATAACAAGAGTAATATATTTTGATATATGTGTTCATTCTAAATTCTGAAAATATATCATATCTATTTCATCGTTGTCAATGTGTGTGGAAAATAAAAAAAATGATTGATTTTCTATAATTTTTGCATCCAATTCAATAATAAAAAAAATGGTAAAAAACAAGAAGAAAAAGGAAAAAAAAAAAAGCATTTCAATGAGCGTGTGTGTATATATATCAAAAGCTTTAATTTTTTTTTAGATTTTGATTTATCTCTTTCAATTATTTTTTAATTTAAAAGTATCATGAATATTTTTTTTATCAAAATAAACAATATGAAAGCAAAATCGATTACAAAAGAGATCGAAATTAGAGCTAATCATGGTTTTTTCTCCTTTCTCTCTGCTTTTAGAGATCAAATTACGACATAAATAAACTTAAAAATCAAAATAAAGTTTATGAAAATGTCCAGGATCGAAGTCTAATTTCAGAAAAAATCTGAACATAAATATATTGATATAACCTAAAAATTATGAAAATACAAATGTATAATGCACATAGTCTAAACAAACAGTAAATAAATACCATTTTGTGAGTATGCAAAAGTATAGTGAATAGTAAATTGTACAATTTGAGTGTTTTTTTTTTTTAACATGTCTTAAGCTCCCAATTATTGCAATTTGCGGATGAAAAATTCAATCTAATTTTAATCATACTAAATGACAAGGAAATTATTACACCTCAAATAGATATGTTTTTTTTAAAAACAAAATCCAGCAAATTAACATTGATCATGCATGCCTAATAGTTAGATAACACCTCTCAAAGATGGCAGCTTCTTTTCACCAAAAAACGAAAACCCATTTTATCGAGAAGATTTGACACCATCCAACATTGATGGCTCATCATAAATTTAGCAATGATAAGGGAACTCTAGAAAAAGCACCATATGATAGATAATGTAAGTTGAGTTCAACTGACAACATCTTTTTGAGATTTTATTGTTTATGTCTGAAATATTGTTGATGGAAGAAAGGAATCGAGACTGAGAAAGGGAAGACTGGTAGAAGGAAGAGAATGGACAGATGGATTTGGGAAGAGGAGAAGACAGTTAAAATGTCCTTATATTTTAACTATATTACAAACATTGCCACTAAACTTGTATTTACCAGTTACAAGTTTCAACAGTAAAAAAAGATGACACATGTCGCTAATTTACAGAGAAGATAATAATGCCAAGTCAAAGACGAAGGCTGTTAGTCCTAGCAAGTCCTCGTATTTCTATGTTTCTTGTTTCTGCTTACAACTGTGTTCAAACATTATTCTTTTTGTTTGAGTGTTTTGCTAACCAAAAATGGCGATTTGCTTTTCTCTATTAAGCTTTCATACAACTAATTTTGTTTCGTTAATTTCTAGTTCTCGTGGTTTCCCGACCCATGGAGCTTTTATCTTAAAAAACCTATCCCCAATTTAGCACGAGCTTATTAGTAATTCCAAATATATATATACACATATATACCTTCAAAATATTTTTTTACATACATCATTAAAAATAATAATAATATAATTTAGACAGAAATTTTAATGATGTATGTAAAAAAATATTTTGAAGGTATATATATATATATAATCTAAAATTAAAGTTAATTGGTCAAAATCAATTGTCACATCATATGAAAAAAATGATTGATGTTTGAAAAAATAGAATGGAAAACCTTAAAAAAAATTAAAATTCACATAGAAAGGCAAAAAGTTGGTGTGCTAAAAGTCTAATTATCAACCATAAATAAAGCATCAGTTACTCGGTTTTGATTTTAGGCAAGAGCGGTATCAAGAGAATTCGGTGCTATCTCAGGCGTGAATGGGACAGACGAGGACGAATTAAGCTCTTCTTCTTGATTGCACGGCTATTTCTGTTTGCAAATTAATCAATAACCTTTTCCCTTTCAAGATGTGGATGGCTTAACAACAATCGTACGCAATGGTTTGTTTGTTGGTTTATTTCTTTTTATTTATTGATTTATTTTTCTCTGACCATTGACTTTGATACCAATTCTGATGAGCACATTTCAAACTAGGATTTATGGATGCCTATTCCACCTAATTTGTTCTGGAGACTGTCATCAACCGTGTAGTGCATGAATAACGCTTCGTGTTAATGGTGCTAGGCTGATTTAGTCAAATAATCTACAGATTTGAACTTGAAAAGAAATTGTAGCTTTCATCTAGAAGATTCCCTTATAAAACCATTAAGTTCACATTGTTTTAGCCTTTAGGAAGCAAAATTTAAAAGAGTCTTCTAAAGATTTGTAAGACAGAAAGGTAGGACTTTTAAGTTGTCTACAAATTTGCTTCATCAGGCCATACGCAGACAAGTGTGAACTATGATGTGAATAATTAAGATAGCAGAAAAAAGATACGCGAACGTGTCCCAGCATGATCATACCATTTTCGGTGTACATCAATGTCAATGACCCGCCCCTTCTAACTTACAAACTTCATTTAATTAAACACGATCTGTTAAAAAAGAAAAATATGATCTACTAACAAGCAATCCATCAATCATCTATACTCAATCTCAGATCGTTTCAACCAACATTCCTAAATATATTACAAATAATAGACCATATATATGGTTGACATGTTTCTTTCATTTGTTAGCCAGGAAGATTCAGGGTACGTAGGAGACAAGTTCTGCTCTTGAAGTAATATATCCATCCTTGTAGAAAACCAAATGATTCAGTACTCACTTCAAGAGTGCAAAGGCTTTGAAGATAGTCTAGAACACACCAGAGGCTGGAGAGATCCAGGACTGACATCAAATGGCGTAAATTGGTTTTACTTCTGAATCAGTCTCTGAATAATGCCAAGAACCATTTGCACTTCTTCTTGAAGACTTCTCTTTTTCCTCACTTTTCTAATCCTTCTGGACTTCATCACGTAGTAAGTCATGGAACCAAGAACTCCTGCCATTATAATTCCTCCTATTACTGTGACAAGAACTGCAGCCCACTTGTGATGCCGGCCGACTACTATGTATGATGATGAAATAAATGCTACTGTAGTGCAAACAGAGGCCAGCCACATTAATTTATTGATCACCTCTATAACCTGTCTTTCTGTTTTTGTCTCTCTTCTCACAAGTGTGATTTGTACCACCACAACAGCCAGTGACGTGAAGAGTGCAATAGCATTGAAGATGAAAAACATCTTAAATGCTAAACTGCTCACCACTACGGCCGTGCCATTGTCTTTGTCACCGCCAGGAACAGTGAAAATAGCTGCAAACGCAACTGTTGCAAAGAGTACAGCAACCACTGTGACTGAGTTGGTGGCATTGTTGATTCCTTCCCTGTGGAGCCTACGGAGCTCCTTGGCAATCCCACTTACATTTTTGTTGGTTTTTCGGGTTTGTTCAAGCTGGAAGTGCACATCGTTCTTTATTTGTGTGACTGTATTTCGAAGCTCATCCCGTGGCTGGTTAAGTTCATTTGCTTTTAGGCCACCATAATGAGCCAAACACTCTCTTATCTCTGAGGTTTCTTCAGTGAAGTGGAGTGCTTCAGCGATGTCAAGGGCTGTTTTACGGTCCCTTGTTAGTGCATTGACGTTAGTGTCAGGAAGGCGCAACAATGTATTTACTATCTGCAAGATAAAAAACACTATGATCATGCATTTCAGCTAAAATGTCTCCTCAACTTTTAGTTTCCTCCTTATTTGCCAAACATTCACACGATAAATAATGGAAACTGACGAGTTGCTAACTGGAGAAACTCCAAGGTCACAGAAAATAAAAGTAAAAAAAGCTCCTAACAGAAGCAAAAGCGACTCTGCTAGCAGAAAAAGTGTTGCGTAGACAAATCAGAAGCTAATATGTTCCCTATCTTATATGATTTCACTTCATTTGATCTTTCTTCGTGAAAATTGAACATCAAAACTGAACTCATTCACAAGACCACCAAATTCACCTTACTGGCCATGCTTGCATTTGAAAATGCACAAGCTTTGTGCAGGTGAATTTCTAAGCTGGTGTATGGTTGGCTTAGAAACCAATCCGCTGCACTGTTGAATTCAATACATGATAATTCACCTTCGAAAAAAGTTCAAAGTTCATTTAATATCATATTTGAGGAACAACATCTTTGGAAAAAACCCTATTGGATTCTTTTGGGCTCATATACACAAGGATTAGTTCCTTTCCTAATACAGTTCTAGCAATTGTTTAATACAGCAGGTTATATCACCCGGAAAGCTTCAATCCATAATATATGCTGGCGACTTGTAGTTAAAAAGAACCTTACGGTTCATAGAATGAGGTGGTCGTTGGGGACATTTTTCATTCTATGACATATAACCATTTGAAGGTATTACTAGATGCAGTTATCCAACAATCTGAGAACTTCCAACAAATTTTTGGACAGAGGACAGGCGTCTTGAGATTAAAAAGTACCTGTGTCCGCTTTTTCCTGGTGGCTACGTGCAATGCTGTATTCCCGAACTTATCTGGAAGCATAACAATAGCTGCATCTGCCTCCAGCAGCAGCACCACCACTTCACAATTCACTCCTTTAACAGCCATATGCAATGCCGTCTGCCCTTTCTTATCAGTCCTACGGGCTAGTTGTGGATCCTTGCCTAGCAATGCCTTTACAACTTCTACGTGCCCCTGCCGGGCAGCTAGATGCAATGCGTTTTTTCCATTAGATTTAGTCATCTCTAGTAAGCTCGGATCTTTTGATAGCAATTCATGAACTACCGCTGCATGCCCTTTTGTAGCGGCAGAAATAAGAGGAGTTGCATTTGATTGGCCAACTGTTTTGCTTAGTGTGGGATCGTGCTCTAACAGGAGCTGGACAATAGCTGCATAAAGATTATTTTTCAACTGCAGTTCCCAGTGCCCAGTTTTGTTCAATCTATATATTACTCGAACAGAAATGCAAGAAACTCAGAACAAGCAAACCATGCATTCAACACAAAAAGCATCATAGATCAACAGAAAATTAGTGGACGTATTAAGAAATAAACAGGATGAATCTATCATAAAGAGTGGAGAAACTCCAATTGTGACACAAGTCTCCAGCTCTGTTAGTAATTAATTACTTCATTCATGTCTCTCGTCTCTAGCATCATTTGTTTAAGAAGAAATTCTAGAATTTGATTCCTGTAGATTTTATGAATCAGCTTTGCCAAAAAAGATTTTTTTTTTTTAAAAAAAGTACAATGATGCCATAAATCTTAAAAGATTGTTTGGTGATTATTTTGTCCTATCTCAATATATATATATATATATATATTGAGATAGGGGTATAAATTAAAATATGAGTTTGTTTTCCCTGCATAAAAGAGGGAAACCTCCTCCAGGCTCCAACTACATATATTGTAATATGACATTGTTAATGTTTCATGTTCATGGACTTTTAATTTTCTTGAAATCCTTTCAACATACTAAACTTTGAATCATCCCTCCAGAATGACAATAAAAGATAACATGAATGACAAGAAATAATATATGAAACTCGTTAAAGGATGTGAGTTTTCAGGTTTCAACTTTTGACAAATGAAGTAAAAAAAAAAAAAAAAAGGCTACCGATGGTACTAATTAAATAGTGGCAATTTTCTCATCCTCAATCCTAATACAACGATTGAATCTTTTTAAAATATATTGTTTCTAGAAGTTTTAATCTTAAGGACTAATAATTGAAAGTTAACCAATCAGAGTACTATAAAAACCATGGACCAAAAAAATGGTTAATTATGCTACCTTGATGACCATTACTTGCAGCAAGATGAAGAGGATCCAGCCCAGAACGATTCTTGTACGAAATGGCCTCCTTAGTCGTATACTTCAACAACTCCTTTACAACCTCTAAGTGCCCTCTCTCAGCTGCTGTGGACAAGGCTGTCTCACCTAGCTCATTCACCTCATTCACCACCGCAGACCGTATCTCGGAAACCTTGATAGAATAAAGTCATTCAAATAAATTAGGGAAAAAAGAGACACCCTCTCTTCAGAATTACAAGTGCTGAAAGCATGTAAATGCAATGTAGCTCTATAATATTATGATCATGGACTATAGTTTGCTATTAAATATCAAGTATTTTTTGGTTGGGAAATGCTAAGCACTGTGAAGGACAATGCAATTACGCAATCTTCAACATATTGGTCGAGGATTGCACACATGGTGGTGATTGTGCTTAGCATTACTCTTTATGAATTAAAGGTGAATGAAAGAGTGATCCAAATCTCACAAACCTCAGCATCAAAATCAGCACCACTCAACGTCCCGATCATCTGCTCATCAATTTCCCCAAGAATTCTCTTGACAGCCTCCAAATCATTACGCTGCGCAGCCAAATGCAGCTCCGTGTCATTGTGACGGCCGGTCACCTGCCTCAAGTACTTCTTTCTATCAAACCGCTTACCCGAATTGGAAACAACCAGCGACTTGCTCGAATTGGAAACGAGCAATTTCTTGCCAGAATTGGTGAACACCAGAGTCGCCCTTGGTGTTGCGGCAGGCGACGGTGTTGGCGACGGAGAAGGGAGTGATAATGATGATGATGCCTCTAAAAGAAGGTTAGGACTAGAGCTAAACCGATTGGCCAGTCCCTTCTCTAGATCCCTCTCGTTTTCTTTTGCACGACAAATCATTTAAACTTATTAGAAGCAGTCGTTCAAAAAAAAAAAAAAACAAAGAAGGGCAAGGTCTATGATCGTATACATCCTCTGTTTTTGTTGCCAACAAGAAAACAGAGGAATATGAAACATGAAAAATAAATAAACAAAAGAAGAAAGAATGACTTTGCATGCTACAATTTATGCATGCAGGAAATATAGAAGACTTAAAAGAAACAAGATGGCAATTACCTTCTTCGATTACGTATTCCATTAGAGATGCTCAAAATAATCCTAATGAAATCATTGTTCAAGAAAAAAAAACGCCGTATTCTTTTTCTGTTTCAAGAATGAAATGTTACATGCAAAGCGTGGTTTGAAGAAAAAAACAAAAAATGGGTGGGTTGGTTTGTGGAAAATGGGAGAGGAAATGCCATGTTAAGGCCGTCGGGCATACCGGTTTGACCACCGGGCCACCGGAGGAAATTGGATCTCACCACTATAAGGTCGTTGGCTTTGGTATTTGCCAGGTCAGCAGGCTTTTTGCCATCTCAAGCGAGGGGGAAAAAATGCAATACCATACTAACAGTAACAGAATAGCAGTAATATTTGTCCCGTTAAACATTTTCTAAATGTATATTTTCCCTTCAATAGAAGAGTGAGTGCTATCTACAATTAGCAAAACCTAACGAGAAAGTGAGTATTTTTCTCTCATGCATTTGATATCCCACTTGCAAAACTGGTTTTATTTTGGCCAAGTTTCAAAATGGTCTCTCTCTTTTTTTAAGACAAATATTTAAAGTATCGAATTTGTCGAACATTATGACATTTTTTTCCTTTTTTGTCTTACAGATATGTAAATTTTCTTTTCAAGATGAAGTAAGTTGGCATTTAAAAAAAAAAAGGGTCTCGAACCCATTCTATTTTTTCCAATGCATTAAGTTCCATTCACTAGTTTAAATAAATCCTTGTGTTTGGTAGCTAGTAATATCGATAGATAGATCAATCGAATCAAGATTTTCACAAGAAGCACAACTGTGGCCGTTTTGGGTTCTTGATGTGATCGAATTTTGCCGTTGCTACTTGCTAGTGGCCCTACCAACAATCGTCTCGCAGCGCAGGTTAGCCACTTGTAGATTTTATTATTATTATTATTATTATTATTTCTTTTTTAGGACAGCTTCGTGGACTGAGTTTTAAAATTATTTATTAGTGATGGGTCCTCCAAACCCAAGCCCACATATATATTATCAAATCCATAACTATATATAAAAACACAAACTTCTTAAAAAAATTTTAATTGATTATTATATTCTTTCTACAGTGCTAATACTATAATATACTATTAAGATTGATGAGTAAATTCAACCCTCTTCTATGTAATAAAGATATCAATATTGTTAAAATTATAAAAAAGAAAAACATCAATCCCTAAAAAAAGGTTATTTTTATAATGAATTTTTAAATATAGATTAATCTCATTTTTTAAATTTATATACCACATAAAACTCTATATAACATATAGTTACTTAAATCACTCCTATATCTATGTAGTAGTGCATTGCTATTTTCTTTTGTACAATCAAAACTCTAAAAAGACTTTAAATAAGGAGATGAAAATATAAACTATTTTTAATTCAAAAATAATTAAATTATATCAAAATTTATCATATTATTAAATTGAATTCTTTGTTAAATTTTTATGGGTTATTTTTTGTTGTTGACTCACACTATTTTTTACTCTATTACACAAACATTGAGAATATTAAATAAGAAAAAGTTCATTAAAATAATATATCAAAAATTTATTCATGTATGTATCAGTAATTTATATTCATTGTCACATATATAATTGAAAATAAATATTTAAAATAAAAAATTTTCATGACAATGTAGCACCAATTGAAACTATTTTAGTAATTGTTATTTTTAAGAGTTATAATATTATCCCGACTATTAATTATTAATTATTTTGACTATCAAAACTTTGAAATTGTTTTAAAAAAAGTCAATAAAAAACATAAAATTCAAAAATATTAAAATTATATTAAAATTAATCAAGCAACTAAATTGAATATTTATTTAATTTTTTTATAAGCTACTTTTTTGTTATATTTTTTACTCAACAAATGATAATAATATTTAAAAAATAATATTTTAGAAAATGATTTATAAATTTCTTATGCATGTTTATATTATTAATTTATATTCACATCTCATACAATTGAAAAGAACGTTTTAAACTGAAAATGGTTCATAATAATATAATTTTAGGTGAAATTTTTTGGTAATTATTATGTTTAAGAGTTATATATATTTATCGTTAAATTTTGAAAGATAATTCAATTTTTTAAACCTAATTTTGACTCAAGACCAGTTAAAATTATTTTATATGATTCAAAAATGTATAAAAATTAATTCAATTATAATTATCAACATTTATTTAAACTTATTTGGAAGTAAAAAATATTTATTTATTAAACATTCAAATTTATTTATTTATTAATAATTTTAAACAATCTATTTGAACTTTCAAAAATACTATAAATTAGTCAAATGATACACTGCAAATCACGTACAAGCATTAAAAAAAACTAGTAAGCAATAAAAACGTAATAATAATTTAAAAAAAAAAAAGGGAAGAAAGGGTCCTAAACGTAATTGGGACCAAGCCCAACGTAAGGAATAAACCAGGAAGTAGGCCCAACAAAGGCCTGCTTTAACAAACCCTAAGAATGACCCGACCCACTTAAAAGGGGAATTTCCTCCGTGAAAGTACCTTAACGAGGCAAATAATATGACTTTTCTTTTCTAATTATTTGAATGGAAAAAATAGACAGAAATACCTATGGGAGAATGGATCTTTTCTTAATAAGTGAATTGACATAATAAATATATAATGATTGATTAAAATATAACTTCATCATAAAAAACAATAATAAATAATATTGTATATTTTGATGAGATCGTGAACCTCGATTGATGATTTGGAATGAGATTTTTTTTTAATTGATATGGTTATGGAGTTGAATGATATATGATAATTAAGCTAGTTAATATATTTATAAAACAAGTCCTTATTTGTAGGTTGGAAGACCTTCCAATGACTAAATCGATTATAGAGAAAACAATGACTTAAGAAAGCAGTAGGGTAAGAATGTAAGTATGCAGAAAATAATGAAAAATAATTGTTAGTTGAGATAACAAGAAACTATAATTTTAGATCTTTTGGTTATTTATAAAATAAAGAATTTCATCGAATTATATGAAATGCGAGATAAAATGATATATTTTCTTGTTACCAATAGCTTTTGACATCCATTTGGAGTAAAAATATTCTTGATGATGATAGGTGATATATAATTGAAAAAACATGGCAGCATTATAATTGACATTAGTTAGACTGAACTACTCGCAGTGGCATATCTTTATTTAATAGATGCACAATTTGTACGTTCTTTTCAAGTAATGGAACTAGGCTTGTTCGTCTGGGCTAAGACCGTTTGGTAAGCTCATAGGAGTGGCTTAACAAATACTGCTTCCTGCCTACATTTTAGTTTAGAGTCTTGACTTCTCAAGCTTCCATTGGATGGAATCCTGTTAACTCACTAAGGGTTATATGATGATACTTGTTATTTAGGTATATCACATCTGACCATCCAGAGCGTTTTTTATTGATTACAAAAGCTCAATGAAATGATATCCTTCATCTATTAGAAGATCAAAATTTGAGATTTGAGATGTAGTTGTGTGCCACTGTATTGAACTTCTTTAACAGAAAAGATAAGAGAGTAAATATGTGTTTACTGCATCACAAGTTGCCTTCTGTAACAATCAGAAAGGTCCCGATCCGCCACCGAATCTTGAAGCTGGAATTTGCAATGCACTATATCGAGTGTTTATTATTAGTAATACCATGGTCTTGAAATTAACTATTGGCTCCATGAAGATTGAAGAAAGGAGTATCACATAGATATCAAGGACTTTGGTTTGAGAGAGAAGGTCAGGGATCATTTGGTGCATTTAGTTGGAAATTGCATGAATTATCTTTTTTTGGTGGAATAATTGGCATCCTTCAGGTCTGCTGGCAAAGACTTTTGGTACCATAATTATCTATGATTTTCCTTTGCCCTCTGATGCAAGGACTTCTGCGGTACTTCTTAATGATCAAGATTTGGCCTTATTCTAGATCTGATCAGCTGTTTGATATTCAAGCTGCTATCTGTGATATTATCCTTTCATCTTCATCTAGTGAAGATAATATGGTTTGAAAACTCACACCTGATGGAATATTTTTTAGCAGAAGCATGTAAAATTTTGATAGGGTAAAAAGTACTAGAATTGAATGGTTTAAATTGATTTGGGGTGACTTTCATAACCCAAGATGTCGTTTTGTTTACTGGTTATTTATGTTAAAGAGGCTAACCACCAAAGTAAGATATATAAATTAAGTTGGGAAGGATGATTGATTCAAATTGTGCTTTTTATAAGAATGAAGTTAAGGATAGAAATCACTTCACTACAAAAAAACAAAGGATTTGCGAGGGGAAATTAGCAACGGTTTTTGCGAAAAAAACCGTCGCTAATTTCAATTGTTTTTAAAAAAAATTTTTGCAACCATTTTTTGCGACGGTTTTTGTAAAAAAACCGTTGCTAATTATGGAAATTAGCAACGGTTTTTTGCGAAGGTTTCCTCCAAAAAAACCATCGCTAATTCATTTTTTTTAAAAAAAAATTATGTAACCATTTTTTGCAACGAGTTTTTGTAAAAAACCGTTGCTAATCACGAAAATTAGCGACGGTTTTTTGCGACGGTTTTTTTAAAAAAAAACCGTCGCTAATTTCAATTTTTTCAAAAAATTTTATTACTTTCAGCCTTTTTTGCGATGTTTTTTTACCAAAAAACATCGCAAAATTAGTAAATTAGCGACGGTCTAAAGACCATCGACCGTCGCTAAACCATTACTAATTAAAAGGAAAATGGCTATTTTTTTTAACTTTTTTAGACATTTAGCGATGGTTTTTAGACCGTCGCTAAAACTTTCAACCTCCTATATAATAATTTGCCTAAAAATTTGCAAGAAAAAATTTCTTCTCTCTCTTCTTCTTCTTTTTCTCCAGGGCCGATCTCCCTTCCATTTCCATTAAATCTTCCCCCTCTCTTTTTTATTTTCCTTCCAATCTCCTCCTCTCTCTCCTACTTCCCTTTCTTCCCTCCATCTCTCGCCCTTTCTTCTTCATTTTCCTCTTTCTTTCTTCCTTTCTCCCCCTTCCTCAATCGGTCATTTTCGGCCAGAATAGTCCGACGAAGCCTCTCCACTGGCGCAACCCACTCTCCTCCTTATGTTGGTGAAAGGTCCTCCCTCATCTAACCTCTTAATTAATTTTTTAATTTTTTTCAATTATTTACTTAATTTAATTTTAAAGTTTTTTGTTATTGTTAATTGTTAAGAAATTTTAATTGTTATTAATTTTTGTTGTTAATTTAATTGTTAATTTTTATTATTAATTGGTAATTTTTAATTGTTAATTTAGTTAGTTTATTGTTAAATGTTATTTATTAATTTAGTTAGTTTAATTGATGGTATTTTGGAAAGTTAATTATTTTAGAAAATTGTTAATAAGTTATTAGCAATTGGTCAATTTAAAATGAGGATAAATAATAATAATAATAATATTTTAGCAACGGTCTAGACGGTCTAGACCATTGCTAAGATCGTCGCTAATTTTTTTTTGCAACGGAATTAGCGACGGTCTAGACCGTTGCTAATTTTTTTACGATAAAATTAAAAATTAGTCAATTTAAAATGATGATAAAAAAATAATAATAATATTTTAGCAACGGTCCGGACCGTTGTTAAGACCGTTGCTAATTTGTTTGGAACGGAATTAGCGACGGTCTAGACCGTTGCTAATTTTTTTACGATAAAATTAACAATTAGTCAATTTAAAATGAGGATAAAAAAAAATAATAGACCGTTGCTAAGACCATTGCTAATTTGTTTGCAACGGAATTAGGGACGGTCTAGACCGTTGCTAATTATAAATATTATCGACAGATCTAAAACCCTTGCTAAAATTGTCACAAAACCGCAACGGTTTTTTAATTTTGCGACGGTTGTTTCCGTTGCTAAAGTAGCGACGGTCCGAAAACCATCGCAAAAGTTTAACGATTGGCATTTTACCGACGGTTTTTGGACCGTCGCAAATCTGTCGCTAATTAAAATTAGCGACAGATTTTAACGAATTAGCAACGGTCTAGACCGTCGCTAATTCTATTTTTTTTGTAGTGCTTGTTTTTCTCCTATGATGCCATCAAAGAAAACTGAAATTCCGTACTACAATTGAGTTAATCACTTGTTTTTCTCCTATGATGCTATCAAAGAAAACTGAAATTCCGTACTACAATTGAGTTGTATTAAAAAATTGGTAGCCAATTGAGAGTTTGAATTCGAATTTTCTGAGAAATGAAAAATTTTGAATCGGTTGTTTTGAGATTGGCATGATGCAATACATTTGGCTCGAAAGAAACCAAAGAATTTATAGCAATGAGATCACAAACAATTCTTCTATATATAGTCAAGCAAATTGTCCAATATCGCCCATGCAAGACCAAGATCCAACAGGAAATTGTTATCAATCCTAAGTACTCTATTCTTTGTAGCCAATGGAATTTTGATGTTCTGTGGTTCTTTGGCCGTTTGTTTTTCTTTGACTAGTTTTTTAGAAATCAGGACAAACATTTCATATTTGTCTGCTTTTGTTGTAGGATAAACTCCTACTTGGTGTATTTTGATAATAAAACCTATCAATTGTATATATCAGACTTCGATGTTATAAAAACTTACTTCGAAGAGCAACAAATATGCTATCTATTTTCATTTCCATTAAAGCAAAAAGAAACTTTAATATGGTCATTTTGTCATAAAAAGTTGATTGCATAACTCAAAATGGTAACATTAAAACTCTAAATCCTATTCAAGTGTGAGAACAAAGGAATCGATTATTTTTTCCCTATTTAATATCCAAGAAGTTCTATTAAGCAAAGCATGATAAATTTTATTGTACTCTACTAGTAACTAACAATGTTTATTTTATAAAATGAAGATAGATGCTGAAAAAATAAAAATAGAAAGAGAATTAAAAAAAAATTAAATAGAAATATTTTTATCATTTTTTAATAAATTGAATGTAATTTTTTCTATTTTCTTTATGTATATATCTCTTTTTAAAGTAGGTTCATTAAATACCCAGAATTGTTTTAATTTCTTGATTGTTATTATGACTGATGAACTACACTTGTAATTATCGAAAATTTTATATATGTGTTTGCAAATATTACATACTGAATCTATAATTTAAGGGATAGTCTGTATTGACATGGAGATGAAAAGATTTTAAATTGTTTTTTAGTAACATTTTAAATAATTATTAAATGAGGGCTCTCATTTATTTGCTATTCTTGTAAAGAAAGAGGAGTTGATGAATTATTTTTCAAGTTCCAGCTAAAACATTAGAAGGTTAATCTTAATGATAATAACAGTAATTTTTCCTCTTTATAGTTTATAATATGTTCCACTTCGATTGATATTATTTTTAAAAAGCTCCTTTATTAATCTGTACAATTTCCCAAATTATTGGACTATGAATCTCTCAAAATATTTCTCGTAGAAAGTGAAGACATCAACTTTATTATTATTATTATTATTTTTTAAAGAACGAAGACATCAATTTTGTCTTCGGTAATTGTACCTATACCTCACTACAATCTACAAAACGTTATATTTTGACTTATGAATACATTTTTGTTTTAAACTCATGTTGTATTTAATGTTAATATAAAAAACCTACGTATTTTAAGAAACTACATCGTTAAAAAAAAATTCAAAAAAAAAAAAACTAATTCTATACTGAGATTTTAAAAATTTTGAATTAGAGGTTTTTATAAACTTTAGTAGAAGCCAAAATGAAGCATTTGTTGGTAATCATGATGAAATGTGAGTACTTTGTCTAAAGAAAAATAAAGGTAAAACGGGAAGACGAGGCGAAGTGCCACTAGCCATAATCAATTTGTCGGCGAAGACGAAAGAAGCAGTAAATAGGATCAGAATGTATAGATTTCCCAAAAAAAAAAAAATGTAAAATGGCAAACAAGGAGTGGATAAAGCAAAGAAAAACAGAGCCCAACCCCACTATCGATTTGATAAACAACGGCATTAACTACCTATCTCCATCTCTATCTATCTCTCTGTCGGTTTGTTTCAGTTCTAAAGTTACTGAATCCATCAATCCAACCCAAGAGTAACAGCTAGTAGCTGTTTGACAGTCTGTCTATCATTTAAAACAAACAAATGGGAAACTCCCATGGTCATGGACATGGACGTCACCGCAAGTTCAGTAACAACGGAAACGTCCCTTCCCCCGATAAAACTGCTTCAGCTCCATCCCCATCGCAGCCTGTACCACCCTTTATTTATCAACCCCAATACCCTCAAATTCCCACCTCATTAACTCACGCACCCATTATGGCTACCTCTTTGCCTTACCGTCACGTAGACTATGCCTTACGTGCTCTTGCTGGCCAAGCCGAGGGGTTTGGTCGCTGTGCCATTGGTGGCCTCCATGGCCCCATTCATCACGTCACCACTTTAGCGGGTAAAATTGGATTATGTCTTTAGATTTTTTAGCTGATTATTATTGGGATTTGATTGGTTGATTTCTCTTTCTAGCTGAATTGGGTATTTTATGGTTTTGATTTATGAGTTTTTGTCTGGTCTTTTCTGTGTGAAATTGTGCATTCAATGTGAATTGTTTTGTCTGGGGGAAATTTTGTCTATGTTTGGTTAGAATATCGTGGGATCTGCTGCTGTACTTCGTGGGGCTGTTGAAGAATTATTTATTTGATTTTATGCGGCAATTTTTAGAGTTTTTCCCGATTATGATTTCTGAATATAGCATTTTGAACATTCTTTAGAATTTAGGAAAACCTTTTCTTATTGGCTGAATTTTGAGTTTTGTCAAAGGAGGCCCAAGATTTTGGGTGTGAACTGTGGTTATGGTCATGACCTGCTGTTTTTCTGGTTTCGGATACTTATTTAGTGATTTCATCAGCATGCCTGACCATCAATTTCCTAAAAAAATGGATCACATTTGTAGCTAATTAACGGCCCTCTCGGATCATTTTATTTGTTGTGGATAGTGCAGCATCATTTTGACACTATTTGGTTCTTGCCTGTCATCGTTGTTCATTTGACTGCATATGATGGATTTCAAAAAAAAAAAAAAGAACCACTATTGTTCATTTGATTGTAGATGATGGCTTGAGTCGCTTAGGGACGGATTTTGGAAAAAAGAAAAAGAAAATAAAAGAACCTCTTTTTCCGACCTTGTGCACCATGTCATATGAACTGTTTTAAGGTTGTCTGTAGAAATGCTGTTTATGGCCACTTAGAGCTAGGGGTTCATGTTATGTAGGATGAAATTGTTCCATTAGTTAGTGTTACTAAAAAATAATATACTAGATTGTGCGGTTTGGTCATCGGTAATTTTAGAGCCTTGTCGGTTATCCTTTAATGGGAAATGTTTGGAATGCGTGGTTAGAATTTAAAAATTATGATTTTTGAGTTTAACTTTTTCAATTTGAGTTTTAGAAAAACCTTGCGTTATTGGTTGAATGAGGTTTAATGGTTTGGGTGTGAAACGTGGTTATGGTTGTGACCTGCTGTTCTTCTGGTTGCTGACACTGGTTTTGTAATTTTATTGGGATGCCTCACCTTCAATTTCTGAAACTAATAGATCACATTTGTAGCAAACCAAAGGCCTTTTCCGTTCATTTTCTTTGGCTTTGATGGTGGAACAGCCTTTTGAAACTATTTTTGGTGCACATCATAAGTTAATTATTGAATTTCATTTGATTGCAGATGATGGGCCTGGATCACTTAGGGATGGATGTCGGAAAAAAGAGCCTCTTTGGATCGTCTTTGAAGTATCAGGCACCATTCAGCTTGGATCTTACTTGAATGTCTCATCTTATAAAACCATTGATGGCCGGGGTCAAAGAATAAAACTTACGGGCAAGGGTTTGCGGCTGAAGGAATGTGAGCATGTTATTATATGCAATCTAGAGTTTGAAGGTGGTAGAGGACCTGATGTTGATGGAATTCAGATAAAACCCAAGTCAAAGCACATATGGATAGATCGTTGCAGCCTCCGTGATTATGATGATGGACTGATAGATATCACACGAGAAAGCACAGATATTACTATTTCTAGGTGAGGTGAATCCCTGATGTATGGAAAGCACTTCCTTTTTCTTTCACCATTTTATTTAATGGCTTTATCTGTTATCTACAGGTGTCACTTTGTGCAACATGACAAAACAATGCTCATTGGAGCTGATCCTACTCATGTTGGTGACAGATGTATTCGGGTAACCATTCACCATTGCTTTTTTGATGGAACCCGGCAGCGCCATCCTCGTGTTAGATTTGGCAAAGTACATTTATACAATAGTTACATCAGAAACTGGGGCATTTATGCTGTTTGTGCCAGTGTAGAGGCACAGGTGATAACACCAATACTATTTGCATTTCTTTGTGTGTTACTGTATTCTGGTATTATTTGCTTAACTACATCTTGCCACTTATCTTTCAACATCAGATATACTCCCAATGCAACATATATGAAGCAGGGCAGAAGAAGATAGCATTTAAGTATCTTTCTGAGAAGGTGAGTGCTTATCATATTTCTTTTTGCTTCATGACCTCCTTTCTTTACTTGTGCTCTTTCCAGACTTATACCTTGTGATTTTATTCTATAATGGTTTTCCAATGGGATTGAAGGGCTGGCTTGGATGTTCCTGCAATGAATTTTGAAAAAAATTGTTTCCCATTCATATTTGCTTTTAAATTTAGTACTTCAGGGTTTCATTCTATTCATACATGTGCAAAACTGATTGGTAGACTGCTGACTACCCTGCCTCTGCTTTCATGAAGCTTTTCCACTAAACCCACCTTGACTTGCTAACAAATAATTCACGCTTGTGTTTGAATTTGTTTGGCTAGCATTTCACTCTCTAATTGCAGTTTGCCCTATCAGTAAACTAAGTATAAAGCAATATCTATATCCCGAACAAATTTAGTAACTCATCTGTATAGTTTATTAAAGTTTTTAGTAATGAAATTCGAACTTTAAATTCCCCTTCTTGCACTGAAATATTCTTTTGGTACTCTATTTTAGCAATCAAATGTTTTGCTACCTGGAAGGCAGACCTGTTAGGTGGCCATGATTACATAGTGGTTGGTTAGTAGTTTTTATGATTTGTGATCTAATATTTTTTGATAACCTGTAAATTCCCAATTCTTCCTTCATTATGAAACAAGAAGTTGCTTGTCCACTCTGCCTTTGTGTTGGAAAGTAAGGCATCAACTATCACTCAACAGTTTATGGATTCCTCTTTTCTCTATTAGTCATCATAGATGCTAAAATCAAGCAATATAGAAACCATCTGCCACCCTAACCTTTAACCCAGGAAATGGACCTAAATGGCGAGGTTCCTTTGTGGCAGTATAAAATTATAAACAAATAAACTTTGATAAAAAAGAGAAAGACAGACATATAGAGAGTCTAAACCCTACAAAAGGCAACCTCAGTCGAAAGAAAGAACGGAAGATCGCATTTTGTCACTGTAATAACTAATTGAACTACTTTTATTGATGATTTGGATGGGAAAAAAAATGCATATGGGTGTTGTAAATTATTGGAGGGAGCATTTGGGAATACCATTATGAGTTTTGTAGAAGTCACCAGTGAAGCTCCTCTGGTTAGCTTTTAACCCACAAAGCATGTATAATTGTAAACACATTGAATATTTTGACATGGAAATAAAACGTGAGAGGATATTTGCACCTTGCAATTTAACAGCTTTGAATTTGATTTCCAATTAGTGAGAAATACATACTCTATTTATTGGCTACATTTGTTATGTGAGATTCTGTGTTACTTTAAACTTTGTGTTCTTAGATGTAGATGAATTTTCCTGTGACATGCTTGTTGTACAAGTGAACATAATTACCATTTCAATCCCAAGGTTAAATCATTGGCTATTCTGATGGTATTTTAGGCAGCTGACAAAGAGGAAGCAAGGAGTGGCTGCATAAGGTCTGAAGGGGACTTATTTGTTACTGGAACGCAAGCAGGATTAATGCCCGAGGATGGTGAATTCTGTATGTTTCATCCCAGTGAATATTACCCCACGTGGACCGTAGAACCTCCTACAGATAGTCTTAAACAGGTTCTCCAGCATTGTACAGGATGGCAGTGTGTTCCACGGCCAGCCGATCAGCCATTAGCTGCACAGTGATACTGGGGAAGAATATCTACACACTAAATTAATATGTTGGTTATTTTTTTTCGGCTTGAATACCTTTGCCTGTGTTGCTATATAGTAAATGCGCAAATTTCAATCAATGTATGCTTTTGAGCAATAATAATAACAAAGAAACATACTGTAGAGAATGAATTATCGTGTCATTAACTACGTCAATGTAGCCAGTATTTTCTCTCCCTTTTAGGCCTTGGCATGGCTTTGGTGTTTGCTTTAGTCACGTTTTGGTTTTTATAGTTGTCGTCTAGATTTGACCACTAGTTGTTTTTTTTGGTAAGTCATTCATCAACTGGTGGGGGTTTATTAGTCGGTGCAGCACATGTATGACTATGAGTATGATATGAATTGTGCATTAATTCAACACAGGGCCATCCACCTCTTTGGTCCTACGAGTGAACTGTGCATTAGTATTTCAAATTAACAGCCATCTCTTGGTCCAGTTTATCACTTCATTTTGTTGAAACTTGGCGCAGGAAGCATTCATTTGAGTCTTGTGAACTAGATAAAAGTAGCTGGGAAAAAAATATAGCAGGCAGTTGAAATAGCTGAATTATTCACGTGCAGTTACGGCTGTTTGTGACCCGGCATCTACCTGGGATGCAACTTGCTAAGCCGAGTGTCAAAAACTATAGGTCGTTTTCCCCTGGGAATTTTTTTAACCAACGTTTATCTTGTCTGACCTTAAGATGTTGTCAAATGCACAGGTGAAAAAAATTTGAAAACAAAGAGATTTTTTGTTTCACCGGATTGTTTATTCTTCCGCAATTTGTCATGATCGTATAATTTTCTACTTTTTTTTAGTAATATCGACGTGGTTGTTATTTGACTTGCTAATCTACTTGTAGAAATGTCTTAGAGTTTTCAAGATTTTTCATATCTTTTTTGGTCCTTCAAATGAGAACCCGGAGAAGGAAGGATCTAGGATTTAGATATGATTTCAAATGTCACACCAGTTCCTCTTTTGTAGCTGCTACCGCTTACCTCTTGGCTGTCCTAACTTGTGCGAACTCAATAGCTTTTAGATGTATTTTAGTTCTAATGCTTTTTTTTTTTTTTTGGTGAAATGCAGTTGTTCTGATTGATTAATTAATTACCATGATTCCCGTAACTCATATTTCAATTATTTTCTATTTTATATTTTTTAGAAGCTTAAGAGGTACAGATTAGAAAACTAGACCGAGATATGACTTGGTGTCGTCATTTATAAGCTATAGAGGACTAGTTGTGAAGGCCTTAGAGAGATTCACAAATGCTTGTAATTAAAAAAAAAAAAAAACTGAGTTATTATGGTATAAACAGATACTAAGCAGCTAGACATATGAAATATGTTACAAGTTTGGAACTGTACGCTGCAGTACCATCCGCCATTTATCTTTGTGCTTGCTTTTTCGAACTGTCATCAAACAAGAAGACCAAATCCCTCCCCATGTTGGATGGATCTACATTAGTCAGAATCTATAAGCAGCCAAAAGCTTAGGAACCGCACGATTGCCCAGCTGTACTGTCACTGTTATGCTGCTTTCAGTTTCCTTTTGATGTTATTGGATTCCATTCGTACGTGATTGTCAATGCGTGCATACAATGCCAAGAGAAAAAAAAGAGAGCATGATTATACTCGTAGAAAATAGATGGAAGAATCCCAAAAAAGTAAAGGTGGTTTTTGAATTTTGAATAGCCTTTTTTTTCTTTCTTTTTAACAATAAGAACCGATGATGCGCGAGATTTTGATATTTAAATTTATTATATTTGATATTCCATCTCTTTAAAATTGAAAAATGATGATGATGATGTCGTCTTTTTGAAATCCTATAAGTATTGATATTAGTGGTGTCCACGATTTGGCAAGTTTACTCCAATAGTTATGATAGTATTTTGAAAATAATGTATAAATATGCGAGAGAAAGATGACTCTAAAAATATATATGCATGTTGTTGTGGTTGAAGTTGTGTTTTATAAGAAAGCGAGTCCTTTTACATCATCAAAAATATAAGATATATATTTTTAGTATGTTGAGTCAGTGGCTATGTCACGGAGCAAAGACTTCATAATTGCGAAGAGACCCGATCTCATAGGTTTTGTAAAGAGCTTAAATTTCATACTTTATCGGTTCTCTTTTATCTTAAAGCGAGACTCACTCAATTTGAGACAAAATAATTTTTCGGTGTGAAGTAATTTGGGTGAACTAGGACTTTGAATATACAATTCGAATTTCTAGAAGAGCATGACCACATGTTCTCGGAGAGATATGATTTTGAAAAAATGGATTTTCGAAGGAGCGATGTTCTTAGAAGAATAGGTTCCTAAAGGAATATAGGTTTCTAAAGAGATAGGACTCTCAAAGGCGGACTTATGAAGGAAGGATGGAGATTTCCAAATGAATATTATCATAAACTCTTAGAAAGACGTGATTGTTGCTTCTAGAGGAATATTGTCATATTTTTTGAAAGAATGTGGTTGTATGCTCCTAGAGGAACCGTATTCTCATAAGAATGTTGATATAAGTTGTTAGAAGAACGTAGTTGTGTACTCCTAGATAAACTGTATTCTTAGAGTAATGTTGCCGTAAGTTTTAAAAGAATGTGGTTGTATACTCCCACGAGAACTATATTCCTAAAGGAACTTTTTCATAAGTTCTTAAAAGAACAAGTTCCTAAAGGAATACGAGTTTTCGGAGAGATAGGATTCTTAAAGGCGGACTTCTAGAGGAAAGATAGTTCCTAAAGAAGGGATGGAGATTTCCAAATGAATATTGTCATAAACTCTTGGAAAGACGTGATTGTATACTTCTAGGGAATATTGTCATATTTTTTTAAAAGAATGTGGTTGTATGCTCTTAGAGGAACCGTATTCTCATAAGAATGTTAATGTAAGTTGTTAAAAGAATGTAGTTATGTACTCCTAGATAAATTGTATTCTTAGAGTAATGTTACTATAAGTTTTAAAAGAACGTGGTTGCATACTCCCATGAAAACTATATTCCTAAAAGAACTTTTTCATAAGTTCTTATCATAATATGGATGTAGGTTCTTGAAGGAATATATTCTCATACAAACATCACCTCAAGTTCTTAGAAGAACATGGTTGTAGACTCCAAGAGAAACATACTATTTGGAGAGGAGTGAGATCCTCGAGGAAGGATGGATCCGTGATGAGAGATAGAATTTTCGGGGAGTGATGGATCCTAGATGAAGGATGGGATCAACAAAAAGGGATGAATCCCTAGAGGAGCAAACTCTTTGGAAAGGAGTGGGATCTTTGAGGAGGGATGGATCTCTAACAAGGGATAGACTTCGAGAAGTAGTGTAATCTCATATGAAGGAAAGGAATCCTAGAGAAGGAATGATCTCTCTAGGGATTGGAGTAATCATGAATAGAGAAATGAAATCTTTAAGGAATGATGGACTCTTTATAGAAAGTGTAATCTCGGATGAAGGGATAAAATCCATGAGGAGAGATGGCCTCCTTATGGAGGATTTTAATCTCGAATGAAGGAATGGAATCACTAATAAGGGATGGATCCCCTAATAAAGGATAGAATCCTAAAAGAGTAGACTTTTTATATATATAAAAAAAAGCATAATCTTGATTATAGGGATAAACCCCCTAGCGAGGGATAGAATCTTAAAGAGCAAACTCTTGGAGAATAGTGTGATCTCGTGATAAGTGATGAAATTCCTAAAAAGGGATGGATTTTTTAGCAAAAGATAGAATCTCGAGGAGCAACTTGCTTTGAGATTAGTAGAACTCGAACAAGGGATGAAATCCTTGAAGGATGGACTCCTTAAGGAGGAGTGCAATTATGGATGGAGGGATAGAATCTCTAAAGAAGGATGTGTTAGTGTTGGTGCTCAAGATCCAACCATGTTTGGATGGACTCATGTTAATGTATTATTGCATCATTTATTTTAATAATAATAAAGAAGTTATTCTATTAATTTTTATGTTTACATGTTGATAAATTCAGTAGAATTAGATAGAAGTCCTTATGATATACATTTGCAATAATGATTGATCAAAAGATATGAGACAAACACTAATGCACATAAATGATATCATTAAATGTCTCAAGTCATAGCATTGTCAAAAATGGACATTAACAATACGCAGATAGATTTGTGAGTGCTATGCTCATGTTATATGATAATAGTAGGAGATCTCACACCTATTGGCATGGTGATACCAAAACAAGCACTTAGGTGATTTATGTTAGAGAACATATCATTGAAACTTAACCCGTCATGAGAATCAATTTGATTTTAGTCATTAGGAATATCATATGAGATGGGTACAAATGGTTCTTAGACTTAAAGTCATCATGATTGTCTCATTGGAGGACTTGTGCACTTTGACACTCATTTCAATGGACCCCATTAATGGGTTGCACGTGGGCAATTCGTTGGATGCACTAGGAATCCAATGGAGGTAGGTGTATGACTAAAATAGGACACGTCATTTTTTGTATGCTAAAGGAGTTATCATATTGCACTTCGATAAATATATGTCGAAGAAATCTATAGCCATAGTAGGAGTACAACAATGAAGCATAGTTGGTTTACTCTAATAGCTAAGGTATTTGGGAATCGAAGAAAACTTATGGGATCATAATCGAACAAGACTAATAATTAAGTTTGAGATCACACTCGTGATAAGTTGACATGAGGATTGAATTATATGATAACCATGTTCGTGAAAAGGTAATAATGGATTAACTAATCCTCCTAGAAAATTGGATAGTCATGATGTCTTGTTAAAGGTCAATTTTGATTTATGTATCAAGAGATAAAGGAGGAGTCTTTTATTCTTAATACATTGCCAACATATCTAGGAGCCTATTGAGTCATATGCATAAGTTTAAGTATTCACATTATAAATAAGAAGCAAAGATATTAAAAAAATTTTCAATTATAGAAAGTTTCCTAAAATGAAAAGTTTTCTATTTTAGAAATCGATTTCCTAATTTGGAAGTTAGTTTCAAATTTAGAAATAAAGAACCTAAAAGGAAAGAAGTTTCTTAATTTAAGTTAAAGGGTATTTTAAAAAAATATTTTTCGAATGTGGACCATGCTAAAATAATCTAAGAATATTTATTTGGATAGTCCAAATAAATTAATTGGGATAAAATAGTTTTGGCCCATTAGGTTTAATTAAAAGCCTTAAGATATTTTGATGGGAGGATAAACATCAACCTTATTGGATAAGGTTGAATGTTTTAAAGATAATAATCAAATAGTCCATATATAAAATAACTCTTCATCCTTGAAGGATAAGAAGTAACAACCTAAAGTCTTAAAAGGACTTATGGTCGCCCTTCTCCTTATCCTTGGAGGACAAAAAAACTCTTTCACTATAAATAGGAGGAGAGGTGCGGCATGGAAAGAAGAATAAACCTAGAGAGTATTCAACCAAGCTTGAAAATAATATAGCAACATTCGGTAAAAGAAAAAAAAAAAGAGGGTTTCGGCTAGCCCTAAAATTATATAGGGCACCCGACCAAGAGTGAAAAATAAAAAGAAAATAGTTTTCTCCTAAACCCCGGCAAGAAATACTATTTTCTTCTCTTTTAAGGTTGTCAAAAAATTACCCGGGATTGATTTATAGAGAAAATACTAAATCAAAAAAGATGGAGCTAGCACCCTACTCGATTTTTGAGTGCTTCTTTGTGGATACTTGGACTCGTGTGGATTATCAATAAAGGCCGGACGCTTGGATAGCTTTTCTAAAAAGAAATTTAAAACCGTGTTACAAAAGGTAATCCTTTACTTATAGCTTATTATTCATGTATGCATAGTCGGTAAATTCAACGGCTTGATCTTGGAGCCTTAGATAGAGAAATTTTTATTTATTTATTTTGCACCTCCATAGGATGCATGATCCTTCGGGATGGACTACCCGACGAGAGATAGAACTCCAAAAAGATGAAATTCTTAGAGAAGAATGTAATCCTAGATAAATAAATGAACTATTGTGAAGGATATAATCCTAGATGGAAGGATGGAATCCTTGCGGAGGAATGGACTCCTTAGGAAGCGGACTATTTGATTTATAACTAGGCAAGTTGTGCCTTTATACCTGGATAGGTGAAACCATGATCTTTGTAAGTCTCGATTTTTAAAAGCTCTCGGATTGATTTCTAGAGGAAAGGATGTCATATGTTTCTAAAAAGATGCTCGAGGTGCCTTTAAACTTTGATGAGATGTGTTTTTATACCTAGATAAGGTAAAAGTCATCAAAATCTAGGACTTTGAAAGGCACAAGGTTTCTGAAAAGTATCTATGCCTTTCAAGAATTAAATTGACTCTCTTTTGAATCATATGGTGCTAGATGTGTTAAATATGACTAAGTGGTCATAAAGTTATCTTGTTTGATGCATGAGAGATTAATGTTGACAAGTGAACAAAATCGACGATTGGATTGGATATGTGTTTTACAATCAAAGATAAATCGAGTATATTAAGCAAATCAAGGATTGATCTATTCGACATCTGCAGAATTCAAGAGCATAAGAACCAAATCTTATTATATGAACAAATTCAAGACCTAACGGTGATGATGGATGAAACTTGAAAACCGATTTGGAAACAAAACTCAAATCTCGGGTCGAATTAAAGTTCAATGAAAACTTGAGGTATCGAAGCAAAAGAGGATGAGACATACTATTAGATGCATGACAGCGTATGGTTAGAGTGGCTAAGCTTCTCTCTATGCATGTGGTGTCGTTTGACGATGAATTGGTGCCTTGACTATTGGCGTTGGCTTCATTCAATCAAGGTGAGTCTTGACGTCTAGTGCGTGGTAGTGGTAGAGTTTCGATGATTTATTTTCTCTTTCTTCTTTTTTTCCTTCTTAATTATGAAGATCCAACTTGATAGATTTATGAAAAAACTCAAATTTAATATTTCATCATGAACATTCTCAAACAAAAACTATTTATATATTTATGATGAGGTTTTAAACAAATCAATTGTAATATTTAGCACATGGCATATATTTGTGGGTTATTTATAAGTCTCATTATCAATAATACTTTTAAACTTACTTTATGTGCTTATTATAAAATATAAATAAAAAATATTCGTACAAATATATAGAGACAATAAGAGTATGAAAACATTGTAGATAATAATCAAACAAACAAAATGGCAGTTAACACCTAAGAAATTTTATACTACTCGAGGAGTAACTAGTGGCATGTACGAGTAGTTACTTCATGGATCCACTTGAAAGAAAAAGATAGACACAAAAAAAAGAGAGAAATAGGAAAGAGAGAATTAAAAAAAAAATTAAATAAACGTAAAAATCTTCTTATCATTTTTTGTGAGTTCGAATGTAATGTTATGTGTCTATATCTCTCATTCAAGTGAATTCATTGAGTAACTACCGTACATACTATTAGTTACTCCTTGAGTATTATAAAATTTTCTATTAACACCCTATTGTAAGACCATAAAATTGACGAGAACGAAAGGAATTTTAGTTTATCCACTTGATAAGGTTTTTTTTTTTTTTTTTTTTAGAATTTCTATTTTATCCATCTATAAAAATTGTATATATTCCCGTCAATTCGTTCGAAAGAACTAATTCAAAAAATTTGTTTGACTTCTCATCCGTTTGTTAATTGACTACACATATAATAAAATAGGATTCCCATTTGCTATTTTAAACTTTAAAGCAAAGAGTAGAAAGGTATTCAATTCAACCATTTGTGCATTTCAATTTCATCTATAGCATAAGATCAATAATTTTGTTCAATCTCAATGATTCCATATTAAACAAAATGTATTGCGTAGATTCTCATTAATTCATTATTTAAATATGAACTGTATCGTATCTTTACATAAAAAAAAGTATACTATATGCCTCTAAAAGTGCAAAATAAATAAAAGTACTCTCTCAGCTCTTTTAATTAAGCATGATGCCGCTGTCGAGACGATGTCGTAGAAGTTGACACAGAACTCCTTGAATCAATTGTCCCGAAAAACAAATCCGACAAGTAATTCTCAATATCCTCGGGGGCATATCTGACAAATACGCCAATACTTCTCTGCCCTCCAACATTACTCCTATGTTTGTCATAAAACTCGCGATAAACCGGAACTAACTTTCTCGCTATAGAAACCTTAATTTCGTCCCGGAGTTTAGGATCCGCGGCAACACAAACACTCTGCTTCCTGTACGCCCCATCAAAACTGATATTAAATCTCTTAAAACTCTCCTTAGCTTCCTCAGGTGAAATCTCAGCTGTTGGATTCTCTGGCAATGATGCAAATACTGGGCCCCATGCTAACCGTTCATAATTTGCTGCAAATTGTCTCACTTTAGCTTCATGTTTAACAATCCAGGCTTCACCGAGTAGATACTGAAGATTTGATGTACGGACTTTGAATACTACATGTTGTAGATTGTTGGCTAAGAAAAGGTATGAGAGTGACACATCTTTGTAATATTTTGCTTTGCCATCAAGCTTGCATAAAAGAACTAGAACCAACCAAGCAAACCGTGTTGAAATGGCCGCTGCTGGAGGATCATCAGAATCCGTACTATCGAAGTAAGATTCAGGTAGGGATGATTTTTCTGGCGGCGGCCAGTCGGAGATAATATCAGTAAGGACATTGCTATAGTCGCCGAGTAATGATAGATAGTTCATTGCATTGCTTGTTAAGGAATGCAATCCGCCGCCGGGGACTAATGCTTTTGAGGAGTGCTTTTGGATACTTGATTCGAAATTGGAGAGCAATGCGTAAATGGATTCACTAAGTTTGATGAGTGAAGAAAGAGCCTGTGACCGGACCGGAGAGGTGGACTCCAATGAGAAGATGGACTCAATCTCTACCCAGTTTTCGGAGATTGCTGTGTACATATCGAGTGCGCGAAACATTTTATCTGATGATGATGGTTTCTTGCTTTTGGCTACGAGTTCGGGGAATCCGAAAAGAAGAGTAGCTCCTTCTTTAGATATTTCGTTGAAACAAGACTCTCTGATTGATTGAGAGACAGCAAACACATGATCACAAAGAATTCTCTCTCCGAAGAAGAGTGTTCTTATTGCAATTTTTATTGCTTCTAACCAGTTCTTGATTCTCAAGTCAAGTGCTTCCCAGTCCATCTTGTTGACTTGTGAAGAGCTTATTCTTTCTACTCCAAGGCGATAAATGCCTTCGTCGATAATGGATTTTCGAATAATTTTGTAGACGTTTACGCACTCTTTAGCGTACCCAGCTGCAATCATGCACTCCGCAATTGATTTCAAGTCCGCCATGGCAATAGAAGAAACTTGTTCAACTTCGGAGATCGAGTCACCAGCAGCACGAAGATCATCATCAGGTGAAACATCATCTTCAAAATCTGAGGTGCTGGATCTAGAGGTGCGAGAGGATCTGGTAGACATGGACTCGGGATCAAGATGTGCCCGGTTCATGGAAAGAATTTGATAAAACTCCTTTTGAAGCCGCTTCATGGCGATTTGCATTAGATTTTGTGCTTGTATGAGTCTGTAATGGGTGGAATCTTCTGATACTATCAAATGCATAACTTTCTGCAAATCGTTAACGCATTTGATGAACTGCATGGCCTCTCTTCTGTTCTCATAAAAAAGAGAGGTGACGTTGGCGTAGGCAGATGTCTCGGGATTCCATTTCATGATCATTGATGAAGCATTTTCGATGATTTGTTCAATCGTCGATTCAGATAAGTTACGAAGAGGAGTTGCTGGAAGGGAAAATCTTGAAGGTGAAGAACGAGGCGAGGATAAAAAAGATATCGTTTTCGGAGAAAAGCAAATGCTCCTCATCCCTTTTCTCGGCATTTCAGGAATATTAATCAATGGAAATGCAAGAATATGTGGTAGAGGTATGTGTGTAAGCAAGTAAAAGTTCCGGTTGTTTCTCAGGAAAATGTATGAGGTTGAAGAGAAGAAATTTGAGGGAGCTAGCCAGCTAGGTTAGACACGTCCCGTTGTGTTTTGGAGTTGGACTTGGGGGTGGGTGGGTGTATATATAGACAACGAATGCAGCATGGCGTTGTTGCTTGGGATAGAAGGACATGGGATTGGACTTTTGACTTTCTAAGTCATAATACGCGCCCACGTAAGTGTTTGTTGTTTACGCGTTACACATGGCATCCATGTGGCTAAATTTCGTGATAAACCCAATGAAAGGAAGTTCAAGGAACAGGATAAGCAACGGGTGAAGAAATTTTATAATACTTAAAACGTAATCATTGTATAGATATAATAATTATTTTATAAATTTATTTTTTAAGAAAAATAATTATATAAAAAACTTATATTTAGATTTATTAAAAATGATGGAAAGATTTTCATTTTAGTTTTTTTCTCTTATATTTCTTTTCTTTTTATGTCAATCTTTTTTCATGGAATAATTTACAACAATTATTTCTTAAATATTATAAAATTTCTAGAGTGTGAAATCCAATTTAATTAGGAAACTGCTGAATAATTTCCAAGCCTGTAACATGAAATTAGAAATACATGGGTTGCCGGATTACTACCGATACTGCATAATGTCATTTTCAATGTGCTTGCACGTTTCTTAATTTAGTTTTGTTTTTTGTTCCTTTCTTTCATACGGAAAGACTTGAAGATTGAGGCCTCGGTGAGGGGGAAGAGGTTAATAAGGTAATTAACAAGGTGTTGTTGTGACGCCATACGGTATGTGTATACAGAAAACACTACGAAGAGCTCATGGTATGAAACATTCCCATTAAAATGGATTTGACAAAAGTTGAAGAGGTCATGTGTGTCCATTAATTTAGTCATAGGTGCAATAAGTTCAAACATTTATTAATTATTTAATTACTGTGTTCATTCTATCACAACATTAGGGCTCCTCTCCCACAAATCTTCTTGATCTTCAACGTACTGTGATGAGATTTAATTTACTAGCAGTTTAATTGTGAGTAAATTATAGATCAGTCCTTTTAGTTTTTTTTTAAATAAATTAAATAATTTCTTTACTTTTTTAAATAATAATTAGTTCTTTCTTTCCATTTCATGTCTTTTTTCAATTTAGTTTGTTTTTTTAAAAAAATAATAAATATATATCATGAAAATAGTGATAAAAAAATATTTTTTTTGAATTAAATTGATAATAATTTAAATATGGTCAACACTTGTTAAAAAACTAATTGATTAGTTTTTTAAAATAAAAGAACTATTAATCCATTTTGTAAAGCTAAAGGGACTAATTTATAATTACTTTTTTTTTTTTTATAGAGAGAGAAGTTAAGACCAACTTCACAGTTGGTATTTTTTGCTATATATAAATTGTGGGATGGCCAAAATTCGATGCGCGGTATATGAATTTAAGAAATATAACGGTTTTAATGGTTGCAAGAGTTTCTCTCTCTCTCTCTCTCTCTCTATATATATATATATATATATATATATATATATATATATTTTTTTTTTTTTAAATTTTAATTGTGTTCTTTTATTCTCTTTTTTTAAATTTATTCTTTTATGTTTGATTTATTTCTTTAGCTTATCCATCTGTCAATATTTTGAGCTAACAGTGCTTTATCATGCTGTTGGTTTCACAAGATTGTAACACATGTCACTTTATTTTTTAATCTCTTTTACCTATGCTTTTTTAGTGAATTTTAAAAAAAGATATTGAAAAAATAGATGAAGATAAAAATATTTTTTGTCCAAAATATCCTCAAATGAGCCTATTATAATGTACTTATTTTCATTTTACAAATTTCTTAATTTGACTCAAAAGTATGAATTTAAATTTGATAAGATTTTTTAGAATATTCACCCAAAAGTGATTAAAAGCAATAAATATTATTTAAAAAATTAAAATTTTAACTAAAAATCTCTTGATATTTTTTAAAAATACTATAAATATTTTATTTTATACTCAACATTTGCTTACTATCATGGAGATAAATGTAAAAATATTATTATTTTTTATTTTCACCTTCTTTTTAGTTTTTTGTTATATTTATTTTTACTAAAAAAAAGAGTAGAATGACGATATTAAGATTAAGAAAATAAAATTGACACATATTGCAACCCTGTGAGACTAATTGTGCGATTTAATATCCTTAGCCTAAAAAGTTAACAAATGGATGAATTCAACACCAAAACAAAATGCAAAAAAATGAACTTAGGAAAAAATAAATAAATAAGAGGACACAATCAAGAAGGAAGAATGAGTGAGAGGACTCCTCTAACCGTTAAACCGAAATATAATTGACGAAAAAATCAAAGGTAATTAACAACTAAATGGAAGTGTAACTCGGAAAATGAAAAACTCAAAAAGTTGGGATGAAAAGTATGCATTCACACCCTGAATTAATCAGTTTGGTTTGAATATTATGATCTGTTCATTCGTTTGTTTAGTACTTTTCCGTGTACAGTACCGATATTTCTATTGTCAAGCTCACACTTTCACACTACAGTTAATTAAATTGCCAGAAAAAAAAAGTGAATCATGAATTTATCAATTTTTTGCTTCTGTTTTAAAACCTGAATTCTGAATTATTTGGGGAGGGAAAGCTAAAGTCTTGGTACAGTACTTCACAGATCGAACGTACGTAAGCATGCAAGTCACTGGAGGCATATCATAAAAAGTCAAGTAAAATAAGCAATGACGAAACACCTTTTTGGGAGAAAACTCAGCTTTTTAAAGAGGGGAAAGGGGAGGCATGCGAATAAAAGTACAAATTGCTTGAATCCATCATTCTTGGGGTTCGAAACGTCCGTGTGTGCTTATATCATGTTTTATTATTATTATTTATTAAATCATTACTAACACAGCGGGATTTACCATAACCAGCATGCATATATGGCTGCTATATTTTATTAATTTAATCACTTCCTACCTAAGTCTTGTTAAAACTACTAGCACACCACTTGAATTATTACCTCGTTTGCAAGTCTAAAATATCCACGTCATTGCTAAAATAAGAATTATAGTATATTGATAATATCTATTAAAGGAAAATGATCGATTCTTGCTCCACAAGATTTGCTTATCTGATAATAAACCCTTTTTTTTTTTTTTTTTTTGGGGACCAAAATTCAAAAGGTGGAATTTTCATGAATGTTCTGTCAATTTATTTATTATTATTATTGGTATTGTTCTCGTTGATTTATTATTGCATTCAGATGCAATGGTCAGGAAGCTTAATTTGTTTGTTGTTGTTTTTTGTTTCTTTTGAATAAGAGGAAAGAATTGCAAGGTAGACTTGATATGCTGCAATCTAACAAGTAAAAAAAAAAAAAAATGTGTTTAAAATTTGACCAAATTGCAAGTGAAAAAAGAAAATGCAACATACTTCCTGTTTAGGTGTACCGTTCAATAGCCATCGTTAATATGATGCAATTCTTTATCCTTTTTTTCTTCTTCTTATTTTTCAGAGTCAAAGTCAATAAATCTAATGGACCAGAGTCATAATCGTCTAGAAAGATCAGTTAAAAAAATCCCAAAACATATTTTACTATGAATTCTATGCCATGTGGTAATAATAGGATGTAGTGTGTCTTCAGATATATTATTTCTAATAAAGTGATCAACTTCTTTCGTTTCAATTCACGAGCTATGTATAATTATCATGTTGGAGTAATCTCTCAATTAACTTTTGATGCAGTCAATAGTTAGAACTAACAAAACTAACAAGGCCAGGTGCGTACATTATTCCAAGAAATAGGAATACATAGTGAGCAATATATGGAACAAATCGGAAACTTCTGGTTGCCAATTTTGCATAAAGCTGTGATGATGAGGTAAGCAGTTGCATACTTGAGCTCTGTTTTGAATTTCTGGGTACGCTGGGGGGCAGGAGTTTTTTTTGGGTTTAAAGCCTAACGCTAGGCTTTTCGTAAACAGCCACTCTTGGGGCCCACGTGGGCCCCACTCCAGAATGCTTTTGTAAATTGGCGCTTCATAATGTAATGGGGTGTGTGTGTATATATATATATATATATGTAAAGTCACAATTCATGTTTTTTTTAAAAAAATTGTTCATTCTTTTATGCTTTCTTATTCATCCTTGTATACAAAACATTATGTGCGGTGATGAGATTTTGCTTCAAATTGTATATAAAAATGATACATTATATAATTGTTTTACAATAATAATTTATTTTATTAATTGTATTTCATTCTATTTAAAAAATCTTCTTAACTATTCTTATTAAAAGATGTTTTATTTAAAAATTCAAAATATTTTATTTCTTTTTTTGTGATTATACTGCTAACCGCACCACCAACTTCACTTTTAACACAATACATTATTTTTTATTCATAATTACAATCACAGTTACAGCTGAACTACAATTACTTTTACATTACCAATCCTTAATACCAAACTCACACTGAATTATTTTTTTATAAAAAAAACAACGTTTGATAATTAACAAAATATCAAGTTATATCATACTGTTTGGCATGCCAAATTTTATATAGATTGAAGGGTCTGTATTTTAAACAGATACATATAGTGAGGTTTGTAACACTAAATGATTGGTTTGATGGTTAATAAAGACTGCTTTTATTTTTCAAGTTTTAAGTTTGAGATCAACGTACATAGAAATTTATTAAAAAAAATTGATTTCATATGTTGTATGTTAGAGATGTGTTATTGAATTTTTTTTTTTTAAATAATTTCAATTGGCACATAAACAGATTAAAAAAAAAATTATTAATATAAAATTAAGAAGGAAAAAAATAAAAAAAGTAAAGGTATGTGATTACGTATGCAAGTTGTTTTGGCAGGAACGTTTGAAATATATGGTTTCAATTATTTGAATGAAATCTTTTACGATGGTATATGTCGTAGATGACCTTTTTTTGTCTTTTTCAAATTTTGCGAAAACGACAGCTACATTAAGACCCGCCAATCATTTAATCTGTTGGATTCTGTCTCTTGTATGGGACTTCAAGGGGCAGCAGCGGAAATTTAAGAAATTCAAGCCGCATTCGTTGTTCGTTTTTGTTTCTTAGAAATTATTTTCAAATTTTATATTTCCCTTCTTTTTTTTTCTTCTCCGTTTTCCAAAAATTGTTTTGAAATTTTACTAAAACAAAAACGACAATGATGCCAAACCCAGCAAGAGTTAATTAAGAGAGAGAGAGAGAGATTTATCTTCTCACGGTTCTTGTATTGGATTAAAAAAAAAAGGGAGTAAACTTATAAATTGGAATTATATATATATATATATATAGATTTTTGGGATCTTAAGGCATTAAGGACCCCTTCAAATACTGGTGCTATTTTGTAGACCAGGCTACAGATTGCAAATTGCACAAGGAAACTTTCTTCATTAATTATAACAGCTACATTGAAAGACCCAGCATATCATCCTTACTCGTTTCCTAAGGTGCTTTTTGACAGAAAGCAAGTCCCGAGTCAAGTCGTGCCGTTTTGCTACCGTCTTTTTAATAATTGTACGAGAACCCTCATATGCTTAACCTCGGTATTGTCGATATGCATGCCCTTTTCTTTCTTTTTTGTCAAATAATACGTATAATGCTTTCATTAAACAAAAAATGAGCACTGGCTTTTTTTAATTTTTGTGATAAAATAAAAATAAAAGTTAGTTTATTTTATTTTATTTTATTTTTTTTATCGGAGGGGTTTGTCTGTTGGATAAGCCGGCGAGGTCAGTCCCATTCGGCAATTGGTATATTGGATTTCTATAGTCTTAAGAGACGGCTTTGTGGAATTAAATTAAGAACTTAAAATAGTTTTACTAAGGGGAACGAAATTCTTTGCCAGGTTGGCATTTGGCAGGTTGCGAGTTGCAAAGTGCAAACCCCAAGTCTTAACCCACCGGCCACCGTTCATGTTGTGTCGTTTGGGCCCCATACATAAGACGTAGCACCAGATTCAAGATTTAATTAATAAACATCGGCGTCAACTCCTTCTCATTTATTGAATATTACCCGGTCGTTGGTGTTACACTGCACCTTAGTGCAACAAAATTATTTAAAACTTTAAAAAAAATTTAATTATAATTATAATTTAATTAATTTAATTTAATGTTTTTATAAATTTTTTGTTAAAAAACATAAATCTTTCTTTTTTATGCATTGATTTTAAAATAAAAAATATAATAATTTAAACTAAAAAATTAAAAATATTAAAAATATAATTTTCATAATATTGTAGTGCAGAAAATAAAATTATAATTAATAAGTATAATTTTATAAAAATTAAGAAATGAAAAAATCACATTTAATGCTGATGAGAATATTAATTTTTAAAATTATCCATACGAGTATATAAAACAAAATCATTTTAAGATTTTATAATTTTTCCATTAATTTTTTTTGTTGAATTATTACTTTTTTTGTTTTTTTAATAAAATTTCAGCTTAAAAAAATGATTTAACCTTCTATTTCAAGGATTTTTAAATAAAAACTTACAATAATTTAAACCCGAAATATTAATTAAGAATTCAAAAACAAATGCTTTAAAATTACATTTTTTATAAGAATGTATCCAAAAAATAAAGTTACAATTAATGTATAGATTTTCATAAAAATTAACCAATAAAAAATAAAATTTTATTTTTATTTAATGTTGGTGAGAAGATTATTTTCTTTCAAGTATATGCATTTGATCTATGTATATTTATTTACAAAATAATCAATAAAATTAGCATAAAAATTGTATTTGAATAATTGGTTAGTTCCTTTAAAAAATTATTTAAATTATTTTATTTCAAATAAATTGGTTCTATAATATTAAAAAAAATCATAATAAGTAATTTGTATTATGTTGGAAGATGTATAGTTTATTTTTAATAAAATCAACAATTCCATAGTTTTTTTTTATCCATGCCTAATGAATCGAGATAAAATATTTAAAATACACTTATAACCTTTTATAATTAAATATTTATATATATGCAACTATCATTTAAAAATTTTAAGAATTCATAATATATATTATACCAATTTATTTTTAAAAAAAGAAAAAAAATCATATTTTAAAATTTTATTATAAAATTCAAACATAGAGAAAAATAAATTATACTTATCGGTAAATAAAATTTTATATAAAAATATTAATTGGAAGAAATTTTTCACAAAAAATGATAATTCAAAGAAAGAAATTTAAATAATAAGAGTGATATAAGTCGAAGTATATGTTAATTTTAAAATATAAAAAAATAGTGTGTATATATACATATATACATGCACACGCTGCGTGAAAATGAAAGAAAAATTAAAACTAAGGATTGAAAAATAAATGTTACAATATGAGAGATGAAAAATAGAAAAAAATATTAAATTTGTATATTAATGCCCAAAAATACAGAAACAAACCACACACAAAAATTACTTAAATTGTCATCACGTGAATAGTAATTTTATACATATGAACGAGTAAGTGAATAGGAATTTTAGGCATATGAATAGTTTGGATTCTTACGCTATGCTTTGCGAGCTGAACTAAACATATTTATTTCGGTTTGATAACATGTACTACGTTGTCGATTAATTAAAATATATTAAATTAAATATAAAAGATAAAATTTCATTAATTTTATAATTTTTAATCAAAATTTTGTGTGTGTGTGTGTGTGTGTGTCTATATATATATATATATATATTATGTTTTGAATAAATTTTGAAGTAAAAAAATAATTTATTCTTTCTTATGCATTTATTCTTAAATAAAAACCCATAATAAAAAAATTTAATATAAAATTAAAAAAATCTTTTTTTTTTTCATAACTTTGCATCGAATAAATAAATCAATAATTAATTTAAAAACTTGTATGAAAATTAATAAATGAAGCTTTTTTATTGATGAGAAGATTATTTTTTAAATTAATATATTTGATTTATTATATATTTATTTACAAAATAATGAATAATATTAGTATACAAAATTGTATTTGAATTATTAGACGAATATTCTAAAATATTATTTCAAGTATTTTATTTGGAAAAAATTCATTTAAAATAATAAAAATAACAAATAGTTGATATTATGTGTGTAGATGCATAGTTGATTTCTAATATTATTATTATTTTTATACATCATTACCATACTCAACGAGTGAGAGTGTATAGAATAAATTGAAAATAATTTAAAAATATTAAATGTTAAAACATATATTGAAGTTAATAAAAGCGAGTAAAAAAATATAAAACTGATTTCGATAAAACTTGATTATATGAAAAATAAGAAAATAAAATACATATATTCTATTTTTAAAATTTGACTATATAAGATTAAGCAAATAAAAATAGGTATAAAAAAAACTTGTTCGAATCCATACATTGAGAAAATAAATCATATTTATTAACAAACAAAATTATCTAAAAAAAAGAATAAAAATTAACTTGATGAGATTTTTTATCAAAAATGTCAATTTTAAACGAGTAAGAGTAATATATTATTCTAAAATCTAAAAACATATCGTGTATATATATTATATAATCATCGGTTTGTGTGAAAAAAATAACGATGGATTTTTTAAAATTTTATCACCCAATTAAATAAATAAAAAAGGAACATGAATTGATGGAAAAAAGCAAATGAAAAAAAAAAAAAGAAAAGGCATGTGTAGTGCATCGGTTAGGGAATTAAAATTTTTATTTCAAAATTTTAGGAACCAAAATGAAATAACTTAAAAACGGCCAAAAAAAAAAAAAAAAACTCAAGCTACGAGTTTGGCTCATGTAAGGTGAGCGAGTTATATAATCGTAAGTTTATGTGGAAAAAAAATCACGATTGATTTTTTAAAATTTTAACACCCAAACTAAATTAAAAAAAAAAAACATAAATTGATTAAAAAACAAAGGAAAAAAGAAAAGAAAAGGCTGTTTAATTCAATGTTAGATCTTCTAATTTTCATTGTTTAAACCCTTTACCTGTTTTAGTGTTATAGTAATTTCCATGTTTTCTTTAGGCTGTTTAATTCAATGTTAGATCTTCTTTTTCTTTTTTCTTTTTTTCAACACCTTGTACATCATCTAATATTTGTTTAATTTCTTTACTGCTTATTCTAGCAAATAATAATCGATAGAAAGTAATAAACTTTTCTACAAGGAAAAAGATAGTATTTTTCAGTTACTCGTGATGATTTATTCTCTTTCTTTTAATTATGGATGTGTGTGTGTTTTTTTTTTTTTCAACTAATAGATTTATTGAATTGATTGTGTTTTTAGTACTTATTTTTTATATATTCAAAAAAATAGAACTCGACACATGTCACTCAAAAACTATAAAGAAATAGACTACCTGGTTCAAATATATATATATATATATATATATATATAATGAGACTTTCGCATTGAAGAAATCTCCAGAACTACGAACACCTTTAATTCTCGCCAACTTCATCGGCAACTCTTTGGGCTTTGTTCATTCTCGTATTACGAAGAAGCATAAAGAAAAGACAATGAATAAAACACAGCACTCCACACGCTACTACTAGAAATGATGGCATTTGCATCAATACTCCATAAAATATTCATCTAAAAGAATTCTCAACTTGCAAAAATTTAATTCAAAAGTGATTGCATGATAATGGAAAAATCGTTTTGCCTTCAAAAGAAAGACAATATACTCTCCACTGTATGTGTTATGCATTTTTTTTTTTAATTCAACAACTCTTGTTGAGAAGTCATTCTCTATACACTAGTTTTTATTGCGTGGACCTTTTCGTTTCCTTTTTCTCAGCGATTCTTCATCGGACTCTTGCAACTTGCACACAACAAAGTCTTCTATGTATAAAATAAAAAGTTCATCGTACTATTTCACGATTGACCATGGGATTTGTATATTTTGTTCAATCTCATCTGATTTCAATTTTCCGCTGGTTTCAATTCCGAATAAGCAGGCTATCCTGGCGATTAACTTAACATAGAATGCAGGTGCTTATCTCTAAATATTATAAAGAATGAAGGTACTTATCTCTATATAAATAAAAGAATCGAAGTGCTTATCGCTTATGTGCAGTGTCGTGCATTTTTCTTTCTTTGGCAGTGAATAATGATTTATTTAAAAATATACTTTTATATAAGATATATTTATTCCATATAATAGTTGGATGTAAATAGGTGTGCACTAAAGTTTGTATATTCAGTGGCTTTTTCTTTACAAAAAAAACATAATCAAATTTTCATAATTTTAATTAATTGAATTATTATATAACAGATAATAACAACTCTCGTTTTATTTCTTTTTCCGTATTTATAACGTGGAGCCTCACCTGAATCCTTATGGGAAGAGCGCCCCGGTTAGGCGCGCACCAGCTCAGCACAATTTCCGTGTGAAACGGGACTTGTGGGACTGTATTTTGGGCCAGTGAGAAAATCAAAAACTACTCTTAAGGGTCAATCCAAGAAAACATGAATTTCTCATATTCTGATATCATTTTGATGAATGGCCATTAAAATGCCTCTCGTTAGCTGCGCTAACTGTGACGGCATTGCCAACTACAGCTTGCTTTTTCATCAATATTATTATTGTTTTTTGTGTGCCTTAATTAACACATATTCCAACTTGACGGAAACTCAAGTATACAAAGATAAACTTTTGAATAGCGCTATCTGACATCAGTAATTTAAAAAAAAATTTATCATAATTCTATAAAGATAGTGTTTTCTTAAAAAAAATATAAAAAAATATATTTTATTTCAATAATTATTATATCATTTAATATTTTTATTTTTAAAATTTATTCTTAAACTCTTTTAATTTTTTAAAATGATATCTATCAACATGTAACATGTGGTCCCCAAGCATTTTCTTAAACTTTTATCTACATACAATCGTGCTTTCATTAATGTTACCGTTACGCACACGGGTTCTGGTGATTGCAACTTGCAAATAAAACGAAATGTATCTTTCTGCAACTTGTGACTAATCATCCATTAGTGGATACAAACTTTCTTAATAAATTAGGGTTTGACACAATACAAAGACCATCTCGATCGTGTGATGATAACAGTTGAGGTCGTTCTTACCGATTCGAAAAGTCGAGCAGGTATCCCCTTGATAATTGCGTGAAAAGATTAGTCTCACAATTCCGTACTCACACTCAAGTTTTCAGTACTCATTTCGTTGGGTTTTGTGCGATGACTATCTTTGTTTTGCAATGTGACGTGCATTTCCAATGTCAACAAAAAATGAAAATTAGGTTTCAGTATCATTACTAGATGTTGAATTTTTGGGTTTTGTATGTTGTATGATGTCAAAGACCCATTTAGATTCCAAAACGTGAAACACTTTTAGAATTTGAGTTTATGACTAATTGTTCATTAAATCAAATTTCAATATATATCACAAAATCATTCTAATAAAAAAAATTAAATTGTCAAGTGAATTCTTAAAATATAATTTTTATATATTATATTCCATTGTATATATGTGATCTCAATGTAAAATAATATAAATTTCAAAGAATTTGCACGCGGGACAAATCTCTTTATTTTTGGTTTATTAATTTTTATTGTACTATTTACTTTAATTTTTTAGAATTATTTATTTTTGTTTAATTATGCAAGTGTTATCAAGAAATTAGTGTTCTAGAATTCTATTTTTCTTTTCATTTTATTTTTCTATTTAGTATTATTAGGTTTTTCTGAATTTTTATTTACACAGCTGCAGTCTTTTTGGTAAAAATAGACGTTGGATTATAAAAATCGAGGCATATTGGGTGTTTTTCTACAGTTGTGGCTATATTTTTTGTTTTGAGGATTTTTTAAAAATTAATAAACCATTTTATCTCGCCATCTATCACGTCATTTGGTATCAAAATAGGATTGGTCTGATTGATAGATGAACTCGATAGCGACTACTTCAGTGACACAGATCAAATGGTGCATAACATCTACAACATTGTGCAAGTCTCAAGGTGGTGTTGAGACATCAAGATGGAGGCTGATCACTTTGAACGGCTCAACAGAAGTTTCATAAGGATTCATAAAGATCATGATGCTTTTAGAGATAAACAAATTTCAAGACGATGAGAGGAAATATCTAGAACTGTACCTCTTAGTAGACTTAACGTCAAATCTACTCCTGCAAACCCATATAGACGTTCTATCTGTACAGAGAATTGCTTTTTTTGACAGAGCATCGATATTAATGATGATTTCTCTTGTAAGGTACTAAAGTTTGGAACTAGCTAGTAACTACGTACGCGGGAAAGATGGAGATTTTTAGGGATACCATGGACAATTCCAACGCAAGTAACAAAGAGCCGGCCAAATTCCTTTATTTTTGCTTTATTAATTTTCATTTTCAATGTGATATTTACTTCCTTTGTTGAGATTTTCTAGAATTAGTTCTTTTTTATTTAATTAGACAAACTTTATTAGGAAATTAGTGTTCTAGAATTATATCTTTTTATTATTATTTTAGGATTTTTTTTTTAATTTTTATTTAAGAAGTTGTAGTATTTTGGGGGAAAAAATTAAATTAATAAAATTGTAGTATCTTGTCTTGGGCGTTTCTTATTTTGAATATCTTTGAGAATTAATAAACTGTTTTCCTCTAATCTGCCATTTCAATTTCGAAATAATTACTTTGTATCCTTCCCAAATTCCAGGATCCTATATATAAAACTAACAAAAAAACTGGATGTCAAGTAGCAATTGAAGTAGCTTAGCTGATAAAATTACTTGGAACTGTTTCAGGAAATTATGGATCGAATTCATGGACACATATATATATATATAGTTGCTATGGATTTACACATATGGGTCTTAGGTGGTAAGGAACCCTTCAAATATTAATGGTGCTATTTTTATCAGATCAGCTATATATCTCGAATTGCAATTAGAAAACTACGTACGTACTCCATTCATTCTGTGTCCCCTAAGAAATAACCAGCTATCATCCGGGTAGTTTTCGGAACACTCAAACTCAAGTGGCTTCATTTCAATTGCCCTCTTACTAGCTAGGCTGGATCAGAAGTGATCAGAACCCTGGTGCTGTCATCCACATGCAATTTTTTTTATTTTGTCCGTATTGGTGTAATTAATATTGTATGTTGTTGATCGTTGAATTGGGAAACATTCTGCGTTCTTAGCGGAAGATGGTTTTACAAAGCGTTGGATTCTGGATTTAAGTAATGAAACATCAATGTCAACTCTTAATTTTGCAACAGAACGCACATGCATTTAGGTTGTCTATTTTTCATCTCATCAACTTTTATTCACTTTTTCTATAAATGATCTGGTCACCATTACATTTGCAACCAAATCTCCTTCATATAAAATTTACGCCACGTGATTGATGTAATCCGCTTAAGGGTTTGACTTTTCATTTAATTCCATTAATTATTAAATCGAGGTAGATGGAAGATTTAAAATATTAAACTAAAATTCAAATTTTATGGATTAGTTTTTTTTTTTTTTTTTAAAAAAAAGGAATACCATCCGATCCATATGTACTCTTCGTAATTTACTAATAATGCATTCATATAATTTTACTAGGGTATACAAGAGACTTCAATATCCTCCCTTTTTTTTAAGCATTCAATCTTCATTACTATGTAGGTACATGCATGTTTTGATCCTGAAATATCGAACAGAGAAATTTAAAAAATAAACAGTCTCAAATTGTGATTCTATATTTTTATTGATCTAATGAATTAATTTATGTCTTGCGTGCTCGTCTTAAAATTGTAGGATAGATCACTCTGTATTTGCTCATAAACATGTATATATATAATAACTGGCGCAGAGTGTAAATCGGAATTTAGTCATTTAACCGGAGAGACTAACTCTGTTCCTGAAAGGTGGCAGGTGCCCCATTCAAGACGTTGACTGCGTGAGATAGCCTCGTTTAACTTCTATCTCACCATCTTAGAAGTGACCACATAAACCAATGTGAAACGCGGTTGGGATTGTTTATACGAGTTTTCTTCGGTGGACTTTTACAAGTCTCTTATAGCTAGCTAAAATTCATCATATTCCTTCTTTTTTTTTTTTTTTGACCTTTCGATTTCAAAAATTTTGTTGGCCTTATCTATCAACAATTTTCCAATAAATAATTTACTGTGTTCAATTTCGAATAACCAGGTTATCTTGATTAACTTAATATAAAAATCAAGGTGCTTATCACCTTAAAAGAAAATGAAGTTGCTTACTGCAGCGTATTATTCTATTTGCCTTTTTCCTCTTCTTCGGTAAGAAGAGGTCACATAGGTAATTAAAAAAAAGATGTTTCAATTTTTGTTTCCGTCACAAATTCAAGTTTTTTTCTTTTTCTTTTTGTCTGAAAACTGGGATTAAATCACCATAATCAGCAACGTTTATCCGTAATGTGAATTCTACAAACACTAAAAGCATTATTCTCCATGTTAATATCTTTTTCCTTGGTTAATTCATGAAATTGATAAATCATTTTCAGTGTACGTGAGTTAGGCTGTTGATCACCACCTATTTTTTAAGCTCTTTATATATTTTATAGGAGCAAAACATTTGTAAGTCAAGGCGGCTCAACGCAAACAATTGAAAGATCAATGACAAAATGTCTGCTTATATTTTCAGCTAATAGCACTACGCCTTTTTGGTCGTTGTTCATACAAGAAGAAATGTCAGCTACAATTTTGGAAAAATTTTATTGAAAGCAGAAATAGTTGTTGAACTATTAGGTAAGACCATCACATTAACCAGTATATATACCACGAAGAAATCGAAATACTGAATGTGTGACCGTGAAATTGCCAGATTATTTGTTAGTCAGACGACTCCAAAGCTTGTAATTTTTTTCTCCTCCATGCATTCCAACTTGGAGAAAACTAGAAAGAATGAAATTAACGAGACCCTAAGGACTAAATGCAACAAATAAATATTGGGCTGTTATGTTTCGCTTTCTTGTGATCGAAAAACGAATGTTGCTGTCTTTTTGGTTTGCATTACTACAGATTCACTAGAAATATGGCATGCAGAATTTGCATGTTATATATATATAAATAAATTCACATTAATTGTGAAGATATTGTGTTGAAAAATGGCAGGATACGTAGGTCGTTCTCACTCATTTGTGCCCAGACATGCACCAATCGCGTGAAAAGATATCTCTCTTGATAAAATTCCGTACGCACACCTCATATAAATCTGTACTTACATATTGAGTTGCAGTGACTAGCTAGCAGTTTGGATTGATGGTGATATAATATTGCAATTTTAAATATGTTAGGTAATTGCAATGGAACAAGTTCAATTATAATATAATTAGACAATTTTATATCTCGAGTATCAGCAAACAATTAGCGTTAATTATGTCTATCCATCGATTTCGAGGTCGTTGAATTCATCAAATATATTGACGATTGGAGTTAGATCGATATAAAAATTTATTATGCTCAAAGTGATAACTTAGAAAGGGTAAAATAAGTATATTGAGTGATGGTACAAAAACCAGTTGTCAAAAAAGAGGGGGAAAAAACAATTGCTAGAATTTCACTTTCTAGGATAAACAATGTGAAGTTTTCTCTAAGAATTAAAAATGTCAACTTATTAGTTAACTTTGTCGTGACTGTTAGGTTCAAAATTATTTCATGCACCAATTTAGTTGTATTAATCTATTTTCACTTCCACTTAGAATTTAGGCGTAACTATTTCGTACTAGAAAGGACCGTGGGAATGTAGAATAAGCAGTACTAAAACATATTTCTTTGTTCTTATGCAAAAGATTGTCCTTTTTTTTTTTAATTATGTGTATATTCTAAAATGAATATTGTTTGGTTAAAATTTTAAGTTGTGTATTTTTTTTTATAATACTAATAATTAAAATCTATTTTATAAAATATTGTCCAAATATAATTCTCAATTTTTTTTTTAATTTGTGTGAAAAAAAAAACCAATCTTTTTGAGAAAGAAAGAGTAATCATTTTTCTTCAAGGTTCGAATGGAATAGAAAGTTTTGAAACAACATTATTTATTTTTTTTAAGAAAAAAAATCTATTTTGAAACATGTTGGAATGGTTGAACCCGATGAAGAGAATAATCTCAATAAATAGAAAAAAATGGTCATACAATTAGATAGGGTTATGTAGTTCGACTACTAAGTCTATAGTGAAAATAAACAATTTTTACAATAAACGTAATCAATGCGATTTGAATAACTCTCAACCTTAATTCTAGAGTCACTAGCATAGCACAAAAGGAATGCTATGTTAATAAGAGAAGCAAAATACATTAAATATATAGCATAATCTCAATGTATATTTGGGCTTAATTAAAATACAAGTTATACTCAACAGAAAACAATTTAATAGAATAAGAGGGATAGTATTACATTACAAATCGTTTGTTTGCACTAAGCGTGTTATTAATTATGATATTCTTAATTTGAAATATTTTTAATTTAAATAATATTAAATATATCAAACACTTAATTAATCCATTAAACTTAAATAGATTCCTTTTTAACTCAAAGATGACCATGGTATAATATACATAAACACGTTGGACTTTAAATAATAAGTTGATAATGAATAAAATATATTAGACATGAATAAGGTAAAAGGTTGGTACTTCACTACAAAAAATTAAGCTCTCTTACATCGCTAATGTATATATTCCATCATATTTTTGTTTAACAACGAAATGATAACAAAATCAAATTATAGATAAAATGTTTGTTGCTAATAATTTTAGCGACAGAAATTACTATCTATCATAAAATTAACGACAGATAAAATGTAATTATAGTGTAATAAATTTGTCACTAATGTAATGAAATATATTGATAAAAATCACCATCTGTTTTAAAAGCAGGGGCAAACAAGTTGTCGCAGTATACCTATTGCGTGAAAAGATCAATCTCCTTATAAAATTCCGTACGCACACCTCATGTAAATCTGTACTTGATGTTGAATTTTGCAGTGACTAGCTAGCAGTTTGGATTGACAATGATATAATATTGCATTTTTAATTATGTTAGGTAATAAACAAGTTCAATTTTAATATAATTAAACAATTTTATATCTCGAGTGTCAGCAAAAATTAGTGTTAATTGTGTCTATCCATCAGATTCGTGATATTTGAATTCGTCTAATATATTGACGATTGGAGCTAGATCGATATAAAAATTTATTATGCTCGAAAGAAAATGAAGTTGCTCACTGCATCTCATATATGTTATTTGCCTTAATTTTTCATCTTCTTTGGTGAGAAATGGTCACATAGGTACTTAAAGAAAATGTTTCTATTTTTGTTTCTATTACAAATTCCAGTTTTTCTAATCTGAAAACGGGCCGTTGGATTAAATCAGCAATGTTTATCCGTAATGTGGATTCGAAAAACACTAAAAGCTTTAGACTCCATGTTAATATCCTTTTCCTTAGTTAATTCATGAAATTGAGAAATCATTTTCAATGTACCTATTTTTACGCTCTTTATATATTTTATAGGAGCAAAACATTTGTGAATCAAGGAGGCTCAGCGGCAAACAACTTAAAGATCAATGATAAAATGTCTGCCTATGTTTTCAGCTGATTGTGCAACGCTATTTTGGTCATTGTTCATACCCGAAGAAATGTCAGCTACAATTTTTGACAAATTTTATAAAAAGACAGAAATACTTGTTGAACTATTAGGTAAAATCATCACATTAACGTATACATACACCATGAAGAAATCGAAATATTTAATTATCAAGGCCAAGTCGAAATATGGAATGTGTGGCCGTGAAATTGCCAAATTATTTGTTAGGCAAACCGACAGCAGAGCTTGTAATTTTTTTCTCCTACATGCCTTCCAACTTCGAGAAAACTCAAAAGTAAGAAATTAACGTACGAGATCCTCATGACTGCAACAAATAAATATTGGGCTGTTATGTTTCGCTTTCTTGTGATCGAAAAACAAATGTTGCTGTCTTTTTTGTTAATTTGCATTACTACAGATTCACTAGAAATCTGGTATGCATGCATTTGCATGTTATATACATAAATAAATTCACATTGCGAAGGTACGTATTGTGTTGAAAAATAGTGGGGTATGTCGTTCTCACCCATTTGTGCCTACACATGCACCGTACCTATTGCATTAAAAAGATCCCTCTCTTGATAAAATTCCGTACGCACACCTCATATAAATCTGTACTTAGATGTTGAATTTTGCAGTGACTAGCTAGCAGTTTGGATTGACAATGATATAATATTGCATTTTTAAATATGTTAGGTAATTGTAATGGAAAACAAGTTCAATTTTAATATAATTAAACAATTTTATATCTCCTAATTTAGATAAACTTTGATCTAGCATACAGTCGTGCTTTCATTAATGTGAGCCTTACGCACACAGGCTAATATTTCCTAATTTCTGATGATAGCAACTTGCAAATAAAACAAAAACTATTTTTCTGCAAATCGTGACTAATCATCGATTAGTGGATACAAGCCTTCTTAATAAATTATCGTTTGACAAGTTTTTTCATTACTGATTTAAAAAGTAGCACTTGCTTATGTGATACTGTACAAAGAATCTCAGCTTTTCGCCGTCTCGATCGTGTGTTGATAACAGTTGAGGTCGTCCTCACCGACTTGAGCAGTCGAGTACTCGACATGCAGGTATCCCCTTTCCCTTTAATAATTGCGTGAAAAGATCAGTCTCACAATTCCGTACGCACACTCAAGTTTTCTGTACTTGATTTCGTTGAATTTTGTGCGATGATTATCTTTGTTTTGCAATGTGACATATGCATATCATAGTATTATAAGGTTCTTCTAAATTTTTATTTACATAGTTGTAGTCTTTTGGTAAAATATATATATATACACATAGAGAGACAGAGAGACGTTGGATTATAAAAATCGAGGCATATTGGGTGTTTTTCTGCTGTTGCGGCTATATTCTTTGTTTTGAGAATTTTAAAAAAATAATAACCCATGTTATCTTGCCATCCATTACATCATTTGGTATTAAAATAGGGTTGGCTTGACTGATGGACAAACTCGATAGCAACCACTTCAACGATACGTACGGATCAAAGGGTGCATAACATTTAGAGCAATGTACAAGTCTCGAATGTAGCGTTGAGATATCAAGATGGAAGCTTGATCACTTTGAACGACTCTTAGGAATGGCAGTGCCATCCCTGCCTGTCTTTGAAGTGCGTGACAATATTTTTCATGTCGTTCTCGTTATAAACTAGGGATAGGAATTCTCGTGAGGTATGGATACTATGTTTAATTTTTTATTTTTATCTTGTTTTATCTCATTTTATTATAAAATTTTAAATTATAACAAAAAATATAATTCATATAAAAAATAAATCTTAAGAGTCGGTAATTATAAATTTTATATAGAACATAATTATAATTTCAAAGATAAAATAAAATAAAAAAGATGGAACAAGTAAATCTTATCTCCGCTCAAAATAAATATGGGACGAAGCGGGACTCCGTCCGAACGAGGCAAATTATCATCTCTACTCAAGAAAAATTTCATAAGCATTCATAAAGATTATGATATTTTGGTAGTAGATATAAATAAATTTCAAGACCTAACGCTAAATCTCAAGAGAGAGTGTACAAAAATGTATCTCATGGTAGACCTAACGCTAAATCTGCTCCTGCAAACCCATATAGGCATCTGTCTATGTGAAGAATTGCATATACAAAACGCGATCCAATCATCCTTTTTGTAGACGCGCATCTAATTTAAACGAAATTTCTTTTTTAAAGAAATAATTCATTCGGTAGTTGTCAGAGTTGGAAGCATATTTTTAAGAAAATTTTTAATTATCAATATGTAGAATTTATAAGAAACAAACATATTTATCATATTGAAAATTGATGGTATGAAGTTCAGTGCGAAATAGCTCGAATGAATAAACCTTTATCTTGATTTATTTTGAAGAGACTAGTGATTTTAAAATTTGTTTATAAAGATTATAAGGTAATTTTGTACCGAATAAATTAACAATATATTGAGTTATTTTTTTGAACTTTCGATGTTAGAAATTTGTGATCCATTGAAGTCCCAAGCTACTTCTTGTACAAGACAAAAATATGACGTCTGTTAGAAATAATATAGCAGTCGAGGGAGATATATCGAACCGTCCAGCTAATTGTTTCATTGACAGGGCACCTAGAGAGGAATTTATTAGAGTGTACGGAGATTATAATGCCTTAAGGAAGCTGTGCCAAATTGGGATTGAAAGCATCTGTCCTCCAGTCCAGAGGGACACATTTATAAGAATGATGATATTAATGGTGATTTCTCTGCGTCGTCTTTGCAAAGGTACCAAAGTTCGGAACTAGTAGCTACGTACGTGGGAAGGATGGAGATTTTTAGGGATACCATTGACAATTCGAATGCAAGTACTAAAGAGCCGGCCAAATTCCTTTATTTTTGCTTTATTTATTTTCATTTTCATTGCGATATTTACTTCCGTTGTTGAGATTTTCTAGAATTGGTTCCTTTTTATTTCATTAGACAAACTTTATTAGGAAATTAGAGCCCTAGAAATATATTTTTGCTTTTATATTTAGTATTTTAGGATTTTTTTAAAAAAAAAATTATTTAAGAAGTTGTAGTTTTTTTGGCAAAAAAAAAAAAAAAAGTTGAATTAATAAAATTGTAGTATCTTGTGTGTTTCTCTAAAGCTATAACTGTGTTTTTTATTTTGAAAATCTTTCAAAAATTAATAAACTCTGTTTTCCTCTTATCTGCCATGTCAATTTCGAAATAATTACTTTGTATCCTTTCTAAATTCCAGCATCATCACTACATCATATATATCTCTCACCCTCAATTAGCTATATATATATATATATATATATATATATAATGGATAAAAAAGGAGCAACAAGTGATTAATCTAACTTTTATGGACGCATGCTAGTTATTTAGTTGCCATGGATTTACACATGTGGGGTCTTCGGTGGTGAGGAACCCCTTCAAATATTAATGGTGCTATTATTATCAAACGAGATAACTCTCAAATTGCAATTACAATTACCGTCCTACTAGCTAGGTTGTATCAGAAGTCAGAAGACTCAGAACCATGGTTTTGTACTCCACATGCATTTTTTTTTTGTTGTTTTTGTTTTTGAGGGGTGTAATTAATATTGTATGTTGTTGATCCTTGAATTGGGAAACATTCTGCGTCCTAAACGGAAGATGAGTTTATGGGATCAAAATAAGGGTCGAGGAATTTATTAAGATTGGTTTTACCAAGTCCAAGGGGGGCCCTTCCCAATAGGTTCAAGTCGCAAAGACGAAGTCTTGGCAGCATACGTTTTACAGAGCGCTGGATTCAGGATTTAAGTAATGGGACCTCAACGTCAACTCTTAGTTCTCTATAGAACGCACATGTTTTTCGGTTGTTTAATTTCCATATCATCAGCTTTTATTCACTTTTTCTATACATGACCTCGTCACCATTACATTTGCAACCAAATCTTGTTCATATAAAAGTTATGCAATGTGATTAATGTAATCCGCTTAAGGGTTTGACTTTTCATTTGATTCCATTAATTATTAAATGGAGGTCGGTGGAAGATTTAAATTAAAGTAAAATTCAAATCTTATGCATTCTTTTTTTAAAAAGAAAAATTAATTTTACGAGGGAATACAAGAGACTTCAATATCCTCATTTTTTTTATTTTTTTTAGCATTCAATCTTCATCACTATGTAGGTACATGCATGTTTTGGTCCTGAAATATCGAACAGAGAAATTGAAAAAATGACCTGTCTCAAATTGTGATTCTATATTTTTATTCATCTAATGAATTAATTAATGTCTTGCGTGCTCTTACGTCTTAAAATTGTAGAATTGATCACTCTGTATTTACTTATAAAGATGTATATATATAATAACTCGCAAACCGCCTGTAAATTGGAACTTGGTCATTTAACCCGAGAAACTAATTCTGTCCCTCAAAGGGCGCAGGTGCCCCCTTCGTGATGTTGAGTGGCTTAGATACCCTTCTGTGACTTCTATCTCACCATTTTGGAAGTGAACGCATGAACCAATGTGAAAAGCGGTTAGGGTTGTCTACACGAGTTTTCTTCGGTGGACTTTTACAAGTCTCTTATAGCTAGCTAAAATTCATCGTATTCCTTTTTTTGAAATAAAAATAACAAAAAAATTAAAGAAAAAGATAATAAAAAAATAAATTTATTATAAAACAAAATAAATATAAGAAATAATAGCTCTAAATAATCTTTCAATTTCATAAATATGAAATTAATGAGATCCTAACTAGTGCATGCAGAAAATAAATATTGGGCTGTAATGCTTGGCTTTCATGTGATCGAAAAACAAATGTTACTGTCTTTTTTGTTCGCATTATTTCAGACTCACTAGAAATCTGGCATGCATGCATTTGCATGTGATATATATAAATAATTTCACATTGTGAAGCTATTGTGTTGAAAAATGGGCGGATATGTCGTTCTCGCTCATTTGTGCCCACACCTGCGCCTATTGCGTGATAAGATATCTCTCTTGATCAAATTCCGTACGCATACCTCATATAAATCTGTACTTGATGCTGAATTTTTCAGTGACGAGCTAGCAGTTAGGATTGACAATGATTTAATATTGCAATTTTAAATATGTTAGGTAATTGCGATGGAAAACAAGTTCAATTATAAAATAATTAAACAATTTTATATCTCGAGTATCAGCAAAAAATGGTGTTAATTATGTCTATCCATCGGTTTCGTTGTCTTTCAATCGTCGAATATATTGACGATTGGAGCTACATTGATATAAATATTTATTATGCTCAAAGTGATAACTTAGGTGACAGTACCAAAACCAATTGTCAAAAAGTAAGAGGGGGGGGGGGGTGGTGTTGGGTTGTTGGGGAGACAGTGGCTAGAATTTCCCTTTCCAGGATAAAAAATGTGAACGTTTTCTCTGAGAATTAAAAATGTCGAAACTTATCAGTTAATTTTGTGATGACTTTTAGGTTCAAAATTATTTAATGTATTATAAAAAAATAAAAATAATAGGAGAATTAAAGTAAAAGATGATAAGGAAATGAATTCACTTTAAAATAAATTGAATAAAAATGATAAGAACTTCAAATTATTTTTTTAATTTCTCCAAAAAACTTATACAAAAACTAATAAACAATCAAGCTTATTTATAGGCTTCAAAATTGAGAAGAGAATTGGAAAGGACAATGAATAATTAAAAGTATATAAATTATTGAATTAATTGCATTACCTTTTAATTTCTCATATTGAATAATGAATTGAATCACATTAAGAATTATGAGTAATGGAGATGTGAAAAGTATATAAACATTCATTATTTTATAACAATCCCCCTTGAATGTTCATTATACAAGGAATATATCTCGTTAAAATCTTACTAAGAAAAAAAAACTAGTGAGAAAAACATTCCAATGAAGAAAAAAGAATATAATATTTCTTGTACACATTAATCCCCACATTGGTCTCCCTCTATTGAAAATATTATTTAAGATCTCTAAGACAACGTATTTCAATCTTGTGAATCATCTTATCAAAAGTTGTGGTAGGTAATGCCTTAGTGAACAAATCTATTGGATTGTCACTTTATCAAATTTGTTGAATAATAATATCACCATTCTTTTGAAAATCATGTGTGAAAAATAATTTTAATGACATATATTTCATTCCGTAACCTTTGATGTCTCCTTTTAACCGAGTTATGCAAAAAGTATTATCTTTATACAATATTGTTGAAACTTCCTTGCTAGTGGATAAACCGCATGTCTCTCGAATATGATGGGTCATTGATCTTAATCAAACATATTCTCGACTTGCACCATGAATTGCTAGTATTTCTATAATGTTTGAAAATGCGACGACTATAGTTTGCTTCATAGAATGTCACGATATGATTGTATCTCTATATGTAAATACATAACTAGTCCGTGATCGAGTTTTATGTGGATCGGATAAATAACCTACATCTACCTAACCAATTAATCATGTCTTTGATTTATTAGAGTAATAAAAGCCAATGTCAATTTTTCCTCCGAGATAACATAGAATATGTTTAATTTCATTCTAGTATCTTTATGTTGAAGCAAAACAATATCTTAAAAATAAATTTATAGAAAATGTTATATCAAATCGAGTATTATTAGTAAGATACATTAATACATCAATTGCACTAAGATATGATAGAAGTTCTTCGTTATCTTATCGAGGTCGAAAAGGATCCTTTTGGACATTAAGTGAATAAACTACCATTGGACTAATCAATAGGTGAGCCTTATCTATATAGAATCGTTGTACTATTTTTTTCTATATATGTTGATCGATGAATAAAAATTTCATATTTTTAAGTGTTCGAACTACGGACCAAGATAAAATTTTATTTTTTCAATGTCTTACATATCGTAGTCTCATTTTAAATAATTTATGGCGACTAAAATCTCTTTAGGAGTTCTAATTATATTTCCATCATCAACATATACGAGCAATTATCACATATCCCTTTTTGAATTTTTTTATAAAGATACTTGGATAAATTGGGTTATTTTTATAACATTCTTTTAGTAAATAATCACTAAGATGATTATACCATATGCGTTCGGATTGTTTCAATTCATAGATAGATCTTTATAATTTAATTGAATACATATCTCAAGAATGTATTTTACACGCTTTAAGTATTTTATGTCCTACTTGGGACTTTCATATAGATATCCTCATCAAGCGAACCATATAAATAGGTTATGATCACATCCATTAAATGTATATAAATTTTTTCATGTGTTGTCAAGCTAATAAGATAACGAAATGCAATTGCATCCATTACAGGAGAATATGTCTTTTCATAGTTAATGTCAAGTCTTGGTGAAAAAACCTTTATGTTACAAATCTTGCTTTGTAACTCATAATTTCATCTTTTTCATTTCTTTTTTTGCGAAAATACTAATTTATATCCTATTAGTTTAACATCTTTAGGTGTTTTAACTATATGTCTAAAAGCTCGCTCGTTTTGTGATAGACTTTAATTCTTTACGGATTGCATATTTTCACTTAAGTCAATCATCTCTACATCGACATTCTTCAATAGATTTAGGTTCGGGATCCTTATTCAAAATATCAATTGTAAATTATATGCAAAAATATTATCAATGAATTTTTCTTTTCGATCCCATTTTCTTCGTGTATTGACATAATTTATAAAAAAAATTTATTTTTTTCAAGCATTTGGGTTTTTTCTGGAAGCTTGTTATCAAAAGCATCTTAGACCGTTTTATCTACCTCCTTTATATTTTTATCTTGGTTTTTTTTTCTTTCGGA